TTTTCTTTCTTCCATTGTTTCCAAATTGGGTGGAAACCGTTTCTAAAAATAGGTTGTACATGCCGCCCACCCCTTCTTAATATACATCTGAGGAGTATCAATTACGGCTCAAAATGTAAACATGAGACTTAGAACTTGTTTTTCGTTAAGTAGATTACCACTCCCACTAGCTTAATCCGCTTTGCTCGTCGAAAGAGTACCTTAGTATGAATGCGAGAACAGAGGGATGCAATTAAGTAAACAATAATATTATAATTAATTTTCTTAACTCCTGATTACAATAGTATTCTATGTTTGCCGAGAGAGGCGAATGTTTGCTAGAATTGAACTGCTTTGTGCGGTGAGAAGATTTTTTTTTAGAATATCATATTTGTTAAATAAATGATTTTCTTCATTCTGGTCACTAAACCTCTTTAAAAAAATTGAAAGATCGCGACCTTTCCTGCTATTTATGGATGGTAAATAATACTCAGTATCAAAAGATAGGCATTCTTTTGCTGGAACAAAGTGAATCAAGCCGAAGCGAAACGACGCTTATCGTGTTTATGCTCGGGTGATCGGTTTTAATCGTGGGTGTGTTGGGAATTCTCGGTATGTCTCGCGATGCCGATGTTTGTTTGCATATGATGAAAGAAGATTCTAGATGACCTGGGCGGAACCGTCAAGGAATTTCCTAACAACGATAGGAATTTTGGCCTTTTAGCCTTGCTCAGTAAAATATCTTCGAGAATAGACACCGCACTGGTTACTGTAGAAATCTCTCGGACTGTTCGACTATAATGTAGTTTTTTCCAATTGTGAATTTCACGTACAGCTTAGGCCATTCATGAAAATTTTATTTGAGAAGAGTGGAAAACAATGATTCCAGAGGTATTTACAACGACTCATGATTTCTGTCATAACTTTACTTTCCTCCTATAGTATTATTAATTGTATTTACCCGCACTACGCTTTTGCCGTTACTCGTCCCAGTAGAATGCAGAATGCAAGTCAAGTGTGAACCTTGTGATACGGCCCAGCGCGGAAACAGATTGTTTCGAGGGTCGATTTCTCATAGGAACTCAGAATGTTTTCTTTGCCGTCCTACGCTCGCGATAAGACGAACTACTGTATGTCTTGCTTTAAGGACTGAAATTTTTGTCAAACCGTCTTAGAATGTGGAGAACTTGTGCTTGAATGATTTTTAGAGGGACTACAGCAAGAAAATGATGATGATTTGGAACGGATTTTCCAAAGATTAGTTCTTTACCGGCTTAATTAGCAGCTTGGAGTAAAATGTTTTTTCCCGTCTGGCTGTGATAAAAACCAGATTGCAGTTGAAAAAGATTTTGAGATAGACTTCCAGGTATGTTTTTCAGGTTTCATTTATATTTCAGCAGTAGCTGGAAATATTGCATCACTTGACAGACTCACCCGCAAGGAAGAGTGATTTGTGAACACACAGCTGTATCAGAAGATAATTCTTGTCATCCATTTTGAGTGCAATGTGATTTTATTACACAAGTACGGTCAGCATTTGACCTTCCAAAATCATCGAGTTATGAATTTTTGTGATATTTGTGTCGGCTTTTTCTCGCGCGAAGAAGAACTACTACAGAATTAGTTGCATCGAACATTTGGAAGACAGAAAAGCATGATGTGTCGTTTGCTTTCTGCGGCTATCTGTAAACTTAAACGAGTCTAACGAGCATCGAGGAGCATAAACTTAACTTTTGTTGGTCAAGTTTAGCAGAATTAATGGATTTTTCTCTCAAATTTAGTTCCGTGCGGCCTGCTATCGTGAACTTTTCTCCACTGATGTTTTTTTTTACTGGCGCGAGGGACTTTGTTTAAAAGGAGGGACTGCCAGTATTCTAGAGGAGGAAAGCCGTTCGTATGCAACAACTGAGTCTTTAAATGATCTCCGCACCCAGCTGGTGTAGCGGAGAATAAAACTGATAAGAACCTTTTATGCTGGTAAGATTAGGAACACCATTCTTTCTTTCATCACTCTTCCTGTTTGATTCCAGTTAATAAATCATATAGAAGGCACATACGCAGATTGGTTTTTCGCTCAATAACTCCAAGTCAAATTAGAATCTGGAGTCTCTTTTTCGAAAGAAAACTTCATGTATAAAACGGGAAGACGCAAAGAAAACTCTCGAAACCAAACTTAGTCAACGCGTTTGAACTCTGGTATAAAATTTTCGCTCTGACGAAGGGCTAACTCTTGAAACGTCAGCTTTAGAAACTCTTTACGGTGGCCAATTTACATTATCAACTCAGAATTGATAGAATCTAGTCATAATCCCCACTTACGCGGCACCAAAGTCTCTTCAGAAGCTTAGCCAGCCCTTTATGAAATTTTGGGTCTTCGAATTATTCGTACCCAGGCCACGACGGTTTTAGGCGAAGCTCTTCTTCTCAGCATCACGCTGGCGGAGAAAATTGAGGGTGACTCTTCTCAGGGCAACAACTTGACAGTATAAGAACGGGAAATTAAATCGATTTTGTTTCCAACTATAAAAAGAGGATTCTAACGTTTATAGCACATCACAATTATGTAAGTTGTATTGAGTTTTTGCCAATTTCTTTCGAAGAATATTAGTTCTTTTGTAAAAATTTTGTAGCCTATTAAATAGTTGACGAGCCTTTCATTTTCCTACTTCTACAGTGTCATTCCTTTTTGGCAATAGACTGAAACACAGTTGATTAGCTTTTCATTAAGTGCAAAGAAGACATAATTTTAAAACAGCTAGGAATTTTCCTTAATGTTTTTTTTTTCCAGAAGATTCCACGTCAGCTTATGTTGAAAAGAACTCTTTGTTTGTCTAAAAATGTCTTAATTACCAAGGTTTCACCGTCAAAACAAGTGACGTCAAAGGCAGGCGCGACCGAGCTTTGGACTAATGTTGTGTCTACACCGGAAGGCCGGAACACTTTACTCGACGGCGTCTGCTGATCTTGCATGTTTATGAAATCTTCCTTTTCTGAGGTTTTTCTTATCTTGTTGTTAGGACACAGAAAGACACTTGACATAACACAAAGGTTTAATTTTGATGGCATCAATCATTTTCTTAGGGAATAAATACAACGTTATGTACATTTAGGCACCCTGTTGTCAACTAATAGTTAATAACAGTTTGTTGGGCAACCGTTCATTATTTAACACCTACGGGGTGGTGAGAGGGAAGCTGGGGGATATCGCTTATGTTACAATAAAATTAATCCGATCCCCCCATAAGGCTCTGTAATATTCTTACTAAGACCCATCACTGGCAGTTAGTTGGCAGTCAACTTTGATAGTCCTCCTTATACTCTGTTGGCGACAACTGATTCTTCCTCTGTTCCCCCTGAAAACAAAATGATCCCCTCCAAAATCTTCCACCCCCTTTCCCAGGTGACCTAAAAAAAAAAAAGTAATCAAATTTGTATGAGTGCCTTGCTCTAATCTTCGTGTATGTGATGGCTATAATTGAATAAGTTGAATAAGTTTCTCTTGGAGACCTCAAACACCTTAGCAAATAAATGACATGACTCCTGTTACTATCCGGATGTTTGAGTTCCTTGTTACTACAAACTTGAATATTTATTCGATTAAGTGCCCTGAGCGGTTATTCACTTCATGGACCTTGCGCGTGGGCAGCTAATGACGCTAAACGCTTATAACATTCCACCATTTCCAGCAAGTGGCAAGTTTAATTCGCAACAAAACAAATAATAACAAATCGTGAAGATGTATCATGGACGGTGGATATTCTGTTATCCATATTTTGTGGAAGGGGAGGGGGAGGGGATGCCTGGAACTTTTTGGAATAATTCTTGATAATGAACTTAATTTCAAGGAACACATATCCTCTGTATGTAAAAAAATAAATAATCAGTTCAGTGTCTTCAAAAGATTTGGCAAACTTATTTCTACCGAAATTATGCTTCGCCTTTATAAAACGTTTATGTTACCCCATTTTCACTACTGTTCAATGATATGGCACTTTTGTAATTCAGAGGACTCTGTTAAACTGGACACCTTAAATAGACGTATTTTAAGATTTGTTTTAAAGGACTGGGACTCGAACTATGATGATCTTTTAGACAAGGCAGGTGTGTGTGGTTTAGCCAACAGGAGGATACAAAATATGATGATTTGTATATTCAACTGTCTCCATCTTGGTAAATATCCGTGCTATTTGAAACAACTGATCAAGCTAAGATCTACTGCTTACTCCCTAAGGGGCACCAATATTTTATGACTTCCTAAGCCGTTTACAACCACATATGGTCTAAATTCTTTTAGCTATTCATCTGTTAAGTACTGGAACTCCCTCCCTGACCACTTTAGAAAGACTGTAGATTATAGTGAATTTAAGCGCAAACTGTTAGTGCACAGTTTCTGTTAATATTACATTAATATTACATTATATTATTATATTAATGATTATTATATTATTACATTATGAATTTTTTTTTCTCTTTTTAGCCTTGTTCTTGCTGTAACTTTTAAAATTAGTAATTAGGATCGGAGATACTAGCTTGTAAGCTACACTGAAATCCGAGGATAAATAAAGCTTATGTATGTATGTATGTATGTATGTAGGGGAGGGGAGAGGGGGAAAATGAGGAGGGCGCTTATTTACTTTCTCTCCCTGAAGGGTGGACACTTATTCGAGCTTAGGCGCTTAACCCTTCAACTCCCACGGGTGACCATTACAGAATTTCTGCTTACAATATCAATAAATTTACCAGATAGGTGATGAGAATGAAGAAATTTGGGGATAATTAGTCGATCCAATACTAAATTCTCTGAACTAACATTATAAGAATTGTATGGTTGACAGTAAGGAGAATTACAAATTTGATCTGAGAGTTAAAGGGTTAATCGAAGAAATACAGTTTGTGCAATATTCGCATAAAACAATCACTTGAAAGAGATGAAGGGAAATACTGGGTGTATAGTCTTAGTGAGTTGTTTTAAACAGATAACACTGATTGGTTAGTTAATTTTCGAACACATTTTTCTCTCTCAACCCAACATAAACGTACAATAATCAAATCAAATCAACGCTTTTGTAGAAAAATTGATTTACTACTTATTTACATCCAGCTTGCGTTACCATACAAGCCCAACACATTCGGCGAAAAGTCTGTCACGCAGTCATTGACCTGAAATCACGCAAAACTTCCTCTGTTAGAAGTGTTTTGCGACACTTCAAATAAAGTTTGCGAAAGAGACCATCAATACTAAAAAAAAAAAAAAAACTTTAAACTACCACGCTAAACTTAAAGAAAAACGGTTTCTCGTTAAAAAAAAAAAATTATCTACACCCCAGCCCTCCCCTTAAATAACCGCGACTGAAAACCAAGTTCAGTTAAAATAGCGCGCATATAAAAAATCACATCCGTAAATCACTAAAGAATGTTAGTCTCAATTCACGAAACGACGCGTTCTTTGTAACATCATCCCGGCCCAGTGGTCCGTGCCAAGGCTCGATAGCACCACTCGGTTCAAGCCCGAAGCGCTCCGACTCTGATCCCGACTTCCCGAGCTATCTTGGCTGCATAAACGGAAACTGTAATTGAGAGGAGTAACAAAGTTCTTCGAGAAAAAAGACGACGCCAGTTGGCCAACATTTTAAATGGACATTGAATCTGTTGAATAGCGACCACGAATTAATAACGTGTGGCACCTGACTAATTTATCACAAAAATATTTCGACAAAATTTTTTTTCTTCCCTATTCAAACCACAAAACTATCACCCTCATACTATCAGGATGAACTCGTATGACTCTTTCCTAATGACTATCGCACGTTAAATTAAATACCAGCGCTGATAACTTAATGCTTGATTTTCAGCGCTTAACTTTGAGGGTGCAGAGTGACACTCAAGCCGTCGCTTATCCCGGAGTGTTCTCCTTACTTCAGGAAGAGTGTCAGTTCGCTGGCACTTGATCCTTCATTGATGAGTACCCTTTAGTTTGTGGAAAAACGGACGCAACTTTGTGCCGTCCATTTGAACGAAAGATGCTGGTAATTCCATTTCGAACCATCCCTCCAGAATAGGAATGGCTCCCTTCCGCCACGTGATCCACAGTCTGGTTTGAAATGCAACCGAATCCACGACGATCATACCTTCAATGGAGGGCCAGGTTTTCTACGATAAGCCACTATTTACTTTGGCAAATTGACTCCCTTAAAAATAGAAAAATACAACACAAAAAAGAAAAGGAAAAAGGAAACATTCAAGGGTTAAAATCCATCATTGTACAATCACTCTGCTGCAGCAAAGTCCACGAAGAGCACACAACTCCTTTGACATGTCACACAACGTTTGACATCTCGCTCTCTCCTTTTGTGCTTTGCCGTAGTCCAACTAAATACTTTCACTGCTTTAATCTTAACCTCGTCAACCTCTAACTTCTATAAAACATGCCCTTATCCTCCACCGCAAACTTGCTCATATCTCCAACAGAAACAGTGAACCCATGCCGACATTAATGTCAAGAATAAAATGGCGCCGAGTTGCCGTTATAAGCAGAACTAGAGTCACTCGGTCTTGAACATTTTAGGCAGAGGTCTTCGTATGTTCCTCCTTGTAATAAACAAACGATAATCACTGTCATGTTGTCGCAGCCAAGGCCTCCCATCTGACAATCTGGGGCAAGGCATCTCGTAAGAAGCTCTTCACAAATCTAAAGACGAGAAAGGGCGAGGTTACATTTCAAGAAAGACGTTAGAGCTGCTTTCAATTAAGCATCAAAAGTGATCTTGGATTGCTTTGGTGCTTCACGCGCCTAGTCCGTAAATGCGAACACTCAGAAGGAAGATAATCACTCCACACACCTGTTCAGGTTCCATTTTTTGAGCTATCCTAATTCTTACAAAATCGATTACTTCTTGATTGGACAGAACATCCCAGATACCTGTAAATAGAACAAGACGTAAGAGGTTACATACTTCACTTTATGAAAACTCAATGGGAGACGCGCTATTCCAGAGCGAAGTGCACTGGACACATAATTGTTCACCAGTGGCGGATCCAGGGGAAGGGGTATCGGGACCTGTCCATCAGATCTGTGGGTTTTTTTTTCCGGTACTTGTCTGCTATCAAAATACTAGCAAAACCTGGATTGCATACTACTAATCACTATGAAGTACTCAAAATTGATTTGTTTTGAAATAGTTTGCATATTAGGGCTATGGTGTAAATAAATAAAGGTTTTTTTTGCTTTGTTTTTTTTAAATCAAAGCTTGTATCCCTCCTGACAAGAATTTTCGGATCTGTCCCTTTTCTAAGTTAGGCATGAAACTATCACAATGCCTTTTTCAGGGCATGAGTTCAAATGAAAATTAGCCAGGAAGCCAAGTATGAGGCAATGAAACTTGATGAATTTTTTTTGGAAGGGGGGAAGGGTGTTAGGTCTTAGGACAGACCAAATTACCGTCCAGTAAGAGTGGAATAATCCTATTTGCTTCAAGCTACAGAAACTGGGAATAAGTTCATCAATAAATTAAGCCCTGGTTGGATTGAAAGGAAACTTGACCGTTCCTTTGCACTACGGACAAATGAACAAAAACAATTTTTTTTGGGCTCTTTTAAGAGGATGTTTAAAGCCCACGAAACTACCGTGATGGGAAGACAGCTTCTCTTAAGTACTCACCATCACAAGCTAAGACAATAAATTCATGATCCGGTGTAATTTCTTTCTGTATCACATCAGGCAGAGCTGAACAAACCAAAAAAAAAGCCATATAAATGAAAATTCATCACCTTATTCAGGAAAATCCTGAATTTCCTTCACTTTCAACTCACTAAACTTATATTGCCTGAGCGATCTGTAAAACTAGTTTCCTCTGTGGCAACCCCCTCAGTTGATATCTATTATGTAATTATATGCATGAATATGATCTTAATTTGGCTTCTGTAAATTTTACATATTAAACATAAACAGTTCTGATGAGGGTATAGCTGTAATTAATGGATGTGGATGGCTTAAGTCAACAGAACAATCCATGTCAAAAATTGTAGAAAAACCAAAGCTGTAAAGTGAAAATCACCTTAGGACTCCAGTTGTCCTCCTATGTCACTGAAAGCTAAACTACAGCAACGCTACAAAAGGCAAGAGGGGTTGGGGATGGGGTGGGTGAAGGTTAATCCCCCCTGATACAATAAGTTGCACAGCTGCCAAGGAGTCCTTTGGCCTGTTTCTCGAAAGTCCAGGTAATTAAACAGGCTTGTAGAGCTGTTCTGTTTTTATTCAAGATTGGGGTTTCAAAAGTTTTGAAAACCATGCAATAAAACTATCAGATGAAGAAACAAAATGGACTGGTTAGGGTGCCAGAACCTGCTTCTCTGTGTAAATTTTGAGTAACAGGGACTTTTGAGAAATGGGCCTGTGTTTTTGGCCCTTTTTAGTTAGAGTTGGGCTGAGGTTAAACCATTCGGCTCTGAAAAATCAGGTAGTGTTTTCTATCTTCTCTAAAACTAAGTTCTGGAGTTCAGCATGTTTTAAGAAGATGCATTTTTTACTCCACATCATTTTACTCCCTAATATAAACTATCTACTGATAACTAATCACACAGCTCACTTCACTGATATCAATACCTGTTACAATCTGCTCCTCTGGTGATTTCTTGTCATTCCTCTTGAAGCAAAAATCTCCAAGTGCTCTTGACAATGCTAAGTTGCCTGTGGGTGAACATCAAAGAGGTAAGTGTTAATGCCACACAACCATACTTAACCCTTTTAACCCTTAGAGTGACCAGCGTCCAAATTCTCCCTACAATAATACTGGTGAATCATTCATTTGAGATCATGAGAATAAAGAAAATGATCACAAGCTAAGAAGCTTTGATTGTTAAACAAATTCTCCTTGTCAGCACCAAAGGGAATGTATAGAGAAGAGTATGGAGAATTTGGATACTGATGTTAGGGTGTAAAGGGTTGATATGATTTTTATGCATTTCTTGCCAATTACTCTCTAATCGTTGGCCCATACTATTACTCAAGTAGAGGATAAACTGTTTGTATTAGTGGAGTGCCTAGGTAACAGCACAAGAGAGAGAAAATGATCATCATTAAAGAAGACAGAATGTGGTTATGGTGTAAACTATATCACATGGAGTTTCTGCAATGACTCATCTAGTAGCAAACCTTGTCAAGCAGGGCTTAGCATGCAATGAAAAGAAAAATTGCAGTTAGGTTTTTTATGCATGGCTAAAGCCTACAAGACTATCTATCACTATAAAGCTATCTAGCTTCTGTAGTTCACTTGAGTGCTTACCATTAACTCTGTTAAACTCCACCCAGCCCCCAGCAGCTATGATTCTTCTTGTTTCATCTTTTAAGAGACAAAAAGACAATCTTTCAGTGAAGGTGCTCCTTTATTGAGGTGCATGATGTTATCACAATCTTTATTGCCACTGGCATTGCTATATTTTATTTCAGGGCTGGCTCTTCAAACCAGCAAAGAGAAGAGAATTCTGTGATGTGATTGGCTATCAAGCAGGTAATATTGCAGACCCAAAAATTGCTTGCACCTAGTTTACATTCTTCATAATTTCTGGGAAGCCATCTCAACCTGCTGCTTAGTCAATAATGCACAAAGTGATCTTAAAACTCCAACTTAAACAGCCAGAAATTGCTCCATTGCCATGTTATCAGGTTAAAAGTGGAGTTCAAATGTATGAAGCTGGTGTTTTTCTCCTCAAGGTACTAATTAAAGGGTACAGTTTATTAGAGTGATGTCATGAATTTTGAAAAACTCAAAAATTGTCAAGCTGTCATAGGAAATCTAACCTTTAATCTCCACAATAACACTCTTGTTCCCAGTTAATTCATAAGTATTTTTGAATTTGTAAACATTGTCAAACCACTTTTTAAAATATTCCCCTTAGAGAGAAACCATTATTTAGTCAACGAAAAACTTGTGTGTTACCATCATTGCTTGGCTTATGATCAAAGGAAAGTTGTTCCACTGCTCCCTTTTTTGATGCAATGGCTCTAGAGTCTCCAACATTTCCCTGATGAACAGGACAGACAAACACAGGCAAAGATTTATTAATTCCAATGTAAGAAGAATTAACAAAGATATAAAACAAGATATCACTGACAACAATCATCATGATAATAACATTCTTACACAATAAATCTTGTTATTTTTGAGGATTATGACTATGGCAGTTGTTCCAGCCATTTCATCCTTCATCTGATCATCTGAAAACAAACCATGGCAGCGTTATAGTGAGTTAAACACAGGAAACCTTTGCTTTTAAATTGCTTTTAAATTTAATAGGCAACATTAACAGCAATAATCACCCCCTTTTATCAATCATGGAGGAAAAAAAAAAAAAAAAACCAAAAGAAGTATCAAATTACTTTCATTAAAGTCAGAGCAAATCTTATTATTAGATACGTGATTGTTGGTAATCAATTGATTGTATGACTCATAGTATATGCTCATAATATGTTAATTCTGCTCTAAGTCATAATTTCAGATTTAAAATTTCATTTTCCCAAGTGAAACAATATCTGGTGGAGCAAAACCCCAAGAAATTAAAAAATGAAGGGATTTGCAGGTGTTTTTGCTGTTATTCTCTATTTATACTTTTTACCATTACCTATTTGTTCAATAAATGAATCTAAAGACCATAATAACTTGACTTCTGCTCAACTCTGTGCCAAAACACTACTGTACAATTCTTTCATCCACAGGGGGTCAACTTCCAGATGAAAACATTTTCAAGATGGATCATGTGTAAAAAACTCAGACAAGCGAATTCAGTATCTTATACTCTTGGGGGCTTTCATTCTTGTGGAGGTCTCAACTAAAGCCTTGATCAACATTCTCTAGGAGTTGTTGTTTAGTGCTTGGTAAATTAGACTTCAGATCAAGAAGTGCATAATCCAGCTGGTAACTGGTTGTTGCGCTTACTGTCTGTTTGCCTACATCTAATATGTCAGTTTACAGTTCATATGTCAAAACTGAATTGTTTAAAAGTCCTTGTTGAACCACCCAGAAAAACTGAGTATTAAGATGAAATAAACCACTGTTTACGGTCTTAGTGTTTACTTGTGACTCGAGTGGCCAATACTAAAGGAGGTAGGACTTTATAAATTAATGTTTTGATTGTTAGTTTGTGTGCTTTCATGTGATCCACAAACTTAGCCAGATGAAAAAAAAATATATAACAGTTAAGGCGTTATTTGTGTTGACTTGTGACTTATGTGGCCTATACCAGTACTAAAGAAAATGAGACTTTTCATGAACATATCATTTGAAAGGACATAGCACTTGGGAAATTAGCTTGTTCCCACTTTCCTCCCCCATTCAATGTTTATATTGATGTTGCGATTTGTTCTTTGTAAATAAGTGTTTTGTTAGTTTGTTCCCTTTCACATGATCCACAAACTTAGCTAGATGAAAAAAGAAAAATATATACATATATATATATATATTACATTTCCCGACAAGCCTACTACACACACACACACACACACAAAATCGACTTATATATATATATATATATATATTTATACACACACACACACACACACACACATTTATATAACAGTTAAGGTATTATTTGTGTGGGCTTGTGACTTTAGGTGAAACTTTCATTAACATATCATTCAGATTTAGACATGGTAGTTTATTTAACAAAGGATTGTAAACAACATTTGTATTCACCAATCATATCATATCGCTGCAATTTCAATCCATCAGAGAAGGGATTGACACTATAAAAGTCCTAGTATTTTTTTCTCTTGTCACCAGTTCGTTAGAACAATGCTCACAATGGAAAAACCAATGTGATAGTCAATGCTATCATCAAAGCTAAAATCATCAATATCATGGAAGAATTTGACTGCATCTTTTGCACACAAATCGTCACCTTCTGCCTAGAAGCCCTCCTCTGTGGTGGATGCAACAGATGGCAACACTGTCATTGCCACACTAGTGTTGACAGGGGGGGAAGGTGTCATGCGAACAACCCAAATGTCCCCACATGTAATAAGTAAAAAGTTGCTTGTAACAATTACATTGCATTTGTAAACTTCATTTTATATGTAAGCAATAAATAAGTTTGTATCTATCAGAGACTGATTAATACATATTACAAAACCCAAATATATAACAAATGTTCTCTAGAATGTTGCAAAATGAACACACATCATACAGAATTACAAACATGCATTAAGAGTGTAATTGAAGAACTGTGTAATTTGAAACTGGAGATTCTACTGTATTTGCATAACTTGTTTATATGCGTACAAAGTCAACTCATTTCAAAAGCAGCAACTTTCATGTAACGGCCATAGGCTTGAAGGCAAGTTAACTCAAAAGCAACAGCATTACAGAATCGCGCCCATTGAAAAACGTCGCACGGGAAAATGCAAATAAGCTAGAAAAGAGAAAGAGAGCTTGAAATCCGACTGTCAATCATGTAATCCCCCGTGTACGCACTCAGACAAGCAATCAAGAAGAATAGACGTAATTAGTGGCGTTATCTTGATTAGGTTATATTGTTTAAAAATCGGTCAGATGTAAAATTAAATTACCTTTCAAATGCAATTTGTGTTAAGACTCAAATGCGGCAGATTTGCAAATCAAATCGACCATCAATTTCGCCAAGAAAGCAAAACATGGAAATATTCCTTTTAGTAAAATTTCCGTAATACTATCGTAAAACAAATCTGTTTTCCCAGTGGTAAAGTATTGTTTTTGTCACTCTATCCAAGAACTGAACGTATAATGTAGTGTGGGGCTGTGCGGAATTTTATATTGCCGTCAGTTTCAGATAACACGTCGGTAGTCTAATTACTTTTCGAAAAGCTGTATACGTTGTAGATTCCCGCTCCACGTAGGTGCATCACGCTCATAAGCTACGGATGAACACTACTGGCTCTTTTGATATGCAAACGCGGCCCTCGCTCTTTACCGACGAAAAGAGTATTTCATCACTTTCAAACAATGCTAATTGCTCCAATTGTATCTCCATTGTCTCTAAACGGACGCAAAGCGAAATTTTACAACTCCCGTTTGGGAATTTGTCAATTCAGATCTAAAGCGACCGAAGTTGGCGGTGAGCGTTTGCAACCTCATTCCTAATGGGTACCCCACTTTTCTCGGGCGACGCTTTTCAATGGGCGCGATTCCGTAATGGTTAACATTTGTGGTTTGAATTCACTGCACCAAGTGCAAATCAAATCAACTCACTCCAACTTCGCACATCAAGTAGGTGAATCAACAACAACAACAGTGAGCTTTATTTGCATGACTAGAACTCTATAGCAGTGCAAAAGCGTGGAAAGCATGATAATTACTGTAATTTAAATATCAGGGTACAATTACAACATTGACATACATCATAACATTTATCCAATATTCCAAAAAGGGCCAAATCAATTTGTCTCTCATTTCAAAGCACAATGAGATGAACACAATTAACATAGTAATCATTAGAATTCATTAGTTGTGGTATCAAATTTTCATGTGATAATTTTTGATCATCATCAATTTTTGTGTCAATTGAGTTAACTGTTTTATACAGTGATTGTCATGGTACGGACTTTAAGATGTAGGCAAACATATATATTAGACATAGGCAAATCGACTCTAGACTAGGCAAACAGATGGTAGTCAAAACGACCCATAGGCGAAACAACCGTAATTCAATCCAGCTTAACCATTCAGTATTCATAAATATAGAAGGCATACCTTTCTGCATGTCAGTATCACAAGCTAAGAAGCCTCCTTTTATTGCTTCACCAATATTTCCCTTTGCTAAGAAAAAAAAAAAACGGGCAAGAAATTGAAAAAGTGGGTCCACACTTCAAATTCCAATAAATAGTGTCGATATCAACTTACAAGTGAAAAAAGCATAAATTGATGATGCACTCATATCATAATAATATTATGCCTTACCCCAGGAAGGATGAGATGTAATTTTTGTGTGAATGCTTCTCCCACAATACTGCGCTACCCGTGCACCTTGCAATGAAATAGAGAGGAAACGAGGCATGATTAAAAAGTACACAAAATCTACTGATCACAAGTGTCTCACAGTTTCCATTGCAAAGGGAAAAGATTAGTAACTGAACCATAAGCTCAATGACAAGTTATTTGTCATTAATTCTGAAAAAGACAGCATTTCCATGGTTATTATTAGTGGAACATTGAACAAGAATAAAGTGAAATTCCCTTTAAAACTTGCTGCATTATCTAAAAGATGGAAAATGCCATGAATTAAATAACATCATCATTCATCGTTAATCAAGTGTTGTTCCACTCACCTCCATGCCCATCATAAACTCCAAAAAAAGCTGTGCCTTTGTCCTCTTTTAGAGATAAAATCTCTGTATGGGAATCCTCCATGTCTAAGTTGAAAGTTTAGGAAGTTCAAAGTTTCCTATGGTTTTTAAACAAATAGTATGTTGCCTTTGGCCAGTGCAGAATCTGCACATAAGAAGGGGGGAGAGGGTACTACTAAGAATTCATGGCAAAGGTGTGTCCCTTAGTTACCTAAATCCTGAAACTATTTCAAACCAGAACAAGTCATTTTCCAAACTTGTTGCAGATCTGAAGCCTATTTCTTAAAGGTCCCTTTAAGTTAACAGGCATGTAAAGCAGTTCTGTTTTCAATCAAGATGGGGGTTGCAAAGTTTCAAAAAGGCTACCCCAGAAAATTATCCGCTAAAGAAACAAAATGGACTGGTTGGAGTGCCAGAACCTACAGTACTTCTCTATTCTTAGAACTTATTTTAAAATAGGGCCTCAGATGTAATGAATTACCAAGTCTTTCGAGAATGTGGCTACTGGCCTTTAAAATCCAAGTTTACTTCCACAACTTATGGTTAAATTTGTGTATTTGGACAAGCTTCCTAATAGTGCTTCAGTCAGGAATAGGTTAATTTTATCAAGTATTTCAATAACATTATAAAGTTACTCTTCTTTCTCTTTTATTCATTTATTCATTTAAAAAGACAGATACATTTACAATAGATGCATGTGTGATCTCCAAGAAAACTATCCCCAATGTAAATCTATTGCTGTTTTCCAACTAATGTGCACTTAAAACCAAACCACATTGGAGTGACAAACATCTACTTAGCTTGCAGTGGGTGGTGTTACTGTTCTATGAATACTTTTAACCCTTGTAACTTGTATTTCCCCCTTTAATATCTATACATTATCCAGCCACTAGGTAATGAGAATATTCAAACTTATCAGGAAGTTGTCTTGATCTACCACCAAAATCTCATAACCTATTTACAAAGAATTATGTGCAAGTTAGATGGGAGAATTAACAATCAGATATCAGGAGTTTAAGGGTTAAGTGTCCAGCTATTAGAAAATAGCTTGGAGGACACAACCAAGTACCTGAAGGCAAACTGTCCATCGCAATAGCTATAACTTGCCTCTTCCTTTCTAGTTGTAATATAACATTTTGGGTACATACAACAATAAAGCAAAGGTAAAAAACGTTTTAGATCAATGCAGATACTTCACTACTTGTCTACTTAAAAAATTATGGTGATTCAGAAAGGAGTAGCTAGCAAAAATACCAACCCTCAATGCATGTGGAGATCATGGACAATATCTTTGAGTCATGTGGTTTCAACAAATATTAACCCTTTAACTCCCAGATCAAATGTGTAATTCCTCTTACTGTCAACCATACAATTCTTAGAATGTTAGTTCAGAGAATTTAGCATTGAATTAATTAATTATCCCCAAATTGATATTTTTCTTTATTCTCATTAGTTATCTGGTTGATATTGTACTGATATTGTAAGGAGAAATTCTTTCTTGGTCACTCATGGGAGTTAAAGGGTTAAAGAAAATCCAGCAACAAAAAGGATACTTATTCTCCATCCCTGCATGCAGGAAGAACCAACTTTGTACAATTTGTTTGAACAAGAGGAAGTATCTTTAGTAGTGACAGGTTCTGAGAGAGTCTGACCCATCCTGAAACACAAAATAAATCTTGTTATCATATGACCCCTATTGCCTTGCTTATTCAGTAATTGAGAGCACCAAAAAAAAGCTGACATGCATATGGCCATATGGGTTGACATAAACCAGATCAAAAGTTGCCTTACCACCAGCACTACTCTGTTTTTTTTTTTCCAAGAATGTGAGTTCTGTATGTGGAATTTGACTTAAAATAAACAAAAGTGAGGAAATAAGTCTTGCTTTGTAATCAATTTTGAGTTTGTGTTCTGACTCCAAGAAATAACATTTAAGTTTTTCTTTTAAAACCTCTCTTGTTGTTGTTGAGCCTCCTTGTTACGTTTATAATCATGCCCCACTTACATGTAAGTTCAAACAAAATATAAGCATTTTTAAAAAAATACTTATTGACTGAGTTTGGTCAAGCCAGACAGGAAAATAGTTGGCTCTCAGTCACGACACAGGGAGCCAGTGTAGCATCAACATAATGACCTTGAGCCACTCCTGCCAATCCTGCTCCTCCACTCAGGCAATAAATACATAATAGCAAGGTTGTTAGGTAGTAACTAAGCAATAAAGATCAAAGAATTCTCTTGCAGCTATGTACAATTCTCTGGATAAAATTTAATGACCAGAATGATTTCAAATTCAGATATGGAGACTCTCCTCTTGATTTAAACAGTACATACTTTTCTGCACCATAGAATTTAACTATGAAAATGTCATGGAAAATTATCACCAGACACTAACCATACAGCTTATATTTAATAACTCTCACTGTCTTCAAAATCTTTTTCCAATGACATCTTCTTTAACCTTTTAAGCAACTGATGCTTTTTAAGGGAAGGTGACAAATGCTTCATATGTGAAGAGTGATTATACCCAAAATTAAAATATGACAGGGGGAATTTTACAAAAAGGAAAGTCAAGGTTAGATCTGAAGGTTTCCCTTTTTAATACGTGACATGAGAAGTACTATTTTAAGTATATGATGTATTAATTTGTCTAAAATTTGCGCATGAAATGGAAACAAGATCCACCCTCTGCTACCCTCTTAACCCTTAACACCCAGACGTGATTCATGTGAAACTCCTCCCTATAATATCCATAAATTATCCAGCAAAGAGCAAACAAGAATACCTAAACTTATCAGATAGAAGTTGTTATCTTGATCTAATACCAAATTCACCTAACTTATTTGCCAGGAATTGTGTAAAAGCTGGAGGGAAGAATAAACAATCAGATCTCAGGAGTAAAAGGGTAAAAGGATATAAAAACAAATGAAAGCAAACATTTTCTAATTCCAACAGCTTGCTTCAGTGTTTGGGGAAACCACGAGGCTTACAAAGACATATTTCAAAAGAGGAGAACCTGTCTTAATATGACATGTTAATATCCCACAGTTTATGCAGTTTTTTCTTTTTTTTTATTACATGCAATAAATGGATTTTTAATTGTGGGATTATTCAACTGCTCATGCAAAGTTATGCTTCAAAACAACCACCAAACTCAGTGAGAGAAATATCAAAAATGGACTGATCTGCAACTTAAACAGCAATTTCTCGTTAAAAAAGAAAATTTCCTGCACTTCAACTCACACATCGATCTTAATTCAAAACCACTCTGTCTTGATTTCACCACCTTAAATATACCTGATATATATAAATGGTACTAATAAGTGTTAATTTTCCGCAATTTAATCACACCTTACGGCTGATTTAACAGACACTTCCAACTCACAGCAGATAAAAGATCTGTTACGCCGAACAAATGTAATCCTGGTCGCAGGAAACAGTCAATAACACAACAAACATTTACCAACAAAAAGATATCAAGCGGCTTCATATCATCAATTAATATTAACAATGGCCAAAATTTAATTTTTCCGATCCAAGATAATAATGATTTGCGCTCGGTGTACTAAAAATATTCATGCTTTCAATGAAAGAAAATACCGCTAAAAATAGAACCACAGGTACCAAGGTTGCTTTGATATGCAGCACTATGAAAAAGCAAGGTTAGCATCCAGTAGATACGTAAGAACGGTGTTTCTTACAAATTAATATTTTGCTATGTACTATGATACAATGAAAGCATCCTTCATTAAGCCAAGAAACAGCTGTATTGATAAGCTTTAAGTACACCTACTAATGGTCCCACTAAACCATTACAAGGCATAAAATATCATTGCTCAAAACACAGATCTCTCTCGAAAACATTCGAAATCTGTGTCCACATTGCGCGAAGTTACATTCCGCAAAACTCCCCGTTTTTCCGAAGGAAAACCAATTATTGCCATATGTTTTGTACAGAACGAAGCAAGGCTATCATGTATTATTCAAAAATTCGTCCACGCAAAGGGAAAATCCTGAATATAAAATGCATTCAGTGCATTCACAACGCGTCCAATTCAAATTGAACTTAGTACAATTGTTGTGTTTCGTGTTTGCGCCAGCGAAAAAATACTGAAAAGTTAGAGAGACTGTCGATTATCCTATTTTCCTATCCTAAAATAATACAAATTCGAAACGATCGTCGAAGACTTTCAATCGTAAACAAGCAAGGCACTGGGCTTGCGAGTGGAAAACGTTTTTTCTTTCGTTTCTGGCTGATCGAGTTTGTGTAAGGCAAAAGTTCAACAACTTGTAGGAAACGGCAAGCTTTATATTTAGAAACATCTATCTTGTAGAATTACTTTGAAGAGAGGAACGAGCACCGGTTCTTGACAACCGAGTGGATGATAGCATTAAGAGGCAAAAAGGCTTAATTTCTCATCATATTAGCAGATAACGAAAAGGAAAGTGTGCAAGGGGAACAGATACAAGCTTGTCTATATTTAAGTTAACAGTTTATAACAGATAGCGAGTAACTCACCTTAAATTTGACGAGAAATTAGTTTACACCAAACCGCTGATCCAACACAAGTTAGAGATAACTTTTCTAAGAGAAGCTGATAGTGTTAGCGGAGATCAGAGCTAGCGCCTACCAAAGTTTCATGTAAACAGTCGCATCAAAAAATCTTTCCAACTCGACATCTTGAAAGCTCTATTAAGTCACGTGAGAGGGGAGACGGAAATGTGCTTAGAGGGTGTGGGAATTATTGATCATCTTAAAGGAGAGAATGACACAGATTTTACAAATGCAGAAACAATCGATAAACATTGTAAACAGACAAATAAACAAATACTCCAACTAAACAAACTTGTCCATGTAAAGAGAGAGAATATAACTGCGTTTGTAGCTTTGAAAATGTCCATGCTGCATGAAAACTTTGCAATTCCCTAAATATTTTTTCTACAAAGCTTTATCACACGTTTGTCTCTGATTTGCTGTTTTTATTTTCCATTTTTTTTTCGGACAAGCAAGAAAGAAATTCATAAATCATACTGGTCCTACTAGCGAGTCTAATGACAAAATTTGTCATTTCGTTTCAAATCTACAAGTCACGGTCACGTTCGCCATCGTCACGCAATCCTATAGTGACACTTAATGACACAACTATATTTACGTTCTGGCAATTTCTGGCGTTTTACAGAGCGCTGTCACCACAGTTACGAGAGGCCAAATATTAATAAATTCCTCACGATATTTCAAAGTGCTTATCATCCATATGTTTCGGAGACTGAGAGAAAAAAATACACATGTATGCACAGCTATCGGTGATCTTGCCATCATAAATATTCCGGTGATGTTTCTATTGGTCAGTACAGAGCACAAAGAAAACATGAACAATTTTGGTTAGGTCAGGGTTAGGCTTCAAACCTTTCATTGGCTTGAATTGAACGATGCGATAAGAAAAGATAAGGTTTTTTTCTCAACCTGGTGAAAGAAAAAACGGCGAGCAGACATTTGAAATAAAAAAAAAATTAAAATACGTATATTTCTACTTGTTTGGGCCGAAGTGGAAAATTTCTAACCAAAAAGGGAAGTGATTGCTCTGACCATGACTCCACATGATGACAATTCCAATTCGGATCTATTATGTTCGAAAAAATGAAATGAAATAACCCTTTTCTATTTCAAGCGCGCTATAAAAAGACATGGGAAAAAGGGAAAACGCAATGAAAGCAATTTTTTCGTGTTGAATCAGCGAAAAGTCAACACGAAGTCGAGGCTTGGCGCGAGCGGAAGCCGTGATCCTCGTGTACCACGCATGTGCCCGATCACTGTAGCTCAAGTATCTGATGGATGCGGAGCTAACAGGGAAGAAAGAGAGCGGGGATGCGGACCAAGATAGGTTCCGGCGACGCTCTAAAACAACTCCGCCAGCTTCAAATCAATTTGCTATGTCTAATTCGTTAGACAGCAGGGTTGGGAGCTTTGAAGAAGCAGACTCTGGCGATAAATCGTGCACGCCAACGACTGATGAACTACAGCAATCGGGCAATAGACAACAATATGACGTGCCGGCCAGTTTCCGTTTTGTGTATCTTGGAAGTTCGGTCCTTGACAAGCGCTACACTCAGCATATGCTACCGTGGGTCATTGCTGAGATCCGGCGGAAAAACGAGCGAAATCAGATTGATTTAAATGTCAAAGAGATGACAGTAGAGGCAGTCGACTGCTCCGCAGCAAGTACTTTATTTCAACATAAGGTGCAGACCATAACACGCTGCGCGCGTTCTGTGGACAAGAAGTGTTTTGCCTACCTGACTAAAATACCCGATGATGTATCTTCCTGTCACTGCTACGTGTTTGAAGCCGTCGAAATAAGCTCGGTAAGGGTTATCTTCTGTGATTTCATCAGCAGGTTGCTTTGCAGTGTCTCTGATTTGATAGGGCCCCTTACCTGTGTCTCTAAACCCGAAACTATGAATGCTCTCCGGTCAATCAGTGATTACACAATTTATTTGCATCTGAAAATATACTCTTTTAGGTTTTGCAAAGAATTGTGCTTCGTAGCGCTGAATAATTTGCGTGCTTTCTGATGCAGTGTCCACTGGAGTCGTTTTCCTTTGAAATCTCCTTTCTTTCAAACCTAAGCTTGCTCCAGGCTAGTTTATCCCACGAAACATTTCCCTGTTTTTTTTAGGGGAAACCCGATATACCTCTCAACAGATTTTAGCTCGTTGTATTTATTTTGGCGGAGAAAGGTTTCGAAACTTAAGTTTTCAATTCCTCTCAACGATAAAAGGAGCCATATTTTTTATCTTGATGGCGCACATGTTCAAGGTTGCTTTCAAACTGATATCCGAATCGTAATTTCTGCGGAAAAAAAAAAAGAAAAAACTTGGCGTACTTTTGATATCCACGATGTTGGTAGGATCTTCCAGGGTTGCATTTTCATTTGTAACGTTAAATAATTGTTGTTGTTATTGTGATCATTTTTTATGCCTGAGCATGCCTCGTTAGTTATTGTTCGAAATCGTGTTTACGTCCATTAATTTCATGGAAATATTTTTTTCTCTTTATGAATACCTAATCAAGGTCCTTTATTAGATTCACTGAAATTTTAAGCTTCGTTGTCCTTCCGGATCAAAGGTTATAAAGACTTCCTTCATGGATAATTTCTTCTAGTGTTTGTTTTTCGCATGTGACGGAGTGTTTGAAAAGTAGAACCTTTCACAAAATGCTATCACGTACATTGTATGACTTGTTTTGAAGTTCAAGGTAATATTAACATGTTAATAATTGTTATGCAAAACAGTTTTGTCACACAATATCTTGTTTCATTGAAATCAATGTCACAGTGGAATTATTGGTCTTTTTTCAGGTTTAGCATGTAAAACAGTGTTTTTTTAAATAGAATTCGGACTCTTATCTTTCAGATCTTTAAGAGATCTTCAAATTGTCCTGAAAGGATTAAGTAGTCTAAAAATAGAGCTCATTGTTTGCCAATATATTTAAATGCCCTTTTGTAAAGAGATTAAAATTAATAATGAAAGTTATTATTTTTTTTAACTTTGATAAAGAGTTAAATAGTTTGTTTAAGGTAATTTGTCTAGTATTTTTCCGTGCACTCTGTAGCCAGAAGTTGAAATGAACATTAGCATTGTCTGTTATTATGAAATCAGTGCTGCCATTATACAGATGTTGTAGGTGTTTTTGACAATAGATTGTACCAGCTAATGTAGCTGGTAGTATTTTTTGAAATAAATCAGGAAAAAATTTGTCGCAAGGCACCTGTATAAAGAGAATGTTAAATATTCCGTGTACATGTTTGTTAAATTAAATGCGCCATGTCAGATAACTTCAATAGATTACTTGGCAGTGGGCATACCTGGTTATGAATGGTTAGCTGTATTTATTTAGAACTACAATTGAACAGTGAGTGGAAATTTAAAGGTTTGAGTTCTGTTCAAGGATGTAAATTTAAAACATAACCTGCAGATGTAAACCTGCTCAAAATAAAAACCCAATATTGTTCATATTTATATATTAATAGGAGTGGATTTTGTTGGAAAATGATGCAAGTGATCACTGTTTCAGAATTGTCAAAAAGAAAGTGCAGTTTGGAATTCTTGAGACATCACTATGAAAAAATATTTCAAAAGTTTATACAATTTTGTTGTAAATTTTTCCTTTGCAAATTCAGTACTAGCAGGAAGTTTTGAACAAGCAGTCCAGCTTTCTTCTTAAGTGTAAATCTTTTAAAGCTGAAATTTAGTGACAAGGAAGTTATAGGTTTAGTTGAAGTGTCCATTTGTGAAAGAACAAGAATTAATATTATCACTTTAATATAGCTTTAAATATGATTTAGTTTAGTTTTGGAAGGTCACTGATATTTGTCACTGAGATTCTAAGCTTTGTTTGTCCTTTTTTTCTCACAGATTACTGGGTTTTTTCACAGTATTCGTGATGCTGCTAGGCAAGTAGCTGAGCAACCAGAAAGTAATGTAACCACAGATAAGGAAAATTCATCCAATGAACCAGCTAATCCCAACAGCAATGGCAGTCCAACTAATTCTACTGAAAATACTGAGGCACAAGCAGTCATTTTTCCACTGTGGTATGTTGGCCGAGTTATGGTATCTCACAGACAAGCTCCCCCAAATCTTGTAGATGATTTGGTGGACAGGTTTGATAAAACAAAAGGAATGACTGAGTTCGAAAAGCTGAGTGTACAAAAATCAGAGGAAAGAGAAGGATTTTCTAATACAGTCAGTGTTAATGCCAGTGTTGAAAATCATTCTAAGGAACATCCAGCATTGAGTAAAGCAAAAAGCTTGGATCAAGAGAGAATACTCGGTGGAAAAAGCAGCTGTGAGGACAAGGCACCAGAGGGTAGCAAGCACCCACCTCTAATTAAGATGAACAGTTTGAATGGAAGACCTCGCTCTGCCAGTGATGGCGATAAGACAAAGAACAGTTACCCTACCAGGAGTCAGGATTCCCCTCAGAACCAACATCACGCAAAAACACACTCAAGGAAAACTAGTTTCAGTGGTGTTGGTGAAAACAGAAACATTCTTTTCAAAATCAGCATCCACTCAATTGCATGTCTCAGTGCAGCCTCTAGGGTACTGCTGATGGAGAGAAGACTAAGAGAAGTTTCCTTTTGTCAACAGGTAGGTGAAAATTGTGGTCAAGTAATACTAATAATTGTATGAATTTAGACCTTTTCCATTGTTGATGGTTTAAAAAAGAAATGTGTACCTTTTCTACTCTGTTACACTGCAATTAAGGTCCAGCTCTGACATTGTACTTCTGCTGTGTCACACTTAATTACAATTTGGTTCAACTATAGCACAGCAGAGGCATGACTCTGATTCAGACATCAGGCTAATGTTGTGTGAAATTTAGCATTTACTGAAGCACCCTCAGCGCATACTCCATAAAGGAGAGTTATTCTTATGACTCCTCGCAGCGACTTAATTCAGCCGAAGTACATTAGTATAATTTATAAATTTTGTTTGGCATAGCAAGGGTACAATGTCTGAATCACTTTCATGCTACAGTCATGTAGCATGGCAGAGCTTGTTGAACTTAATTGCTTTGCAAACTCAATTAAAAAGTTTGATTCACATGCCAGGCTTCTGCTGTGCATTTGTTGATTTTGATTCCTGAGTCCAGTTTGACCCAAACTAACTCATTTTTGGTGTATGCAATCTTCTAACCATCCCAAGAAATTATTTGAAAAAAGTCCTTCATTTTTGGTTAATTCTTCACATTTTGACATCAATCTAAAGTGGGGCCCTTTCTGTCCCACAGTCAAGCATTTTGAAACCACAGATAGAATTACAAAAGACATTTACATTTCAAAGATTATGACTACATAGGGACTTCTGGGTAGACTAGTTTTGTTTGTGGGCCTTTGTTAACCTAGAAGCCATGGATTTAGATTGACTGCTCACTTGTAAGTTTGAATCTCCTTCAATGACATCAATTGTAAAGTGGAATTTGTTTTCTGTAGCTTGATCATGGCTGAGAGAAGCATGAATTTTTGAAACTTTGCCAAGCTATTTCTTATGTTCTATTTCAACTTAGGGAACAAAGGCACCAGAACATTTTGGCTTTATCTGCCATGAGCTCAAAACCGGGCAGTATTACTGTTACGTGTTCAAGGGACGTTCTGAACAACTGGTAAGTTTCATGGTGAATGCGGTAACACATCCCATTTTGCTTATATATTCAGGCTTAATCAAATTTCCATCTACTTTTTTTAGTGCAAAATTACCTACCCTGTAACTAATGCTTTTTAGTGCTCAGCAAGAAACTTGAATTCATAGCCAGTCAGAGGGAAACTGTCTAGGTTATATAGAGAACTACACTTTATATGTAAAGACCTTTATAAAGTGCATGCTATCCCTTTGCCGTAAATGTGTTCAGTATCCTATACCTCCTGATAAAACACCATTATTATTTGTATTAATAAAAATTTTATTGCAATATTATGTTCATTATTACTATGGGTGCTTTTATTAGTATTGTTATTTGTTATAAGCAATGAAATTCTCAGAGTGTTCTGTTTCAAATTCCGACACAATGTTTAGTTTGTAAGTGATTAGTCAGTTATTATGTTGCATTTGCCTATTACTTTGGTTTGCAAGCCAAGAAGATATTTATGTTAATAAAATATAACCTGAAACAATGTTTTAAGGTGGATGAAGTAATGCAATCTTTAAGACAAGCATTCAACAGTGCATGGCAAGCAGCAGGTCCTACTTCAGTCTGTGATATGTGTCCTCTTCATCAACTTCATCAGTTGTGTGTTCAACTTGAAGGTGAGTTGGTGTGCCCATCCTGACTACTCGGGATTGCCAGCTTTGATCACACAAGGAAAAGAATTGCTTAGAGTGGGCTTCTTAACTTTGTAATTTTAAGACAATGCCAGCTTTGAAGTTGCAAAAAGCAGCAGAAGATGATCAATAGTTTTGCTAAAAAACTAAATAACAAAGTGAAATAAGGGCTTGAAAGAAATTTTAATTCTAATTTAAGTAAAATCTTTTGCTAAAATAACGAATCCTTAATTGACCAGCTTGTTCAATCAGGATTGCTGGATGTAAGCCTTGTTCTCTGTTTTTTTGTTTTTTTTTTGCATTTCTTTGGTCTTCAACTTCGTCTTGGCCTTTAAAAATGCAAACAACAGAACTCTGCCAACATCCAGCCATCTTGACATCACACTTGGTCATGAAAGCTTACATCTAAAACAAAACCATGATCTGGACTTTCTGCAGTCAAGCATCAACCACAGGCCACCAGGTCTCCTGGAAAACCCAGTACAGTCAGTTACTGTCAAAACCAATAGTAAGCACAGGAGGCTGGATCCTCTGTGGCTTTGAGTAATTCTTTTGTGTGTTGTTTGTAGGGCGTGGTCCAAGAAATCAATATGATATACTACAAAAACACAGAATTAATCTCAGTGATGATGAGATGAGCCAATTTACAGAACAGTTTAAGGTGAGTATGTTTGGTCATAATATACAACAGAGATGGTAAACCAATTTAAAACCATACAGTGAAATAATTGCTCACAAGCTGTGAAATGTTGTTGCCAGTAAATTAAGTTATAATTGGTGGGTTGTACATGTACCTCTGCAGATTTTTTTTTCAGTTATTATTATCAGGTTATTTGAAGAGTGTATATAGCACAGTTTCTTTTGTATTCTTTCATAAAATGTTGCCTGTTTGTCACAAATTACATCTGTACACAGCCTGCTTCATTGTCAACTGGAGTGATTTGAGATAAAATGTCATCCAAGTTTCTTAATTCACATCGTTTCCTCAAAATCATCGAGGATGGTTTTGTAGACATGACTATTTTTGCTGAACAGTTTTCCTACCTCTTAGGCTGAAAGTCCATCAACAATGAATGAGGAAATTGAAGTGATCATGGCCATATTCAGAGCAATGTATGAAAAAAGGCAACTGCAGCACACACACATTGGCCAGGTAACAGAAAAGCAAAAAACTGCTGACGAAAATTCCCAAGTGCTACATCAAACCATTCAGTTAACTCGTTCGTGTCTGAAGCGGATATAGTCAGGCCGATGTTTACTTTGCTTTATTCTTTTTTAGCTTCTCTTTGATGTTCACCAATGTTCACCAGTGTTTTTTTTACTAAATGTTGTTTACTTTTCTGTATGTTTAACTTCTAATAAGTTGTATTGGATTGAGGACCAACTCGCCGACGTCTCTACTCGATTTTATACGTCGACGAGTTGGCGTCGGCGAATTGGACCATCGGCGAGTTGACCGTAATTCGATCATCTCACAGCTGGAGCTTGGGCTGCCTGTGTGTCGAGTGGCTGGAGAAGGGAAATTTGTGTTTGATGGACGCTTTCACAGTATCTGTCACGTGAGCTTCAAATGAGTCGTAAACAAGGAAGCTCTTTCTCCTCTTGGGCTGCCTGTGCATCGAGCAGCTGGAGAAGGGAAATTTGCATTTGATGGACGCTTTCACAGTATCTGTCATGTGAGCTTCAAATGAGTCATAAACAAGGAAGCTCTTTCTCCTCCCCAGGCCACCGATCTGCGCACTTTTACTTTCTTTGTTGTTTCTAAACAATAGAATCCGTGTATAATACGCACCGTGATTTGATGGTTATTTTTATAGGAAAAAAGTGCGCATTATACACAGGTAAATACGTTAAATTTTATCTTTGTAATGTTTTTTCAGGGACAGCCATACCAAAAGGACAAAGGGCCAGTAAGCCCCAATTTGTTGCAAAAAGCCAAGAAGTCTCTAACTAGTTCTTTTGAAAGTTTCATGAGTAAGAGGGTAAGAACAACACATCTAATATTATTTCTTAGGAGAATGGTTAATTTAACAAATCAACAGTAGTTTAGCGTGGTTGGTACCATTATTGACTACGATGTTTATCATCACAGTGGTCAAAATGTTGTGGACCCACAAGGCGCAGCAGTGCATGACCACATGTTGACTCAAAGAGCATTGTCTGTACTCTTATCAACGATGGCAAATTGGCTGTTTAGATTGCCACATTGCCAATTGCGGTAAAATAAATATACACAATTTACAGAAGATACTATGTATGTCTTGATATTGTGGTCTGATTGGTTGGATAAGAGTAGTCTTGTTAAATGATTTCTGAAAATAGTAGACATGCTAAAAGTGTTACTTTGTTTATTCAAGCTTATTTGATGATGGGATGGTCATTTGGTGTAATTTCTTTATGTGACATTCTAGGCAAGAGCAAGGACAGTAATGAACGAGGAGTGTTCTGGAATGGTAAGTGAGACCAAGTTATCTCAACATAAGAGTGAAGTTATTTAAAGGATACTAAAAGTAAAACTTAGTAGAGGGGGTTGGAAAAACATGTAGTTCTTGTATGTTGAACTTGGTTATTCTTGCCAGAAAGAAATTTAACCCTTTACACCCCAACATCAGTCTGCATATTCTCCATACTGTTCTCTATACATTTCCTAAGGTGCTGACAAGGAGAATCTGTTTAGCAATCCAGAGCTTCTTTTTATGAACTTGGTGATCATTTCCTACAATCATGTGTCCTTAACCCTTTAACTCCCAGATAAAATTTTGTAATTCTCCTTACTGTCAACCATACAGTTCTTTCAATGTTAGTTCAGAGAATTTAGTATGGGATCAACTAATTATCCCCCAATTGATATTTTTCTTTATTCTCATCACTCATCTAGTTGACATTGTGTTGATATTGTAAGGAGAAATTATCTCTTGGTCTCTTATGGGAGTTAAAGAGTTAATATTGATTCAGGGGTGATATTGTAAGGAGAATTTAGATGCTAGTCACTCTTAGAGGTCAAAGAGTTAAATGAACTTGATTTAATTATTATTGTTTTTTAATTGATAGGAAAGATGCGAGCCAACCAAACAATCACCTGGTCTGCAAAGGAAAAGAAGTATGACTCTGGACAGCACCCCTTCAAACTATAACATCACTACTCCTCCTATGTCCCCATTAAAAGAACTATCTGGAAAGAAGGAGGAGGTGTTTACAAGTACGCCGCACAAGCTGACAAGACAAAGAGCAACAGGAGAAACCAGTCCAACCACAACCACCCCACCTAACACGCCTACCAAAACACCTGGGCGCCACAGGCGTCTGAGCAAAACGAACTCATATGGATATAGACAGGTTTGTGTTGTGCGTAGTATACAGGGTTTTATTAACCCTTTAACTCCCAGATCAAATTTTGTAATTCTCTTTACTGTCAACCATACAATTCTTATAATGTTGGTTCAGAGAATTTGGTATTGGATCAACAAATTATCCCCAAATTGATATTTTTCTTTATTCTCATAACGTATCTGGTTGATATTGCATTGATATTGTAAGGAGTGCATTGAAGTGCAAAATCCACAAGTTTAGCATTCATTTCCTCCAAGGGAACTCAGATGTGTCATTTTTCCAGGCCCATGGGAAAACAGATAACATATTTCTCTCTTCATCGGACAGGCTAGCACAAAATTTACCTTTTGAGTTTTCGCCTTTTTTATCTCTAAAAAGCTGGGTATGATTCATGGACTGAGCCACAAATATTTTGAATATTTTTGTTGCAGACCATATTTCACAGTGTAGTCACACCATCAAAGAAAGAATCCAACTCAGGTAAATTCAAAATAATAAGAATTACATCTGACCTTATGATATAATCTTAGAGGACACAATCTTATGATAGGCCGAAAGTTTTACTTTTAGAAGTAAAAGATATTGATTGGATCTACATAGTGTTTTAAACATCAGAAATTTGTCCAGCTTGTAAAGTTATCCTCTTAGTTAACAACAAGGCGTACGTTTTAACAACAAGTTGCTTGAATGTATACTTGCAGCTGACCCAGAGTTAGGCATCCCTCAGAGTGCATCATGGGCAGAAATGGTTGGTCGCAAGAAATCGTCTCAGGAGCTGAGAGCTCTGTGGCGGAAAGCTATCATGGAACAGATTTTACTCATCAGAATGGAGAGAGAAAATAACAGTTTACAGGGTATGTAATATATAGATTTAACCAAGCCTAAAAGCGGAACTCGCATTTTTTTTCCCACACGTCTTAAGGGCACAACGCCTTGCCCCGGCCAGGACTAGAACCCGGGTCGTCCGACTCGGAGCCCAGTGCACTGACCACTGGACTACCGGACAAAGCCCGCGGTGCAGTTGACCACGCATGTTAAAAGTAGCACCTTGTAAGGTCGTACGGTCGTATATCCAAATTTTTTCGGCTCGATAGGTTACTTCTATTTTGTATAATTATGGGGCTACGCTCTGCGAGCTCCGGTAATATTTTAGTTGATAGTCTTGTTTTCAGGCAACTTAATTGCTTCACCCAGCTTTATTTACGTGTATTTATTTCCTGCCAAGTAGTGTATAAAGCCTCTTCCGTACCTTCTTCTGCCTACAAGCTCTTTCAGAGTCGGCATTGTACTCCAATCAGCTCTTCTTTCTAGCCCTTTCTTTCCTCAGCTGTCCTTGTAAACGTCCTCTTAGGTCTATTCTGTCTCCAGCGCCCTACTGGTGTCCCTGTTGATACAGTCCTATAGTTGTCGTGAAGCTCTTTCCTCAAAATTTGGACCGCAAATTTTGAATTGCATTTCAATTTGATTCTCTCTATTTTTTTACATCCATGTTTTTCTTCGCAATTGTTGACAACTTTTTGAATTTACACAACACAGAGACCATTTCCCAACAGTGGATTTGGATCAATTATTGTTAATCTAGCGCCTTTTAGAATCAGGATTATAAGCGGTTTGATGAAATCATCTCTCTTACACAGTATTTGAAACTTGTAACTGTTTTTTTTCCTTCCAGTTAATCAGAATGTCATAGAAGCCAATATGCTGAAGCTTTCATACAATGAAGTTCCACCGTGTTCTGATGCAGCAGCTGCAACTTGGAACAAAATTCTTGAGAATGGAGATGAAGCAGTTGACTTGAAGACTCTGACAGAAGCTGTCAAAGCTGGTAGGTAAATTCCAAGGCCTTTCAATGCGCGTTAAGTGCGGACTGTGGACTGTCGATTTTGAATCTAAATCTGAAAGGTACAAATCTCACTTCAGTCACACCCACATTTAAGATAAAGTAAAATTCCACACGAGACCCTCATACAATGAAGGATAATTTCCACTTAAATCAGTTATCAGAGATATAACAGGGTAATTTAGTGTTATCAACAGAGTTGACAAGTTAAATTGCCACCGTAAAGAGTTTAAAGGCTAACGCTAGAAACATCAGCCTTTAAACTCGATCTTTACGGTGGCCGATTTACGTTTTCAACTCAGTTGATAACATTTTATTACCCTGTTATACTTCCACCAACGTAGCACCACAGTTTCTTAATAAACTTACTCCATTGCCAGAGATGTATTTCTTATGTAATAATTTCGTATACAAAGGTGTACCCAAAGCCAAAAGAGGCGAGATATGGGTGTTTCTTGCCAAGCAGCACGACTTGCATTCACCACCTGAAAAGGAACAGCAATGGATGGAGAAAACTTACCATGACATCAAGGAAGGCTCTACGTGTCACCAGCACTCCATCTTCATTGACCTAGGTAAGTATGCTGTATAACTACTGATCCATTGCCACTCTTTCAGGGCGGAGAGGAGCTGAGCGAGCTGAAGGCCTTGTTATCTTCTCCTTTGACTTTGCCTTATTTTCCCTCACAGGTCGCACATTTCCCAATCATCCATACTTTGCTCCTCCGTTGGGGCATGGCCAGTTGTGTTTGTTCAACATCCTGAAGGCGTATTCCATTTTAGACGAAGAAGTCGGCTACTGTCAGGGACTTAGTTTTGTGGCTGGCATTCTGCTGATGCATATGAAAGAGGAGGATGCTTACGACATACTTCGATTCATGATGTACACACTTGGTGTCCGTAAGCAATACAAACCAGACATGCAAGATTTACAGGTAAATTCACGTAGCTGGACTGTTTTACAAACTGACTTGCATTGCTGTCTGATCTTATTTTTGCGTTCGTATTATAAGTCGACTTGGTTTATTGCCAATCTTTTATTTTTATTATTATCATTATTATTATTATTATTATCATCATCATCAGCAGCTGGTTAAGATTCCTCTTCTGCAAAGTTTCACTTATGTACGTTAAGTTTAGAGCCATCTTTTATTTGATAACTTAAGCAGGCTCTGAACCGTGGGAAATAATTTTTGTGAAATTTAGTGGGACGATAAATCTTTATTTTCTCAGTGTATTTCAGTTACACCGGGGTCTGTGAACTCGTGAACTCGTGAACTTACAGACACAAAGTTAGAATTAAGAGCGTTTTAAGGGGCAGTTATTTTCATGGTAACCTTATGTGTTAGAAACTAATCCCAACCATTTCGAAGGAAACAAACGAAATGTGTGGAAGCTGTCATCCATCAAAGATGTGTTTTTATGAAATAACAAAACGACCTTTTGTTAAATGTTTTCATCTGTCTCGCAATGAAATCTCTTCGGATGTGGTTCGCGACGTCTCGACTACACACTGTGAGTCTTCATGAGGAGATAAGATGAACTGGATACGAACCACCTTATGAACCATTGTGCTCAGCTGTAATTGGCTGATGTTCAACAGCTGTGATTGATGCATTCTGTTTTTCACACTGGAAGTTACTTCCTCGTGAAACGGACGATTATACTTCATTTAAGTGTATTTACTGCGACGAATAACCGCAACCTTTTTCACGATTATAAAACCATTCTGAGACAATGCTAGATTATGGAACGCCGCTCACCTGAAGAACAGCGTGTATTTGTTATTGTTTCTTCAGCCCAACACGTTTTCTCCATTCTTTCTTTCAGACTCAGTTTTACATGTTATCACGCCTCCTACATGATTACTACAAACCTGTGTACGAGTTTCTACTGGAGCTGGAAATCACGCCTACTCTTTACGCAGCCCCGTGGTTCCTTACGCTCTTCGCATCTCACTTCCCAGTAGGCTTTGTGGCACGAGTGCTGGGTGAGTTGTGGTCTTTACAAACTAATCGATGAAGGTTATGGTTAGATTTTCTTTCGAGGGGTTTTTGTGGAAGAAATTCAAAATCCCGTCGTAAAAGTTACTTAAAAAGCGAGGTTTAAAGTAAGATGCAATGTCAACTTAGACCATTTTTCCCAGTATACCATGAATTCCATTTTGATGTCCGTAAGAAATCCTTTGTTGTCTTGAGTTAGTGTCACCATACAGAGTTTTCTCCAGTCGATTCAAATTTTCCATCCTTTAGAAACAAGAAACTACTTTTTATCAACGTGTTTTTTGTAAGTTGTTGCTGTTGTTAATTTTTAGATATGATGTTTCTTCAAGGCATGGAGGTGGTATTCAAGGTGAGCTTGTCTAAGCGCCTGTGCTGTCGTTCGACTGAGATCCTACCACCGTATTTAAGTAACTTACTACAGCCTCCCATCCATCTGTAGGCGTTTAATTTTGAGTTCGGAGTGAGTTTTCAGTGAAAGCTACTTTTGTCATGATTAGCTCGAAGGATCCGACAGACGCACGCAGACCTTCGAAACCTGTCTTTATTGTTCTCCCTGATCACAACTGATTACACAACCTCTTTAACTCACGCTTAGAGTATTAAAGCTAATATTATAAGTAGTCACAAAGCATACTAAAAAGCTCTCAGATCTTGACAGATCCGCTCAGGGTTCATTCGGTCACGCAAGTGTCATCTAATCACTTAAGATGTCTAGACTTCTTTTTCCTTATAAAATTTATGGGATTTGAGATCACTACCCCGCCCAACCAGTATATACCTTTTCATAATAGGAGTCATGAGCCCGAAACGTAGTTCTATAAACCGCAAATCGCGTTCTCAGACTAATCAACATTTGTGACTTTCACCAGGTGATCCTGTTGCTGCTCGGGTCTTGTCAGGTAGAGTTATTGGAGAGTGATGGTTTAGAGGGTGCTGTGGAAGTGATGAAGACTTCACTGGCGCCTTTTGCTGAACAAAACGTCGAGTGGTTGGTCAGTCAAGTGCTCTCGTTTGATATCAGTAAAGATCTGGAGTCTTACGAGGTGAGTTGCCTCTCGTAACTGCTAGTAGAGGGAAACACAAGGTACGACAAGGATTACTTCCCCCCCCCCCCCCCCCCGGGATGAGATGGTACACCATTGCTGGTTAGCACCTTTCATTCGTTCCAGTTCCTTTGATGCTTCGCGGAAACCCATTCATACTTTTGAGTGGAGAGGAGCACATCAATATTTAGATTCTCCATACTGCTCCTGATAAATTTCCAATGGCACTGACAAGGAGAACGTGTTTGGCAATCACTGGCTTCTTTGGGTTGCCTTCCATAAATGCCTGCTCGCCTAAAAGCAGCGTTTCTTTTTATTTGCTTTATTTACGTCATTAAATTGTTGTAAATTGGTTTCATTAATAGTTGTTAGAGTGAATTGGCCACCCTAAAAGATTGTAAAGCTGAGGTTTCTAGCGTAACCTCCGTTTTAATAAGAGATTTTGTTTGATTAATTTCCCTTTAGGTTGAGTACTGTGTTCTCAAAGAGGAGGACCTAAGCGTTGCGTCATTTGAGGACATTGAAAGTGAAAGGGTGGAATCCTTGGAGGCAGAACTCACCATCAAAACAAAACAGATTCAAATACTGTCTGAACAACTCACTTGTGCGCGGAATACAGTTCATAGCCTCGAGAGCACAATTAACACGATGCAGATTAATCAGGGTGAACTCAAAGGCATCATCAGATCCCTGCGAGCGGAGAACGAAAGCTTGACTAGAAACTTTGAAAAACTGAAAGCGCAGGTGCTTTCCAACGGCGATTTGGCTCCAGGGGTAGAAACCGCCGATCCTGCGGAAGATCAAGCGTTAACGATCGCAGGCGATTCATCTGAAGGCAGTACCATCAAGCCGACGAATTCTACCGAGACGAACGCGAGTTCTAACGAAGAGAACACGGACAGTTTCGAGCACATCGGCAGTGGTAATGATCTAACGGACGACGAAGCTGATTCCGACGAGTTTATGGAAGGAAAGCGTGGGTGTGGCAATGGAAGCCCCCCTCTAAGCGATAAGTGTGAAGACCTTGTCGTTAGTAGATAAGTTTTCACAGCATTTTTTTTCTAACGGACGATAGAATGGCTCACATAGGTGTATTTCGGAAAAACTAACTCCACTCTGTCCTAGCAGAAATCATACTTGATTTGCATGACTCTGTGTGGGTTTTCACTGATCGTAAGAAATCAATCGACGGGGTTTACTCGACGTAGTGAGTTTACCTTGAACCAGGAAAAACGGGGATGAGAAACAAGTCTTGCAGCATGTGGTTTTGCTTCTTACGGTCCGGTCTAAACCCACTTCATTTTTGTCACAATAGTTCCGTAACAATAGTAACTTGTTGGTGTGCTTTAGCAAAGTCAATCTCTCTCTTTAGTGGGGGTGGGGTAAGTAAGGGGTAAATTGTCTCGAAAACTGGACGTTAGTTTCATTGTGTCAAATAAGAAGAATGGTAGACGCGAAAAATTAGCCCTGTTTGCGTGAGTTTAGGCAATGGTCAGAGAGAGTTCTCTCGCTTTGTTTTCGTGCAGGTAGTTGGTGTTCAAAGTATTTCACAGACGCGTATCAAAACTAGTTTCAACACATTAATTGTCACGGAAAAATAGTCGCAACAAACGTCCGCGCGTAGACTGGGGTAAAACGTCTAGGATTGTTTTGGTTTAGTTTTGCTTTGGCTCACCCCGCGATTGGTTTAGAGAACCCGCGTCATCCACTCGACCAATCAGAGGCGAAACTGAAAACGATAGCGCCTCAGCCACCTGCGTTCTCCCGCCCTTTAGACAGTTTACTTCTTGTTACTTTGAATTCAGATTGGTTCCTTTAGACATATTCCTCTGCCTTGATTAGTCATTGAAATTACTTTGTCTTTGGTTTACGACGCACGGAGGAAATTTCGCGCTCTAACAGCGATAGTACACTGTCTGTCCTATTACCATTTCTTCGTTAGTAAGGGAAGTGTAGTGAATATTCCAGTCTACTGACTCCATACATTCTTATGCACCATGGACTTATTTCGTTGTGTTTCATATTTGTGGGATTAATTTAACGTGGGGGTAGTAAAATTAATGAATATTTTTTGAATGTTTTAATCAGGACTGATTGAATCTCGTCGGCACTAAGCAAAGCAAGATGTAAACATATCTTTTCGGAAAGTAATAACGAAAACAACTCCGACTTACGAGTTAAGTTAGCCAGAAAAAAAGATTAAAAATTAACAGTATCTCAGTTTAGACGAACATCAAACAGGAAACAGCCGGAGCTGTAGTAGTTATTATTTTGCTTGTATTTTCAATTTTGTGATCTAGCAGGCCTTCTTCGCGAGCACTTTTTTTAGTCCGTCGCACAATTTATAGCTTGTGGAGCTGTCTTTCCGGAAAGGAAGGGTTCCTTGACGAGAGAAGTAGATCTTGAGCGCGCAGAAGGACAACCTTGATCAGTTCATAAAAATGCCTGTTACATAGTTTGATATAAAAGCAGTATCGAATGCAAAGTGAATAATGATATTAATGATATAGAATTAATTTGTTATGTTTATGAAATTGAAAACAGACGCCAAAAAAATAGTTTATACATTCCACCTTTTTCTTTTGTACAAAGACTAACGCGGTATCCTTTATGAATTTTTGTTTGGAAATTTGCAATTGTTTCATCATGAAGTTGAATGATTCAGTTGCAAATTTCGGAAAATTTATGATAAGTTGTGAAATATGTTAAGTTTGTGCCATGTTGGTAACAATCAAAGTTGCTCCCTTTTCGTCACACAAGCGTGCTAATCATTCGCCATCTGTTTCTCCTAATTCGAATTTGGAATTTAGCCACAGTTTGCCAATGGAATTCGGTGAAAATGTTGTTGTGCACACGGTCAGTAGACAACAAAAACGGAGGGCACTAAAAAAAAACCTAATTTTTAACTGATTAATTATTTTTACTCTTTCCTCAACAATATCTTTCACAAGACAAGCTTTGTTCGCAGACACCTTCCAACCACTGTTTGCGACTCAGAATTGAATGAAATTTTGACAGGAAATCCTGTAACGACTTTAATTATCACCCACTTCATTCTACAGTTGGTGGAAGATAGCAGCAGCAACTTTTGCTACCAGCGTTGACAACGTAAAAACATACGAATGAAATCAAAACAAAATAATTCCTGACGTAATTTTATTTTTCAAATGATGACTACTTTTTATTTGACTAAAATTCTTTTGGATTCAGATGTGACATAAGTTAAATTTTCTGGGATGCTCCGTAATATTGTAACTGTTAAAATAAAGTGATGAAAGAATGACTCATCTCTTGAAGTAGTAAATGTTCCTTTAAATTGTGGTGTAACCCAGGTTCTGGTGACCAAAACTAATACAAACATCTCTACTAAACAAAATTAACCAATCGTTTTAAAGGAAACGAAAAATGATGCCAACTCGACCCTTAACACCCTTCATCAGTTTGCATAGTCTCCAGAATGTTCTCCATTTATTTCCAATGGCGCTGGCTGATAAGGAGAATTTGTTGAACAATCAAGAACTTCTCTAGTTCGTGACCTTTACCCTTCCTGTTTGATTAAAGGGTGATACTTTTATAAGATCTTGGATGCTTAGTACTCTGGAGGGTAACAGGGTAAATTCAATGAAGCCATTCATTGCTGAGGACTTGAAAAAGACACCAGGATAAACAAGGCTGTCTCTGAGATTACTTTTATACGTTTCCTGGAATCGGATTTGTCAGGTTTGTTACCACAGTAACATTAGTTGTGGTGCTACGCCAATAAACATTGAACAAGACAAGGAAATTAACAGTACGTAAGCAAAATCCTTCAGTTTGGTATTTTACATATTTACAACTGGTTAAGTATCTGTAGTTATTTGAAACGGGATGAATGCACGAGAATTTTTCTCAGAACTTGTGTTATTTCCGATGACTCCACTAGGAATAACTGCTAAAAGAAGATAAATTATAATGTCCAAGGCCAGTGGGTTTTATTTCCTTAGGTTCTCCATGACACAGCCGGAGTTGTCAGAATATTCCACGACGAGGGAGGGCCAAGCTTTGTTTCGTCTTTTCTTGTAAAAAGTTAGAGAACATCCAATTGCGATACACAGGAAAACGAACACCCCAAGACAAATCGCAACGATCTTTGCACTACTCAGCGACGATTCTGAAACGAAACGAAAAGTAATAAAAAGGAAATGGTAGATGAGACAATTGCACACAAGTTAGTGAGTCACGGTGTATTAAAGACGTGTAAATCTATCAGTAAATCTCAAAACAGAATGATATATCGACAGGATACCCGTACTTGAATAAGCTCTTAGTTCGAAAAGTCTCGACTTTTCTCTTTCCCTACTTTTGAGTTATTTTACAGATTTTTGGGAACGTTTCAATTTTCTTTTGTTCGTTATGCGAGACACCGGTTGTTTTTAATGTTTCCTTTAATTAACGTTTTGCGCGGGAAATTGGCGCGCGGGTGCACTGTGTTCGCATCACCCCACATGCAATCTAATAACTTATGTGCACCTATCGACGATTAACGGAACATGCACGTTCCCACGAAAGTGCGCACTCAAGAACACGTCAACGCTTGCATGTTGTTCCCATCTCCCAATCAAACTTCCTACTTACTTATTTTTGTCGTTTCGTAGCTGGCCTTGAATCCAGGATATTTCGTCTTTCCACTCGATTTAAAAGCCACGTGCAAGTGCCAGCCACCCGCAGTTACCGCCGAGGGTTTTGCTGGTCCGCAATACCTCCCTATGAGGTCGCTTGTGTTGGATGGTCCATCTCGCACCTCTACATAGTCCTCAGTACAATTCTTCGCTTGGGACAGATTGAATAATTGGAAGGTCAGCTTAATTTTGGAATTTGAATTGACGTTCACGTGCCAGATGCACTCGACAGAGTCGTCACATGGTAGAGGGTAGTTATAACTGGCCAATGTTCCAGTCTTGGACGTTAACAAGAACTTTTGGTCGTGCGCGGTGCAGGAAAAGGGAGCTGGTGCTAAAATAAAAGAGATTGAAAAATATTCAAAGCAATAACAACCGCCTTCAGAGGATTAGACAATATTATATTATTATTATATGGAACTAATGAGAACACAAATTCAAAACAAGTAAATTGCTCGAGACGCTGAAAAATCGCTTTGGTTTTTACCATTGAATCTGATTGGTTTAGAAGAATACTACAAGGAACCAATGATAACGCAAAATAAAAACAAAGAAACTGCTTAAGCGTGGGAAAACGCGAGTCATGATTGGTTTCACTTTTGAATCTGATCGGTTGAGAACGAGGCGCAAGTTTTTGGGACTCTCATAGCGAAGTAAAGCAAAACCCAAGCAATCTTGGTTTACTTTCAAAAATTAATCGAAAGCTGCTCTAAATGTAAGCACACCTAACAAAAGAACACCTACTTTGGCTGATCATCTCAAAGGAAGCATCAAATCCAGTTCCTTTCAGGGAGTCATCTTTTGCGGATTGAAAACGAACCCAGAGGTAGCGACCACTGGAAAACACCGAGGACTCAAACGAACTTCCACAGAAAGTCTTAAGTAATTCACTGGAAGAACTCTGACCGTCACGAATTTCTAGGGTAGTCTTAGCACAATCACTTTTCAGGAAAAAAACCACTATCCTTAACCAAACAAAGCGTCCTTCTGGTACCGTTATAATCCAAGTACACTTCATGTCTGTTGGAACTGTCTGTGGATATAGCGACGTAAATAGTCTTCCTTTAGTGCCAGTCAAGGGAATATTGTTATCTTTTCCTTGAATTTCGCATCTCCCTATAGTCTCTGCAACGTAAATAAAATAATTTTCAAATTTTGCTAGTTCTTATGCTTCACGAATTACTCTAAACTTAATGTCCTCGTAATTCGGCAAGAACCTCAACAAATATCTTGTTATCCAATAAAACGCATGAATACTCTTGAGCAAAACGTATTCGTTTCCACAGCACCACGACTTAATCAGTCACACGTTCCGGCACGCCCACAACAATCAGGTTTGTTATATTTTTTTTCAAACCTTCTCTCGATCAAGAAAGTGCAAAGAAGAGCGACCCAAGGTACGAGGAAGTTGACATGCAGGAACATTTATTGGCAAATCTTGACTTGGCTCGAACTTCACTAAATCCTCATAAATACCACTTAAAAGACGTCCTAAACACTATGGGCCGGAACATTTATATTTGTCAACAGTGTCAAGAGGGCCAAAAGCTTATAGTGGAAGGATATTCAAACCAATCCTCTTATGAAGAATCTCCGAGGCCCATTGCTTTCGTAAAATCGCGGTTTGGGCCAGACCTCGTGTAAATAACCGGCACTATTAGTTTAGGCACCCCTTAGCTAGTCTCGTACCCAGACCTTCCACGGCCAAGTGGCTGTACATTTCAGTTACACGGTAAGATCTGGGTAAGAGATTACCGCTGAGCAATCCTCGCACAAATTTACTTACTCGAGTCCTCTGTTTTGTAGCTGGCCTTGAATCCAGGATATTTTGCATTTCTACTGGACCGAAAAATCACGTATAAGTTTGAAGTAGTCGAGGTTATCGTGGGGGGTTTTTCTTCTCCACAGTACCTTCCTAATTGGTTACTGTGTGTGGAATTCCCATCCAGTACCTTTACGTAGTCTTCCGAACAGTCATTCGCTTGACTCAGATTGAAGAAGTCAAATGATAGTCTGATCCTTAAATCAGTGTTTACGAGGATATACCAGGTGCATACAACACTATCGTCAACAGGCAAAGGGTAATTGTAGCTGGCCAGGAGTCCAGTTTCTGACTTCAACTCAATGCCGTGATCTGAGTTTTGCGCGGTGCAGGAGAACGATGCTGGCACTGGAATACATTTAATTATCATCAATAATTCCAGTTAATTGATTAAGAATCCAACACTAATCCAGTCCTTGCACTCTCCTTTATGCGCTCTACATAGAGTGTTTAACCCACGTGACCGCCAGAAGGGTCTCGGAGAACTTTATATGCATTCTCAGAATGCTATCCTCCCCCCCTCCGGAAAAAAATTTGGTTCAAATCAGATATGGGAATAAGCTCAGAACACCTTCATTCCCCTCTCCCCTTCTCCTCCCCCCCAACACACACACACGTGATAGATTCGGCCGCCTGGGTTTCCCGCATACCCTGATTTCCTATGTTTTTTTTCATAACGCGATAAAAATTCCCGAACATAATATAGGCGTTCATGGCAGATTCTGAATTTGACATTTGTTCATGAGATCCATTTAAAATCGAAAACTGTGGGTAAATCTGAAAAACATGATAAAAAAAAAAAGAATACCTACACTGGCTGACTGTTTCGTAGAAGGCTTTGAATCCAGTGGCATATGGAGGTTTATCTGCCCGTTTTTCCGACTGAAATCGAACCCAAAGATAGCGACCACTGGAAAACACTGAGGGATCAAAGGATACAGAGCAGAAATTCCCCAGCAATGGACTCAATGAGTTCTGGCCATCACGAATCTCGAGAGTGTTTTTACACTCATTTCCTAAATCAAAGGATGTTATACTCAACCTCACGAATCGTCCTTCCGGAACTGTTATAATCCAAGTACACTCCATATCTTGTGGAAATTTCTCTGGATATAGGGGCGAAAATAGTCTTCCAGCTTTTCCAGTCAGGGGAATAACGTTGTCTATTCCTTGAGTTTTACAGGGTCCCATGGCCGCTGTGATAGAAAAAAAGGAATCTCCCTCTTACACATTGAACAGTCTGTATATGAGGTAAGTGAAAATAGTTGAATGGAAATCATGGACAAACTAAACTTAGAGCTCTTTGCAGTTGAGTATCATAAATCTGCAACCCCAAAGGCCGGGCAGATAAAGAGGCATATCACAAGGAGCCAATGAGAAGTCAAAATAAAAACCAAAAAACTTCAAGAAGCGCGGGAAAAAACGCGTGACCAAGAAGTGAGTTGTTTTTTTTTAATCTGATTAGTTCATAGGATAGAGCAATTTTACTTGACCAATCAAGAATGAGTTAGCGTAAAACTAATAAAATACTGGATTGCTTTCAACATTCAATCGATTTTGCTCATTATTTTTTCTTTAAATGTATTATGAACCACTTACGATCGGGGACTGCTGTGTAGCTTGCATGGAATCCTGGGTATCTTTCAGAGCTGTCTGTAACAAAATCCACGTAAACCACGCGGTTCTTCACCTGAATCACCTCGGATGCCACAAAACCACAAAATCGTCCCACCGAATGAAACAATCCCTGTTTTATCTCAACAAAGTCTGACTTACAGTTGGGAGATTCTTGTAAATCAAATACATGGAAAGTCACATTTACAATAAAACCAACCGGGACTTCTATCTTCCAGGAACAGCGGACGTCGTTGGAGTAGGGCAGCGGATATTGGTAACTAGCGAATTCACCATTAGTACCGTTTAATTCTGTTACATCACCCTTCATGTACTTAACATAATTGCAAGCGTATGATGCAGGTACGGCTTGGACTGATTGGTATATGGCCAAAAATCCTACATATGGTTCTTGTGATAAAATCGGAAGGGTGATCACCAAATTGTTCCCTCTGGAGAAAACCTCGCTGTTACTCTTTTTGAACCCGCAGAATTCCCCGAGAAGAATTTTTGTGGAATTTGTCATGTCATAAACCTTGACCTTGTTTTCGATGAGACAGACTCCAGTAAATGACAAAAATGCCAGCTTTATGAAGTTCCCAAGGGGTACATATATATTCCAGTTGCACCAGCTATCATTTTTACGGTCCCCGTATGATTCCGGACTTGCAATGGCCATTCCTTCACCCTTCATGTAGATTGTACTGTTTTTGCCCGGTATACAAAAGCCAGTTGAATCTAGGAGGGTTAGATAGAAGTAGATGAGTAACGTTCTCTCTGCCTCCTCTCACCCCACCCCCCTCCCCCCAAAAAAGTAAACAATAGCATATCAACGTGTAAAAAATACTGAAAACTAAAGCAATCAAACAAAATGTGGAGACTCATTTATCCCACACCCGTTTCCATTGGTAGAGCAGGTTGATCCAGGAAACTCGGTCTTTTTCTTGAAGTTAAGGCCTAAAAGTAAATCGAGGGAGGAGTGGGTCAGGAGACCTTTTTACTCGTCAAGTCAACTTTTGCATCAAACCGAAGCTGCCCTTTTCTTTCCCTCAAGCTTAGTCAAGAATATTCCTGGGAGAAATTAGAACAATGGCGATACGAAAAGAGGCAAACTACGAGTGAATTTTTAATCTCTTTTTTTGCTATCCATTTCGATCTGAAATTGTGCCAGTCCGTCGCAAGTGGGTTTCCTCGACCCAGTTTCCCTGACTCGCGACCAAATACGCGAGCAAGAGCGCAACACTCGAAAGCAGTGTTGCGTGACGTAACAAATAATTGTGCTAACCTGGAAGTATGGTTGTGTAGTTTGCTCTGAAGCCATAACTAGTTGGTGTGCCATAGTGTTGGTACTTTATGCCAAGCTCGTTTGTCAACGAGTAAAGAACGAACGAAGGATATGATTGTTCACATCGCTTCGCACTCGGAGGATTTCTCTTATTCAATTTAAAGACAATTTCAACGCACTCCAACATAGAAAGCTGAATTGATAAAACCTCAACCCGCAGAATTCTTCCTTTAGGAGCGATTATCTTCCAGTAACACAAACGATTGGGGTTCCCAGGAGTCTCTAAAACCCCCGAGGGATCTTTCAACACGATGTTGTGATTCTCGTCCAGGGAGTTTCCTGATGAACAGTGGAGAGCTGCATATATAAAAAAAATAAGTTAGAAATATTTTAAATGATGCAATTGTTCCAATCCTTCTGGGCCGCAACGAGGGGGGGGGGTGGGAGGGTGGGAGGGGTGCACTAGAAAGAAAGCACTCCTTACAGGGTGGGTCCCCTTCATCATAACTGGAACGAAATTACTGTGCTTTTAGTTATTTCGAAGTCGGGTGAAACTCCTGTTCTTAAAAGAAGTTACTAGAGAGAGAATACCACTTATTCTTTGTATTAGAAAGTTTAACATTTACAAAATACAAATATTTACGTCACAAACATTTGGCAAATATCCGTGTGACCGTAGTCGTAATCATTTTGACACAGTCACATGACATCATAATTTTGGATTTGTCTTTTCGTTATCAGTTCCACAAGCTTTTTTGGAACTGTTATCAGCTACTTTCGATTAATATCGATTGGGTTTGACCGATGACCATTGAAATCAATTGAATACTTTTCAATGATCGATTAAATTCGGTTGATAAATTGATTAATGAATTCGATAATCTATAAATCAGTGCCACATTTTCTGGCATAACTATCCTTTAAGCACAACTCCCAAAGAGTATGTAATTATGGAATATTAAAAGAAAATTGCCTGCCTGAGAGGTCAAGATGACAGCACGGATCAGAGACTTCTGTCTTCTTACGACCTAGTTTCGTCTAAGAGCCCATCGTTTTTCGCAACGGCAAAGAAAAACGATGAGCACTGGGGAAGAGGATGCTCGCAACCTTGGCAATCTCCGCAGCATAAAAGAGATGAAAGGCGTGCCCAAGCCACCTCGGTCAAAAATTTTCCAGAGGGCTGCAAATGCCTCTGAACATCAAACGTACAGCAGAGGGGCATCTTGTCTGCGCATGTTCCATAAAAATTTTTGTTTGTTGAGAGTAACCGCTGGCATGCGCTTGCGCCGCGGGTACGTGTTTGTTTCCCGCCAGTTTTCGAATCGATGAAACGCCCTACAATCTTGCCCTGCACCTACCTGGAGAAATGGCAGTGTAGGATGCGAATATTCCTTCCTCTTTTTTACTTGTTTTATTGTCACTGTCGAGCAAGATGTACAATCCATGAAACTTGGAATACACTGTGGTTGTTTGTCTAGATCCCTGGCCTCCCCCAGTAAAACTGTTGATAAGACTGAGTTCAGCACCGTCCACATCGTAAACCTTTACTGTGTCCGTGTTCAACGCGTATGTAAGGCGAAGCACCACGATATGATTCTTGGACGCCGTGATGTACCATCCACACGTCGTGTTCACTTGGTATCCCTGTGGCCAGTTGGGACTAGAGAAGTTATTTTCCACAGGTGACAAAGAAGCATTCAGAGTGGTGTTTAAAGAACACGCTGTAAAAATTTAAGAAAATGAGCTGGATGAATTTAGCGCCACAACGAGTCTCGCATAACTTAGTACTCTTTGAAATAAATGTACTGAGTATACTCGAGGAGCCAAAATCTCGAGGAGAATTGCTTTTGAAGGTTTCGGTCTGAATCAACAAAGAAAGAAATGAGGATTGAGTCGTGGCATTTCAAAACAGTCATCAAGGTTGGATTTTCAGTGCCTAAACCAGGGTATGATTGCAAAATGCATCCAAATTTGCATAGATCAGACTAAGAGATTTAGGACCTTGCGAACCCAAAGGATCCGGCGAGCCGGCTCTAACAGTTGCTGCGAAACGAGCGTCAACGCTGTGAGGGTTTAGCTAACGACGCAACAGTTTACTTTGCTCTGCTGCTAGTCTCTAACTAGTCTCCTTCGCAGTCGTTCTTTGGGATGTCACGCAATTTTGCTCCCAATATAATTAGCTCGGGGAAGCGTTGCGTTACAACCCGAAGAACAGTTGCGAAGGTGACTTAAACATGTCTTCAGCGGCCTTGCTTGCTTTTCGTGTCACAGTGGCTCCGAAAGCCATAGACTAGAGCATATAACCACCCTAGACATTTTTATTTTTCCTCCTCTCTCAACATTTAAGCTTAAACACATCAAGAAGCAGTAAATTTAATTTCACCTTCCGCCGTTAGTGATTTAAGTAGCAAAGCCAAACCTGCAAAAAGAAACCGTGTTATCATTATTCTAGATCGAAGTTGAAACCTCTTCTCATAAAGGTCAAATCAAGATATTTCGCTTGCCAGGGACAAACAGCTTAAATTTTTGCAGCTCTTTGTCTAAAAAATTTTGTATCGGTCCCTCTTATTAATTGCTTGTATAGTACAAAAGGTAACGCAAAGTGTAAATTGTAAATTGTAAAGTGTTACAGTACAGTTGTCCCATCGCTGCGATCTAGTCACGCGAATCGCTAGGGTTTTTCAAGCTACCCGTTCTCTATCATTTGCCCACAACTTTTGAATGAAATTTAAAATCCAAGATTCCTCTTCAAAGTTTCTTTAAAAAAAGTATATTCCGCTGCGTGCCTTTTCAGCTTTTTCACTGGATAAACATTAGTTATAACTGACTTGGAAAAACGAACACATACTGACTGCATCTATTACTTAAATACATGAAAAACACTTAGATGCCCTCAGAACAGGAAAGCACGTGCTCTGAAGATTTTCTAGATAATGATGCTGCCGAAAAACTGCACCTTTTCCACTGCGGTATCTCTCTCTCATATGGGTAGATAAACAACTGACGGCAAATGGAACACAAGATCGTGAAACGTCTTGTATCATCGGCTAACATAAAGAATGAATTTGCTTTGCTCTCGTAAACCAAAGCCAAAATCCTTGAATTGGGTTACAAATCTCCATTCTCCTTCTGAACGGTATTTCATTCAGATGGAACAAACTGTCAAAAGGCTAAAGGTTCCGTACGTTTTTAAAGAATCATTTGACCTCGCATGCAAGTCAAACTGATCTAAATATTAGTGTTTATCTTGACTGGCTATAGGATTAAAATATACAATACTTACCAAGGAATAAAAACATCATCCCAGCAGCCTAAAACAGCTCGAAGGCGAGCCAATTTCTTACGGAGAAGCGACTGATGTTGTATCTGAAATCATAGGTAAACAATAGATTTGCGTGGTTTTTACAGAGAGGTCACGTGATATCGAAAGCAGGGTCACGCGATGCAGTGGGTCACGACATTAGAAACAACATACGTTAAGTTTGTTTCAGTCGGGAACAGGCAAACTCGAACGATCACCACAAATCGTATGATGAATTTCAATCATATCTATTGCTCTTGACAATTGAGTTTTACCTTGGTTCTAATCGTAATTGTACAGCTTGATTATACTAGCGGGGGAAATTCGAAATAAGGTTGATTCGAACTGAATAGAATCCTGTTCTTTCGTTACCTTGAAGCCAGAGAAGGTGCTATAAGTTAGCATAATCACATCGATCAAAACTTACTTCTTTCAGTGACGGTTTCTAATTTGCAGACCTATCCGTTTTCAGCTTAGGTGTATAGTGTAATTTCGTAGTTCAATTTAGCGCACCGGTACTATCTCCCACTGAGAGTCTCCGATGATACTAAAACTGATTAAAACACAACGTATATGCGGCTCAAATCAAATGCCAATCATAATTAAGGGATATCATTTATAAAGGAAACAAAGTTACTTAGGCTAAGACGATTAACTCGCCAACTTAGACGTGTCGCTATCCCAATCATTTATGGATGTCATATATATTGATGTGTGAGCGGACGTTTGTTACAGTATGTACTACTTTGAGAAAAAGGACGAGCCTTTCCTTTGTTCTAGCCAGCTTAATGCCGAGCTTAAGTGCTGTATCTCGATATAAATTGAAACCCGCAATTTATTTATGTTCGTTGTACAAATTTTGACAAATATATTGAAATAAACTGTCCCTGTGCCTAGTATTACCAAGTCAGGATGCTTTTGACACAGTGCGCATATCGGTTCATATGTAACATCTGCATCGGTCTGTAAATTTTTTCCAGGCTTTATACTTCTTGCACTAAACGTGCCAAAGAAAGAAAATATAGTGGAATCCAATACAGCGTCCACGGCATCGACGACACCCGGGAATCGGTAGATGTTGCTAAGATACAGACTGGTATGCTAGATATGACCTCATCGGTAAACAGAAGAATCACATGATTTTCGAAGCGAGGTCACGCAATGCAGCCAAAGGGTTAAGACAACTTTCCGATATAAAGTATCTATAGCAACTACTACTCAAAAGGGTAACAAATCAGCGTGACACACGCGATTGACACGCGCACACTCAGATATAGCTTCTACGATTATCGTGCGTGCGAGTGGCTGCAGCGTCCCGTTTTAATGATTTTGTGTGCAAATTAATATTACCACAATAAGTTTGGAGGTTTGTTCTTGTTAACGTTCAAAGAATTTCTAATCAACCGCTCACAAAGAGCTATAAATTTTGGATCTGTAGCCACAGTTTGCCCTCCCATGTTCCATGTAATACAAGTTTTGTTGCAGAACACCTTATCGCCGACTTTAACGAGTTTAGAAAATTTTTTTAATCGAGAACTTGCCTTCATTATAGGTCTGTTTGATTTTGTGCTGTTTTCGCAAGCCCTCGCGGTATTTCGAAGTAGATTTTGTTTCCAAAAACTTGCCACGGTTCGATGTACAGTGGATTAAGCAGTCACTATGGGGAACGACAGGGTGACCGCTGGTCACAGGTTGACCGCCAAATAGAGATTCCACAGAAAAGAGGTGAATATTACAGTATTTATATGGAGAAAATTTCGTGGCTTTTAAAACCGACCGCTTAATACAGGGTGACCGCTCAATACAGTACCGATTGATACAGGTCCACTATGTATAACCTTACGTTTGGTCACAAGTGATGGAAAATATAATACTTCGACAGAAAAGCGCGCCATTGAGGCACTACAGTGTCACAGTGTCAACGTTATGGAAAAAGTTACTTCTCCCACATCCATTTACTGAAGATGTAATGAATCTGAGAATAAGATGAGTATTTAGCATTTTTCATTGATGCAAATTAACAGATGAGAGCGCTCTTTGATTGAGTATCGAAAACTAGCCTGTTCAACCTGTTAAGTTAATAAAACGCAGCGAAATAGTAGCTATAGTAGCGAAGGGGTAAAAAAGCAAGAGGTTTGGGTCGGGAAAAGAACGCGACCCGACCCAAGCCTCCCTCGTTTTCAACTACCGTGCTTCGTTTTACTGATTGAACGCCTGGAACGAGGTTCTCAATGGGGTACGGGTGTCGGCCAACGGTTAAAATTTTGGCCATTTTACGGCTAATGGTTAATATCATTCCATTGTTGTCATCAGAAGTTTTATTTACGGTCAACTTTTTCACGACTACCTGTCAAATTGTCAATTTTTATGCCTAACGGCTAAATTTTTAAGCCTTTTAAGGTTATCGTTTCACCCCATCGAGACACTCTGGTTCAGGCTGGTCGAAAACTAAAATCAAACTTATCTCAATAGCCAATCAGAACAAAGAAAAACATCACAAGGAGCCAATGAGGAACCTAAGAATGAACACGCAAACTGCGTGAAGCGCGGGGAAACTCGTGTAACCAAGCCAAGAGTCTTTTTACTTTTGTATCTGATTGGTTTATAGCGTTCTGCCAGTTTTCGCCACCAGTCACAGAGCAATGTAGAGTAAAACCAAAGCTATCCCGTAATACTTTTGACTTAATTAAAAATGCTCTAGTGTTTCACCTTTAATATGTTAAAAGAATCGCCCCGGAAATCCTTGTTGTTAATGAAATAAATAATCATATAATAACATAAGGCAGTTGGTATATTAATATCGGAAACAAATTCATTAAGTTAAATTCGTTGATTCAATGATTGACCTCAATGACTGACCTCAATTGAGATTAAACTCAAGTTTGAACGTTCTCTAAAGTGTTAATTCTGAAATATAGCTATGAAGAATTTACTTCATCTGTTCGGGTTTCGGTTCGAACGAGAGCCAGGGAACTGGATCTAGTTTGGGAAGTCGAGGCTCCCTGATAACTCGACCCAGTTCTCCCCGATTGATTCTGAATATGTCAAACCTGCGCAATTTCAGTGCAAGCCGGTAGTTACTATGATCATCGATAAGGTCATGAACATTTTCCCTCGTAGCTCTGAAATTTGGCAAAGAGCAGGTTACAGTTTTAACTCTCATAATCGAGAGAGCAGATCAGTAAGACAAGCTAGGGTTGTTTATTTTAAGGTGGCTTGATAGCTCTTTGAGTTATAAAGATCACTGTGCAGGTTTTCATGAACTGCCTGTTTGGTTCCTGATACCTTCCCCATCAGTTCCAGCGTTGACTGTGCCTTGCATAGCTAAAACGTTTTCGGGTTGCGATTGGTTATGCCTCCTATTGCAACAACGGCAAGAACCGGCAACTATAGTACACAGCAAAGACAGTGCTCCAACACAAATCCCGACGATCTTAAGAATTTTAAGGGTTTGATCTGACAGGAAATAGGAAAAAGCAGAAAAATGGTTAGCTAGAACAGCAAAGGAGCGTGAAAGCAATTTACGTCACCAGAGCATCCTATGAGCTTTGAAAGGTTGCACCATAAGTCTGCTTTGTCGATGAACGTAAATTACAGACTTGTTCGCCGTAAGATGGCAAAACGCATTGGCTCATGCAATCATTATTTCACGCAACACACACAAAACAAGCAAATGCCCGCACAGGCACGTGACAATAAACCACACGCTCCCACGCCAAAAGAAAGCTTCTTCCCAGCGGCACATTACGTAGCACTAACTGATGCTGATGACACACAACGCGCTAAAAATCGTGATGCACGAGCAAAGCTATCCGTGCACACACATTCAATATCTTTCCTGCCTTTCCTATTGCAAATTGATCTCAGGATATTCACCTACCCTTCTTTATTTTGTAGGTGGCTTTGAACCCAGGATATTTCAACTTGCCACTCGATTTAAAAGCCACACGCAAGTTCCAAGAATCCGAGGTTATCTTCGAGGGTTTCTCTGCTCCACAGTACTTTCCAACAAGGTCGCTGGTGCTGAACATTCCATCTCGCACCTCTACATAATCCTCAGAACAGTCACTGGTCCGGGACACATTGAAAAACTCGAAAGACAATATAATTTTGGAATTAGTGTCTACACTGATAGACCAGATGCATTCTACAGAGTCGTCAGACGGCAGAGGGTAGTTGTAACTGGCCAGAGTTCCTGTCTCAGACTTCAATTTGATGTTTAAGTCCTTCGCTGTGCAGGAAAACGGAGCTGGTACTACAAGAAAACGAGATGAAGACATAGAATTATGTAAATTCGACTTTTTAAAGTGAAAGATGTTTTCAGTAAAAATGCCTTCAGTCGAAAAATAAGTCAACACCTTCAAATCTACAATGCGAAGTTGACAAACAGCTTCAACTGTGGTTGTCGCTAAAAAGAAAAATCAATTGTGTCCAGCCTGCGTTTTTTATAGTTCTTAGAATCTGAAGCGCACGTTACCTTTAGAAACTTGGATTATTCCGTGTACCCTTAAAAGAGTTGAAATCGCGATTCGGATACGTTTTCTTTCGATCTTGAGGATGGACAGTGGCTTATTCATTTTCTCTTACCATGGTTACCTCTCATTCAATTACAACAACAATATAAAAAAAAACTTACATTGGCCGACCATCTCGAAGAAAGCATTGAATCCCGTCCCGTACAACAATTCATCTTTGTCAGAATGGAACCGAATCCAGAGATGACGACCGCTGGAGAATACCGATCTTTCAAAGGAGCTCCCGCAAAAATTCCCAAGTAAGTCACTGGAGGATTTCTGGCCATCTCGAATTTCCAAAGTCGTCTGCTTACAAACATATGCCAGGAAAAAAGAGGTTATTCTCAACCTGACAAAATGGCCCTCGGTAACTGCTATGATCCACGTGCACGTCATGTTGTTAGGAAATGTCTCCGGATACAGCGGGGAAAATAATCTTCCAGTTTTCCCGTTAAGAGGGATGACGTTATTTATTCCTTGAGTTTTACATGGGCCCATGGCGGCTGAAATGATAAAAGAGAGCTTTAACCATTTTGGTTATTTTCTCTTGATCCTAGAACACAGCGGTCGAACGTCTGCGCATGTGCGAACGCAATGACCAGGTCTAACACGAGTAACACCACAAACCACTCAAGCCAGTAAGTCACGGTGTTTTAAGCATACAACGTTTTTGGTAAAGCTCAAAACAGAGTAGTGAATCAACAAGGTATCTTACTTGAATCAGCTTTGTGTTCGAAAAGTCTTGAGTTTTCCTTTTCTTTACTTTTGCTTCCATTTACAGATTTCTATGAGTTTCAAATTTTATTTCGCTTTTTGCGAGACAGCGGTTCCTTCACATGTTTTCCTTTGAAATTTTTCGCGGGAAATGGGAGCGCGGGCGGGCAAAATAGATCTCCTTGCGCATGCCCCACGTTTGACCTTTGTGTTTGTTCATAAGCCTTTACATCAATCTGCATACGTTTGATTCGCGAGTGACCAAGTTACGATTTGTTTTGGTTTGCATGAAATTTTCAGACCAATCACAAAGTAAAGTAATATTAAAGCAAAGCTGAATTAATTTGGACGCCTGATCAAAAAGGTACCCTACTTACGATCAGAAACTGCTTTAAAGCTTGCATGGAATCCTGGGTATCTTCCTGAGCTGTCCGCCACAAAGTCCACTCTGACTATAGAACGGTTGGACTGAATAACTCTGGGTACTGATGCACCGCAAAATCTTCCAAGTAACTCAGTAACTGACCGAACTGATTTCCCTTGTTTGATCTCGACGTGGTCTGCAGAACAGCCTGGGGATTCTTGAAGCTCAAACGTATGAAAAGTCAAATTCACGAGAAATCCAACTGGAACTTGAATAATCCAGGAGCATTTGACATCATTGGAGTAAGAACGAGGGAACTGGTGACTAGCAAATTCACCAAAACTGTCTCCTAATTTGGTTGGAATGCCATAAATGTCTAATTTACCACAAGCGTATTTAGCAGGGATTGCCTTAACGGTTTCGTATGTCGCCAAAAACCCTGCGGAAGCTGAGGTATTCAGGAGATTTACATGCGTAACAAGTAAACTGCTTCCTCGCGAATACACTTCAAAGTCACCAGAAGTTACATCGCAGAATTTTCCGAGGGGGATCCTTGTGGAATTTGTCGTATCAAAAATCTCCACATAACTCTTATTACAACGCGTTGATAACGACAGAAACGTCAGTTTTATTAAATTCCCTTCGGGTACGGATATATTCCAGTTACATCGGCCTTTTCCAGGATAGCGAGGGAAGCCAGGAGTTGCAAACGTCATTCCCTCTGCCGCCATGTGTACAGTGCTGTTGTTGCTTGGGATGCAAACCCCTGATGAAGCTGTAAAGGTCAAACGAAATATAGAATTGGAAATGGTTCCGTGAAACCAGAACTAAGAAACAAAATTAACACCCACATCTCGATGAACTCAAATGTAATTGCAACATGCGCATATACACGCACAGGAATAAAAACAGGCTAAAAAGACGATTTTCGCTTCCCAATGCTAAGGTAACGACGGAGTTAAAAGTTCTTTCCATAACGAAGTTTAATCGCTCGTAGCTCAATGTAGTCCGTTCCGATGTGAACTGCGACGTTTCAACTGCCTACTGCGAGTCTTTTCGCAAAGGAAAAAGAAAACAATTAAAAACGGCGGATAAAGCTTCGTTATTAAAGTACCCAAAATGATGAATAATCGCAACCGTTTTTACAATTGATTAAAACATCCTTTTATTGTCACCGCAGTTAAATAGTCGTAAGTGAGTATAGGTTACAAAGGAGGAACCTTCCACAAAGCGGTAGCCTTAAAAACCAGATGAGACGCCTTTGAAAAGATTGATTCAAAATGAACTTGAAATTTGTGGTCTTTGCGAATTCGTGAACAGCATCACACATTCTCCTCAAGCTTAACACATCATGAGGTCGTCAGGTCCTAAGTTGCTTAAGACATAAAACATTTGTTGTTGGGGTTCTCGTTCTTATAATGCGGTAAAATTGGTTTTGTCACGCTAATGTTTGGCTGAAGCCAACCTCTTTAAAGTACTAGGTTTTTAACGCACGTTCAGAGCTTTTGTTGTGCTCATTTGATGAAATCCTTTGCTTCAACACGGTCTAGATGTCGCCGCCGCCCTGGTTTTCCTACAAAGTCAGCGCTTGGGAAGCGTTTTGAGTCACATTAAGTTTCTTCCTTCACACATTACATATTGCGCTACATTCCAACCTTCGTTCTCACCTGCTGGTATGGTCGTGTAGTTCGCATTGAATCCACCACGTCCGGGGTTAAAACCATACGACTGCGGACCTTCAATACCAATCTCGTTTGTCATTGAGTAAAGTAGAAACGATGCTTTCAGTCCACAGAGAAGCGTTTGCGTTGGATTTCTTTTATTTATTGCAAAGAAAATAGTCAAACATGTTCTAGAAGACGGAAGCCGGAAGGATAGGAAATCCACTCGTACAATATTTCCAACAGGCGCTAGTATTTTCCAGAAACACTGTTTCATCAATTCCTGCGGGTAGCTGGATGGATACCCAGGGGTTGTTACGACACCCGAAGGACTCTTCAATACAATATTCCTATTTTCATCCAAGGAGTTCATCGATGAACAGGCGTGAGCTACAGATATAATGATGGAAAGAATATCATAAAAAATTCGTTCACCTGGGTTGAACTGCCTCTCACGAAAGCGATACCTGTTGTGCTGAAGGTTTATGAAAGGGTATGGATAAAAAAAAAAATAAGAAGGGCTATCTACCTCTTAAAATACGTAAGATAAATAACGTTAGATTGAATCGACAAGATACCAGAATGGCTACATAGACCTTTCAAGAGATACGTTTCCTGAGATCAAGCGAGGAACAAGCCAGAAGACTACCTCACATGAGCCTACTTTCAATGAGAAATATGAAATAGACTGAAACTGATAATGTCTCATCGCCACCTTGTCAGAGTGTATAGAAAAAAATTATTATGTCACAGGTAAGCGGTCACATTGCTGAGCAAAATAAAAATGGCGGCGCCCATAGCCCAATTTCTAGTGTCTTTGTAGACTGTTTGGAAAAGGTTAGGCGACATTCTGTAGTTTCAAAACTCGGTCATTGGCATGATTCTATATCAACTTTTCAATGGTAACGATAAAAATTATGTGGTTTCTGGAACATCATTCCCCTTAAAGAGAAGACGACCAGACTGACGCGCACGTTTAACGCGTGCGCAGTCAGACATTTTGAAGTAATTTTACGCAAGTAAAAGCAACCATCGCAGTAAGGTCTTTATGAGGGACTAGTCTCTAAAATTGATATTCTCTTGGTCCTAAACACCTTCCATATACTGGGATAACGCTTTAATGCAACTGTATCGAGGTTACGATCCACAGGATAATTTGGTTTAATCAACTAAGTTAATAAAGTAGATTAACCACCGTAAAGAGTTTCTAAAGCTGAAGTTTCAAGCGTAAGCCATCCGTCGCTCGAAATGTCAGCTTCAGAAAATTTCTACAGTAGGCAATTTACACTATCACCTCAGTTGATACGACCAAATTATCTTATTTTATCCCTCACTGACGCTGCACCAAAGTTTCTTTAAAAACCTACCCTCTTTACGTTCCATAAGGTTTGCCAGGAGTAGCCCCAACGACCACGCCCTCCCTTTTTATCCACCCATTCCCCATTCAAAGTTCCTCAAAAATAAAATTGCCCCGTATACATACCTAGAGAGATGGCAGAATACGATGCATAAAATTCTTCCTCTACGTCAGTCGTTTTAACTTTACTTTCGAACACGATGTACAAACGGCGAAACTTGGAATATATAGTAGTTGATTCAGAACGTAAGGGTAGACGTGCAGTGAAACGGGCGATGAGGCTGATCACAGAGCCCTCTACATCATAAATCTCTACACTGTCCAAGTAGAGTTTGTACGTGAGACGCAGTACCACGGTGTGGTTTTCAGGCGCCGTGATGTACCATCCACAAGTTGTGTTTAAGCGATAGCCAAAAGGCAAGGAGGGACTGGAGAAGTTATGTTCCACAGGCGACAGAGGAGCATTCAATGTGGAGTTGAATGTACATACTGGAAAGAATGATTATCGTGAACGCTTTAACAATTCCCTGTCAAGAGCTCCAATTTCCGATCAAGCCCCTACCGGGTCCGAGTTTGAGGTTTTCAATACTCCATGTTGCAAAGACGCCTCTTTCTCTAATAAGCCTCCTTCTCCCTTTCACCAAGGTAAACATTATATTACTGTTCTAAATTTGGTTAAATCTCAGTAAAAAGTATCTAAAAGCCTTAGTAAGTTCTCTATATGTTTAAATTGTTGTAGGGTTTTCAACCGGAGATACACATATTATTCACAGTATTCATCAATATTACTGGAATTAGCTCGTTGTATCGGTGTTTCAGTTATGTAGGGGTCTTACATTTCGGGATTATATAAAGGGTGTAGGGTCTAGCAGGAGCACCCACAAGAAAACGTGCCCCAACCCCTCCTTTATACAAACCCACACTCATCGAGTGTCCCTTAAATCTTAAGTTGCCCCGTATACATACTTGGAGTGACGGCAGAGTACGATGCATAAAATCCTTCATCTGTGTCAATCTTACTTTCGAACAAGATGTACAAACGGCGGAAATTGGAATATATAGTGGCTTGGTACAAATGTCCTGGCACACGTCCAGTAAAATGGGCGAGGAGGCTGATCACGGAGCTCTCCACGTCATAAACCTTTACGCTGTCCATGGATAGCTTATATTTGAGATGCAGCACCACGGTGTAGTTCTCAGGCGCCGTGATGTACCATCCACATGTCGCGTGTAAGCGATGACCAAGAGGCCAATAGGGGCTAGAAATGTTATGTGCCACAGGCGACAGAGGAGCATTCAATGTGCTGTTGAATGGACACTCTATAGAGGAAGATTATCGTAAAGACTTTGATAACTCCCGGTAAAAGATTCAAGTTTCTAATTAGCAATCCCCGGCCAGAGGTTGAACTGAGTTCCCAATAAGCCCCCCGCCCCACCTCGTCCAAAGCTCAAGTTTCTACCATGCCACCCTTATTTCTCCCGTCTAGGAAAAACTCTGGTATTGTTATACTAGTCTCATTGTAGAAATTATCTGAAATCCTTTATAAGTTTCTCTACATGTTTAGAAAGTTGTGAGTTATTCAGCAAGTGAAATGCATACTTTACCCAATATTGATCAATGACTCACATTTTGGCTCTCATCAATGACTTTCCAAAAAGCTCTTCTTTCTAACACGCCCTTTTTTTCTCCAAAACTCCTCATTCTCTAATAAGCTTCCTCTCTTAAAAAGCCCCCCCCCCCCTGTAATGAGCCCACCCTCTCTTGGAAGCCCCACTCTCTATTGAATCGCCTGTTTAGAAAGCCCCCCCCCCTCCAGTGAGCCCCCTTCTCTAAAAAGCCCCCCTCTTTAAAATGCTCTCCTCTCTCCCCGTTCCCTGGAGCCCCCAAACCTCTAAAAATCCTAAATTGTAAGGTTTATTCAGAACATTATCCGTACTCAGAACCGTGCGAATTGCATGAATCTCGAATGCAGTTTACCCTCTATATTAAAGTACAAACTGAGTTGAAAAGACCTACCTACCGAGCTACAATATTGGAAAGTTCTTTAACTGAAGTCCTTTCAGTTTAAGAAAAACCAGGTTCCGGGAACTAGGCTCGACAAAATTAGACCGGTTTACTTATCACGACGATTGCATCAACGTTACAACGAATTTGAAATCATTTTCATTTCTATAATTAAGATCCTTTTACCTTCAAATGGTATGGCCTGGTAAGAGATAAGAAATCCGCCGTAAGAGTCAAGAGGTCCCTTTTTCGCCTCGATCCACACACTTCGGCCACTCGACGAGAACTTTTTAGTGCTAAAGGTAATATTCAGGCAGTATTCTGATATTATGCTACTTGACTCGCTCGGCCCGTCGTGTATCTTTAGGTACATATCGCCACATGGCTTATGAAATAAGAAGATTCCCGCGTCAATGCTGAGCACCTTACCAACTGGTGCCGTGATGTTCCATTGGCAAGTAGAATTAAACGGAAGCAAAAAAGTACCATTTTCAAGTGAGCGGCTGTCTTCTGTGGCCAATAAAGTGACAGTCGAGCTCTGATTGGCAGTACAACCTGAAAAATGGAACGTTAAATTCATGGAAATATCATTCCCAGTCTCGAGTAAAAAATATTGTTCAGCTCCTTTTCCGCAGTAAGATGTCTTACAACAAGTACGGTTTGGAGAAAGATGTCTTTCGTCTTGTCACGAGCGTGGGACAAAGAAAAAAAATTCTGAGTCCCCATGGGGAATCGAACCTCAGACCTTCGGAGACTCCACGGTGAGCGACTTCTATTACGAAGTTCATATGACACGCGTCCTGCATACTGCTGGGATCAGCAATGTCGATAGCGTCATGTTTGTAGATAGAATAATAGAGATGGTAAATTTTGAGCTCGGTAGAGAAATAGAAAAAGATGCGTGGGACTAGGAAAGAATTCTGAGTCCCCATGACAAATCGAACGGTTTGTTTGCCTTCTCCTCTGCTGCTTTCAGTCTGGACTTGCGCAGAAATCAATCAAAAGCCAGTTGTCAAAATTTAAGAATGCGATTAAGCCGCTGACAAGGAGCCTGTAAGACTTGGGGCTCGAGATTGCTTCCTCCCTCTCCCAAATTTCCGGACCGATCCATTGCATGTAACGTCCTTCGCGACTGGTTTGCTGCCCAGGGGCCCAACAAAAAGAGGTAAGACAAACATTCATTCAGAGCATGTCGCTGATCTCATGGAAACCAAATCTCGAACCAAACAGGTAACTACTTCCTCCCTACCCTCCCCCCTCCCCCTTTAATATCACCCTGAGTTCGCAGTTCACAGCTGATTACATCATTCGGGTGGCGAAATGTCAGACGGGCCTGTCGAAGTGAATGGCAACGATTGCTCTCGTTTCATTGATCCATCTAAACAAGACCCAAGAGTGATTTATTTTAAGATTGTAAATATAACAGATTTTCGCAACAGTGTCATAAATACAACAATTGTTTCTGTTTTGCTGACTCCATATCTTAAAAATACCTTCAGCAGCCAGTGATTTGAGCAGCAACAATAAACCTGATAAAGAAAATGATGATTATTTCAATTATTACGATAAATGTCTCAGATATTATGCCATGTATAGATCGAACTATCAAAAACTGGCTATAAATCAGAGGAATGTAATCAGGTCAGCACCAATACACCCGTTAAACAGTGCTTGCGAAGACGAAACCATAATATTTCATTAATTGACAACGTACGCCAAATTAATTTAGTTACGTTAGTTAAAGTTGTTTCTTCTACGTGAAAAACTAACCTGAACGCCACGTTTACAGTATTTTTGCACGCAGAAGAAACTCGGATAAAATGTTAGGTTGGTTAGACGGAACCGAAGAAACAGAAGGTTGGCGAAAAATTACACGGGTTTCAAGGCATCGACTTAAAAAAATTATGCTACGTTTAAGTAACAGTAACTAACTCCTGTGAAGCGTTAAGTAATAAGACAGCAACTCAAAAATTCGTCTGTTTGCCACGCTCTTTGGTTCAAAAATAAAATAAAACCATGACTTCAAACACGTTATATCATAACATTCAAAGCGAAATACGACTGGGATTGAGATGACCTGAGGTAGCCATTTTGTTGTGGCAATAAATTTTTAAAATATTCTTCACTCCTTTCATTATACATTTGTTTTTGTCACATCAAGTCTTTCTTAGAGATAGCGTACATTGAACATCAGGCACATTCGATATGTATGGTCTCCAGAACAGAATGTATCAATTTCCTAATTTTTGGGAAAGCATCTTTCAATCGCCAAAAAATGACAGACCAGCCTTTTCTCAGATTGAAAGCGCATAATAAATCTTCGTCTTGTACAAACAAATAAAGGTACGGACGCCTGAACTAACGGTTTGCAATTTCACACAGTCAGAGCATTGAAATCTCTGATGTTAGCGATTGATTATATGAAAGGCGAAATCTCAATTCGCGGCGTTCTCTAAGGGCCTCTTCATATGAGCCCGGTAACCGGGCTGGCCCGGTTACCGGGACGAATTTTGTCGTCTGTTCATATGGGAAATTTCAGCCCGGTTACCGGGATGAAAAAGAGTCGAAAAGGGCGCGAAACGTGGACTGAGGCCCTGGGAACGAGTTTGAGCGCGAAATTCAAGAAAGTAAACAAAGATGGCGCCACGTTCAACAGTTATATCGTTCGCTCCCATTGCAGCGTTATCAACGCTCGTAGCTCTAGTGCTACAACTTCACGGGGTCCTTTTGCTATGGAAAATACATCAAACCAGGCAGATTGATGCAATCCGGATCGGCTTGTTGCGGAAGAAAAGTTATTTCTTCCGAAATGTAAAGCAGCTGAAGCAGAGAGATTTGTACAGAAAAAAACGAAGTTGTTGGCATAAACCCGGTCGAACTGACTTGTGGTGGAAAAACATCTGGACGGGAGTAGCACCTGAAGAATGTTGGAAAGAGAACTTTCGGATGTCAAGGGCTGCTTTTGTGAACCTGGTATCGGAGCTAAGGCCATACATTTCACCAAACCCAAAGTCACCTAACCACAGGGCATTGAGTGCAGAAAAAAAGGTTGCAGTTGCATTGTATTTTTTAAAAGACACTGGTTCCCTGAGAATGACAGCCAATAGTTTTGGAATAGCACTCAACACTGCATCAGCTGTTGTAAATGAGGTTTGTCAAGCTATTTCAAACTATCTTGGCCCGAAATATCTCCATCTTCCTGAAGATGAAGAAAGCATGAGGGAGAAGGTAGCAGAATTTGAAGCCAAATTTGGCATGACACAAGCTTTTGGTTGCATTGATGGGACACACATTCCAATTCAGTGCCCATCAGAGAACTCACAAGATTTTTTCTGCTATAAGCAGTTTTTTTCATTAAGTGTGCAGGCTGTGTGTGACTATAAAGGCTCCTTCATGGATGTTGAATGTAAGTGGCCTGGAAATGTCCACGATGCAAAGGTTTTTGCCAATTCTTCCATCAGTGCCAAATTAAGAAGTAATAAATTGCCCTGTACATTTCAGACTCCAATTCCAGGTGGTGTCAAAATACCTAATTACCTCATTGGTGATCCAGCTTATCCATTGCTTCCTTTCTGCATGAAAGAGTATGATTCATGTACCAGTAATGAACAAGTTGTTTTCAACAACATGCTGCATTCTGCCAGGAACCAAATTGAATGTGCTTTTGGCCGGCTTAAAGCAAGATGGTCCATACTCACTACAAAAGTGGACTTCAAACTTGAGGCAATACCAACAATTATTTATGCATGTTTTGTATTACATAATTATTGTGAGAAGCATAACATGTATGTTGATCAGGACTTGGTTGACTCGCAAATTCAAGTTATGAAGGAAAATGAAGATCAGTTTAAAAACACTCCTGATCCAATTTACTCTTGTGATGTGGGAGAAGGGAGTGTTGTGAGGACAACACTCACACAATTAGTACTGAAGAATCTTTAACCTAGTACTTAAACTTTACCCTATTTACATGTATTGTTGTACTTAGTTTAATTAACTTAAGGGGGGAGACCCTTAAATACAAAATGCATGCTATGGATGACTTCTAACTGTCATATCTTGAGCTCCCTTAGTATCCTTGATTTAGTTTTTGGCCATATTTGTTCTATTGGAGGTCGCCTTCACTTTCGGTAGTCATGATCATATTTGGTAAGTCACGTAACCATAACACAAAAACCGTATAAACTCACACAGCTTACATCTTTCCCCAATGAAACAAAAGCCAACGGGTAAAGTGCATTCAGGTGCAAAATTTGTAGGATGGATTTGTTAAAATTTATGTTATTGAAGAAGCTATGACATCACAAAAACTTCATGACGTCATAGCTTTTTCAGTAATGCAAATTTTAACAAATCCATTCTACAAATTTTGCATTTGAATGCACTCTACCTGTTGGCTTTTGTTCCATTGGAGAAGGATGTAAGCTGTGTGAGTTTATACGGTTTTTGTGTTCTGGTCATGTGACTTGCCAAATATGGTCATGACTACCAAAACTGAAGGCAACCTCTAACAGAACAAATATGGCCAAAAACTAAAGCAAGGATACTAAGGGAGCCCAAGATATGATGGTTAGAAGTCATCCATAGCTACCATTTTGTAGTTAAAGGTCTCCCCCTTAATTTGCTAGCTGAACATTGTCAAGACATGAAAGATCCTAGCATATAACAACAACTTGATATTCTTGAACACAAACTAAGGCCACTTGAATGTTGGTAGTGTTCATTGACCAGCCCCTATATGATTGGCCAAAACCGATTCATATTACAGTGTAGGTACTGTAGGTGGCACTTTTCAAATTTAATTGTAACTATAAATTTCCATTTTTTGAACTAGTGTATTGGTTTCAGTTAATTACAAAGAAAAATTTTAACTTAAAATGTTTGTCTTAAACAGCACTCAGTACCAGTAGAAAAAATATAGTTGGGAAAATAACCAAGTAGAGATGTAATAAGAAATCCTTTTCTGAAACATCCTCAGATTTGTGCAATCAGGCAACTATGAATACTATAGTGAGCAATCCAACTGTGGATTATGGCCTGAATTTGTCAAACTCAGTATGGAAACTTTAACAACAACACGTACTGAGGAAGTCTGAAATTTTGTTGGATACACTAGAATGCTGTTTGAAACATTTTCTGTGGGCCAAATTATGCCAAACAAGGCTGTTTACATTTGAAAAACAATGAATAAAAAATACTTTTAAAAATAATTATCAAAAATTCCCCACTGATAACAGATTAAATCAAAACAAGGCAGGGCCTTCTCTGAGTATTAAAATTGAATTAAATATCAACAAAATGCAAATGTTGGCAGAAAAATGGAAATTGGCAGGTCAACTTATTTGCCCATAGAATAGAAAACTCTGTCAGTTATTTCCATAGCATCAAGTTGTGTTTGTATATCTATATACAATATAGATCTATTAGACAATGTCATAATGTCATAACTCTATGGTTGATAATAAAAGCTTCCACTGCTTCCTGGATCTTGCTGGCTACCATGTTGGCTAAACAGCTGGGCATAAACACCCTCAGCAGCCTGAGGTGCAACTTGCATTGGGTTTTGATAGAACAAATTCTGATTTACAGGTGCACGTACTGCATAAGGTTGTTGCAATGCTTGTGATAGCATCTCGATTGATCGACAAACTCCTGCACCTAGATCAGTCATAGCTTTACTAACACTTTCAATACTATGAGAAAAACTTGCTGTAGACTCCCGCATTGCCTCAGCAAGGTCCTTTCGAAATTGGGCATCTTCCTTAGCTTCTTTAATAAGCAACCCATCCCTCTGGGCAGCAGAAAGCTTTTTTTCCAAATGCTTTCTTTTGTTGTCGATTAGCTTTGGTACACAGTTAGCTTTGCGTTTGTTACCAGGTGCCACATCGCCACTTGCACTACCCCCATCATCTCCAGGGCCTAGATCACTTGAACCAGCTGAAGTACCTGCAGTTTCCAAATCCAAACTTAAGCTGTCATCTTCTGGATTGTGACATTGGACAACTTCATTGTCTTCCAGAAAATCATCTCCTCCTACACCATAAGAAAGGGGCTCTGTTCCGGCAGAACCACCCCACAATGTTATCAGTTTGTCGTAAAATTCGTAAACAAGTTTTCCACTGCCACTCCTACTTCCAGAAACTACAGCTTTAGAGAAACTCTGTCTGATTTCCTTCACCTTTTCCATCACTCTCTTCTGTCCTTTCGTTATCATATCTTTTGACTCTTTTACACGATGCTTTGCTTTGGCCTGCTCTTCCTTTGAACGGGTTTTGAAATCATCCGGTAACTTGAAAGCAGCCACAGGACCAAATATAGATTCATCGTCCTCATGAAGCTTCGCCATGTCCACTCGCAGTTCTTGGTACTGAATTTGTTTATCGGCGTCGAAATCAAGGTTTCTATAGGCCATTTTTGATTTGTATTCAAGTAAACAGTCGATCAACTGCCTTACCGTGTCTGTTTCCCAACGGAATCTCTTCGAAGTCAAGGTGGAAGACACTTCGCCATCCGCCATGTTTGCACGCGTTGTAGGTCGCGTGAGCTGCGTTCCGTTTAGTCAGCGTCCTTACAAGGCATGCGTAGTTGAAAAATTTTCATCCCGGTAACCGGGCTGGAGTGTTCATATGGGAAAATATTTCATCCCGGTTACCGAGATCTCGGTTTCTACAACCGAGATCTCGGTAACCGGGCTGGCCTGCCTTCTCATATGAACACATCGAAATTTTTACAAAGGAAATAGGAGTGAGGCGAGATCTCGGTAACCGGGCTAGCCCGGTCAACCGGGCTCATATGAAGAGGCCCTAAGTTTCATTCCGATGAAATTGACGCCGGACAAAGTAAATATATTTAAAACGAAGTAAACGAAGAGCGCGTGCATTTTTTTTTAATATTTTTAATATTCTAACACCTTGCATAAGTGCACTGCGGGTGTTCAGAAAACCTAACATTTAGGAACGAGCGCAACTTCGCTGGCTTTATCGAATAAAACTTACCAAAGTAAGGAATCATCCTTTATCCTTCCTCGTGGGCAAGCCCTCTACTTCGTAAGTTCTGCAAATGAACGGCTTATCTCTCGTCTGTCAAGCGTACGTGTCAAGCGATGTCAAAGATAGAATTATGTATTTAAAGTAACGCCATGCAGTCAGTCACGGTTTCGTCACAGCTAAAATGTAGCCAAACTGTGGGACAAATTAAAGGAAAATAGTTTGAGCTATCGCACGTTGTACTGATTTATAGTCAAGTTCAACTTCATTTTCATTCAGTTATAATGGATGTTAAGCTGTACCGCAGCCTGATGTCAGAAATAAGACAAGAATAAAACTTATCAGTTCGAAATTTTTACTACCAGCTAATTATTGTTTGAAAAGGTCACCCAGCATAATTAGGTCTTTTGCCCGAGTTAAACCTAGTTAATCCTACCTTTCACATATCAATATGCATGATCAGATGTACATACATAGATCTTGTATTGTTCAAATGTGGCTTGCTTCGCAAGCAGGCAATTGAGATATAGTGAGTACTGTGTTCTGATTGGCTAATGGATCTAGCTTGCCCCCTCCTCACCACGCACAAAAGAGAAAACATGTGGTGTAGGACACACCTAATCAACTAAGGTTTCTGTTCGAAATATCTCGGGGTTTCCCTTTTTGTTTCTTATGTTTTCCCTCGAAATTTCGCGTTGAAACTTGGCGTGTGACCAGTCATAGCTGATCCCACCACGCATACCCTACGTTTGACCGCTGTGTCTTGTTTGCGCCCGCAGGACCTAATCCCTTGGGATTTTCAAGGATGACTTAGCAGTGGCAAGAATCTGTCGTTTGCATGAAGAGTCTCACTCATTTTTATTTCGATTGTAGGGGGCTGTAAACGGACTTTGTTTGCATGTCTTTCTTTCTTGTCCTTTTACAATGTCCACCGGTTCGAAACTGTAAAATCTGTAGAATGTACGCGAATAAAGCCTCTAAGGTTGGATCCATATTAGAGAAGGTTTCTTTAAAAGGTTTTTGTGTTTACTGCACCATTTTTAAGGAAATGCGAATGGTAATTTCCACTGAATTGAAATAAAACATATTCAGTGTCTCTTCGAAATACACCATTGATTTCATTGTGTACGTACCCCTACCTGAAATATATGGCGGGGAAATTTTAATTGTAGGAAGTTTCGAAAAGAGTATTTTGCACAATTGTACATTTTCAGTGTACACTTTTTTAAAACCGGCCCTCGCTTCCTCTGGATCGACACAATTTCCTCGGTCTTACATTTAACACGTTTTACCATTTATTAGCAAAAAAAATTTGAATTTCATCGGCTGAGTGAAACTGTTATTTAGTCCTCAATTGATTAAAATAATAAAAGGCACTCCATTATTTTTCACTTTCAAATAGCTTTAGCTTAATAACCACCAAATGCGATAAACTAAACCTTACTGCTTATCATGTTGGAATCGTTAAATTTATCTTGAATAAATTACCAAGGACATTATGAAATTTTGAAAAATGCTGGAGTGTTTTCTTTATCCATCTGTTTTTTTTATGCGATGCACCTTCTTACGCGATAAGAACATCTCTCTAACCTTTCTTTGTTGGTTTTTTCGTGTTTCTTAATTTTTGCAATTAAGCGTGGTGACGTGGATAGTTTTTAAGATTATCTAGTCTTAGTAGGGGTTCGAAACTCCATTCAGAGACCATGCTAAGTGCAGTATAAACGAGTCATAAATAGGCTACAACGAAAGCGTGCGAGTTTGCATGTGAGGTACTGTTGGCAGGGACCACTGTCAGCGCGCATTCAAGTGAAGATTCCTTCAATCACGAAAAGTTGTCGGCCACAGATACGCTTGTAAATGCAAGGCGGAATCAAAAAGTCAAGTTATGTCATGGCTGGATGGACGATGGCACATGTAACTACAGACGACGTTATGTTGTGAATCAGACGTCAAAGGCTAGTAATTAGGGACTTCTATTTGAAAACGATTAAGTGCAAGATTTTTTGTCTACAATCGAAACCTCTCATGAATGTTTGTTTGTTGCAAGATGAACTCAAGTGAAAAGTTCTGCGTCGATTCTACTTTATCAAACGAATTGGCTCGTTTCAAACTAACACCAACCATCTATAACATCTTGGTAGGTGTATGCGTCACAAATGGTCTCTTATCGCCAATCGCAGTGGCAGGAAATGGTCTCGTTCTTGCTGTTATTCTGAAGTTTCCAAGTCTTCAAACTAACTCGAATCTTCTGATATTTTCGCTTGCTACAACAGACATTCTCGTCGGTGCGGTGGTACAGCCCTCGTTCATTGTGTACATCGTTAGTAAATTAAGATTGGACTTCTCCTGCATGGCTTTTATGTCGTACTTATATACCGAGATCTTCAGTCTCGGGCTGTCTATTTTAATGTTAACCCTCGTGTGCTGCGATAGATACTTTGCTATAGTTTTTCCATACAAGTACATCACTCGCGCCACGAAGAAACGAGTCATAAAAACTGTGGTTATTTTCTGGGGCTCGTGGTTTCTGTTCAACGTTATATGCAGAGCAGTGAGAGTGAAAAACGACGAGTTCTTTTCACCCGTTGCCTCCGTTGTGATCGCAGTTACTTTCAGTTTGAACATCGTTTTGAACTTCAAAATTTTCCGCATCGTGAGACTTCACAAACGACAGATTCTTTCCCACAACCAAGTCATCATTGACTTTAAGACACGAGAAAATCCTGAAGGACAAGGTAAGACGGAAAGCGACAACCCACGGACCCGTTCACAAGACACACGCATGGCTGTCACAGTGTTGTTAATTTCCGGGGTACTCATTATCTGTTATTTACCTCTTATGTTGACTTCGGTGGCGGATATGATAGTAGACAGAGATGATATCTTCGATCACGTTATTTATCCATTAGCAGAGACTGTAGCATTTCTTAATTCTTCTTTAAATCCGTTTCTCTATTGTCTGCGGTTCAAGGAGCTAAGACACAAAGTGAGTCAGCTTTTAAGGATTTCGACCGCCTCCAATGAAAACAAATGAATTTATTAAAGGCAGAAATGCATGTAAAATAAAAAAAATTGGGCATTAGTGTAATCTGTGAAGCTTTTATGTGATAACTTTTCACCCGTTACATCCGTGATCGCAGTCATTTTCAGTTTGCACATTGTTTTGAACTTCAAAATTTTCCGCAAACTCGTTGTCAAGCTTCCTTTTCTTGTCGCTCCCGTGGAGAGAGAAATACCCTGGGTCTATCTCTTTGTCGTCACAGGAAGCGGGATAAATTGACAAAAACCTACGTAGTTTTCTATTTTTTAGGCAATGTCTATTTTTTCGGACTCCGTTAGCAGTAAATACTACCTAAAAACCTAATCCTTACCCCAAAAGTTTTGCCAAAGAAGCTTGCGCTAAGAAACCACCTGGCACACCCAGAGAACCAGTCAAAACAAAGCATTCGCTTTATCTTGCTCACCTGAGGAGTTAGCGATAAAACTCCGTACGAAAATGTATTGGTAAACTTCATGTAAACATACACCAGGAACTATGGGCGGCCCATAAGGAACCTTCTCTAGAACTTTTTCATAGATTACATAAACTAATTTTAACACATTTCTCTCCATTTCTTTTCCAAAATACCAAACCGTTTCGTTAGCCCATAACATTAGGATAACACACATATTTTTGAATAGCCATTCCGAACTCTGATTGTGTTCGTTCAAGGGTTCTTAAACCAGTTTACACTCACTTTACTTGGTTCGTTTTACTGCTTGATAGTCTCGTACCCAGACCTTCCACGGTCCAGCGGTAGTTACAATTAAACGGTAGTACCTGTGCGCAAGATTAACTGCTAACTATGCTTCTAACCATAAAATTCAAAAGATTTCGTAAGAATTCTTGGAAATAAAAATTTACTTGGTTTGAGGGTGCACGTGTTTAGAGGTAACTTCAAGTCATTCATGATTGGCGTTGGTCAGTCGACACGACGAGGACACTTAGTGGTCTGTTATACCACCTATTTAGAACAGAAGAAATGCCTCAGCTTAGCTTTCAGTAAATGAGTTTCATGTTAAGGGAGCGTGAAAGGTCAAGAACGAAAATAACTTTATTTTCCTTAGCTTAGAAACTGCATGGTGGCATTTTTTGCGTACCTGAAAACAGTACGCGAACATAACCCGAAAAGAGGAGCAGTTTAGACCTCAGAAACGGTTGCGTGACTTCGGTTTTCTTTACAGAGAAGAGAGCAGAATTTTGCGTTCCCACCGTCTGTGAGTTTTTGAAAGCAGCAATGTCCTTTATTTTAGGTGGGTAAAAACACTGTTAATGATTTTAGATAACTACCGCAGAATCTATCATAGTAACCTTTCATATAAATGACATTTCTTTGCTCGGATTCACATGCCACGACAGCTGAATTGGCGGCTGTGGGTACTTTCTTGTTTACATGTCTTTTAGTTAAGAGGATCCCTGATTTTCTCGCATGAAATGACCCCGATTAAACGGAAGTAGACGAGAGATTATATCTCTCATAGTTACTGAATTTTATGGAAGTAATCTTATTAGCAAATACGCGAACTTTTACACGTCCTCTCTGCAAGATTTTGTACAAAACAATACCTCACAGGTAATTTTAGAGTTGAGTTGAAAACGTAAATTTACTACCGTAAAGAGTTTAAAGGCCGACGTTTCGAGCATTAGCCCTTCGCCAGAGCGATTGGGGGAGTTGTGGGTTGTGTGTGGGTTTGTATGCAGAAAATGGAGCCGTGCTATTGGTGGGAAAATGGACTGACTAGTAAATAAGAATAAATTAGTTGAATGAAAAGGGCTCGTTGATACCGTGGGGATCAAGAGTGCCGATTTGGAAGATAAATTTTTGTTCTATTGTTTTGCGGCCTTCTGAATTACCTAGTTTTAGGGAAAGGCTGCAAACTGCCATATCTGGTTAGAGTGATTAGAGAGATTTGAGTGTGTAGTGACTGGTTTGGATGTGTCCTTGACATTTCTTTCTATGTTGTGAAGGTGTTCTCGGAATCGGTCACCTAGTTGTCTTCTTGTTTCATGAATGTATTACTTATTGCAATAAGTGCAAGTTATGCAGTAAATGACACTCGCAGAGGTACGTGTAAATTGATCAGTGATCATAATGGATCTCTTGGGTCCCGACATTTTCTCTATGTTATTAATTAAAGGACATATTTTGCATCGAGAGCAAGCGCATTTGACAGTTCCAGACTGGTCACTGGTTTCTAATGTTTTTGTCGCATTTGAGTGAAATTATTGGAGGTTGTGAAAAGATAGTACCAGTCTCTGAGTTGTTTTGAAGTAATTTAAAGTTTTTTAAGAATGATAGATTTAACTGCATGGTTGTGAGGGTGAAATATAAGAGTGAATGGAATGCGGTCAGTGTTTTCCTTCTTAGCCATTTGTATTGCTGACTGTTGAGCAATTTGTTGGGCACCATGGTGGCCTGCTTGAACAACAGAAACAGGATAGCCATGTTTAATTGAAAAACTGGTTTATTGCCTCTGATTTTTTCGGAAAAATCAGAGTTGTCACTACATGAATGACAAAGTTCAAGAAACTGTGAAAAAGGTATAAAATTATTGACATGTGATGGATGCGAAAATGAATACAACAAGTAACTATGTGAATCTGTAGGTTTGTAGTGAACACTAGTGCCTAAACCATTGCCTTCAATTGAAATTTTGATGTCTAGAAAAGCCAAAGAAGTGTTGGAAATTTCTCAGGGATATTTAAGAGCTGGGTGAAAGGGACTGATGGCAGTTATGAATTGAGTGAGCTCCTCTCTGGTAGAGGAGGTAGCACCGATGCAGTAGAGGAGGAAGTGCTGACCGCTCTTCAGAAGGGTGCTTGGCATTATAAAAAGTCTAAAAAAAGGCAGAGACATAGTTATTAGACTGGCCAACAAAGACGGCGCAGCTGTTGTTTGACAGGCTAAAAAGCTCTGCGGCAACTTTCTGACACCTCCTCTACCAGTGAGGAGGATAACGAAGAGATAATACCAGAGCTGGGATGAGAACACATCCAAATCAGTCGCTAGACACTTTAATCTCCCTAAATCATTCCAAACAACGTATGGCAGTTTGCGGTCTCTTCCTACATCTAGGCAGTTCAGAAGGCCAAAAGACACTAGAGCAAAAATTTATTTTCTAAATCGGCACTCTTAATCCCTACAGTGTCAATAAGTGCTTTTCATTCAACTAATTTATTCTTGTTTTCTTGTTTCCATATTCCCACCAATAGTATAGCTCCATTTTCTACATATAAATCCACACACAACCCACAATTCCTCCAATTCTTCTGACCAAGGGCTTACAGTTGAAACATCAGCCTTTAAACTATTTATGGTGGTCAATTTTTTAACTCAGTTGTCAACATTAAATTACCTGTTATACTCTTCCACCAACACAGCACCACAGTTTCTTTAGAAACTTACCCCCTTTAATACCTCACAGAGGCTTGCTGGGTGTTTTATATTCATGATAAAGATTCAATATGATATTCATCAGCAGTTTTTAGATCGTTGTTTTAAACGTAGTTACATATCTAAGAAATTAGTGATAGGTGACTTACTTAAAACGCAAGATCACAAAATTTGTCGCAAGGTTTCAACTATCCTGAGCCATCCTCTTAGAGCCTACTTCCCTGAGACCAAGATCACGAGGTATAATTTGAGAAATAAATCCCCTGTCATGCCCGCCATTCGCACAAACCGTTTTAAGAATACATTTTTTAATAGAATTGTTTTTAAGTACAATGTAGCTTTGTAAAAGTGTACTTCCTGTATTAGACTTTTGTATTTGTTTCCATGTATATACTTATCTTATTTAGATACACCTAAGCTTATTTACATCCTTTTTTTTTAATGTAACATAAGATATGTAATTTTATCTTTTGAACAATAAAGACACACTTCAGACACACTTTAGCAATGGCTGTAAGGGAAACTTCACCTTAGATTGTGGGGTGCAAGTGACTAATAGACTTGGGCTTGGATGTTTTTCTTACACTGTTGGAACTTGGTTCATTGTTACATTTGTAAAATCTCCCATGTAATTTGAGACACTGTCCAGCAGATGGTAGATGAGAATTATTAAAAGAAAAAGCATTTTGAAACAAAAAAAGTTATACTGGAAATAGGTAAGATTCTCAAAACTCATTTATAGGGAAATATGTAATGGTAGAAGTGAGAATTATCTACAAATCTATTCCTTGAGCTTTTTCAGTGCCACTTTAATTATTTGAGGCCATATTTCAAAGCAATGATTAACCTTCACCTAACACAAGTCATATTGACATCTCAAGTTTTAGAGAAATAATAAGTGCATTGTGTCATGTTTTTTCTTTTTAGTGTTTTGTTTGCTGCTCTGCAAATTAGCAGTGACTGAAGGTAATTTATTCAAAAATCAATTAACACAATTTACTTTTGATAAGTTTTAGCACTGTTACTAAAGTTCAGTGAAATCCAATTGAGAAGTCTTTACAAGCTACAAGACATGGAAAACCAACTAAGCAATGTGATGTGAGAGAGTGAACTCCAAACATAAACTTAGCACTGTGGTTTTTACCTTGTGTCAATACTGACTTTTACAACCAATCTCCTGAAGTGAAAAATATTACTTGAAGTTAACAGTTCACAATCAAAGTTACCCTTGAAATCTGTGATCTTAACACTGCTATAACAAGGCTGTGGAGCTGAGAAGTTAGGCCAGCCTTGGGCTTGTAATCTGGTGGTCCTTCATTCAAGCCCTCCACTCTTCTACACACTAAATTAATTTTATTGATATCCACGACTTCAGTGCCTTGGCTGCATTTATTTTTAAAAGCTTTGTTGATTTAATGTTTGTTTCAAATCAGTTTGCATTACTGCTGAAATGACTAATCGAAGGAGTGTCAATTGCATGTGATGTTATTATTATTATTACTATTATTATTATTAAGTATTGTGAATTCTTCTCTTCTAACAGGGCTGTCTTGTTCTTCTTCAAATTCTCGTGACCAAAACAAGAACATTTTATTGCAAAGTTCATCTGGAGTCATTGAAAGCCCAGGGTATCCAGATGGTTACTCTTATGAGGTGATCAGCCAATGCCACTGGAAGTTAGTAGCCCCAGAGGGTAAAATGGTTCGCTTGACATTTCTGAGTTTTCAAATGAATGATTATGATATAGTGGAAATCAAAGATCCTGTTGATAATTGGAGTGCCTACCGCTCGATAATGCGATCTGGTTATTTGCCTACATTCACTATATTCTCAACTGGACGGCAGCTTGAGATAAAGGTGTCAGGAAATCGCGGAAAAACTGGTCCAGGATTTTCTGCAACTTACAAGATGGTACCTGCTGCAGGTGGGGACAAAGATATTCTTGGTTTGGCATATTATACAATTCACTTTTTGCTTGTTAGACTGTTAGACTGGTTTGATTCAGTGTAAAATACGATGTTAAAAATGAATTTTGAGACAGTATCCCTTCCATTGTGGGGACCAACTGAGCCTCAATACTCTTAGCCTGCAGAGCAGGCATAATTTTGGCAAGTGAGTGTTCAGTATTTTCTTAACAGAAATTATGGCCACCATCTTTGATTTTAATGGCAGCAGAAGGCTAGGGAGAGAAAGAAATTTGTAGCTAGGGGGCAGTTGATGGTCAAAAGTAAGGAGAGGGGTAGGGGTAGGGAAATGAAGGTTACCCCCATTGTCCACTCTAACTCCAAAATCAAACATGGCCAGTCAGATACACAATTGCGAGCTTATAACATTAGCTGGCATCAATAAGATGCCTGCCCTGCAGGCTACAACACTCTTGGAGGGACTGTTAACTAAGTTTTACTGTTTTCTAAAACATAAGTTTTGATAATTAACCCTTTAACTCCCAGAAGTGATTGGGAGGTAACTTCTCCCTATAATATCCATACACCATTCAGCAAACAGGTGATGAGAATATTAAAACTTATCATGTAGAGGATGTTATTATTGATCTAACACCAAATTCTCTTACTGATTGAAAAGGAAATGTATAGCAGCTAAAGGGGAGAATTGAAAATCAGATCCTGGGAGTGAAAGTGTTAAGAAAATTGTATGCTACAACACAGGAGGATATTGTTGAATATAACAACCAGTTAAAGGAAAAGCTGAAGGAGAAATAGATTCTTTTTAGATGGGAGAATTTCCTTTTAGATGCCTATGAAGAGTTAAATTTTAACTTAAGGAGTTGCATTGGTGCTAGATTATTTTGTAACATGTCCTTTCTTTCTGCTTTTTTTTAAGTTTCACATGGAAAATGCAACCCTGAAAAAAATACCACAGTGCACCTGACAGGTGAAGGGATGAGTTTTTTTACTCCGAAATTTCCTATGTACTTGGGCAAAGGAGCTGCTTGTGTTTGGAACATCACAGTTTCTGGTGGAAAGTTTATCAAGCTGACATTTTGGAGTTTCAGAGCCTCTGGATGTGAGAAGAACTATGCAAATGTTTCTGAAGTGACAAATGGCAAACAGACATTCTTAGAAAAGTTCTGTAATAATCAATACAGAAGTGATCAGGTGGTATACTCATCAGGACACAATCTACTTATCTCTGCACTATTCAAGAAAGGTGGATTTGTTGCCACCTTTGAGGCTGTCAGCTCCATTCCTGGTGGAGATTCTTGTCTCAATGATGACGAAATAGAGCTGAGTAGAAGTTCTGGTGAATTTGCAAGTTATGGCTTTCCCAATCTCTACCCTAACGATGCTAAGTGTACCTGGACAATAACAGCCCCCCCTGGGTATCTCATTCAGTTAACTTTTAACTCATTCAACTTGGAGCCTTCTCAAAATTGTAAAAAAGATTTTGTGAAGGTTGTGGAAGGCACACTCTATATTGATAGTCCGGGTAACACTGTTCTTGGCACTTTCTGTGGTTCAACATTACCAGGAGTTATTCGATCAAAATACTCAACAATGTACATAAATTTTGAGACAGACAGAGCAGGAATGTACCGAGGCTTCCATGCAAGCTTCATAACATTTCCTGACCGTAAGTGCTCATTATGTACAAGATATCCCTCATTTTAATTGGTCAAATATTTTCTCTTATGCACCATTAATCACGTAACTGAATATAGGTGGCAAAAAGCAAGGAAATGGCATCAATGTTCCACTAGTTCTGATCCCAAATTTCATCCAATACCATGAAAGTCTTCTTCATGAGTTGATTCACTTTACGAGAATGTGTTGCTGTCATTACAGAAGATAAGGAAAACCTGTTTGTTTGGAAAGCTGCTTTGAATTCCGTAGCCAATTTCTATTTTCAATGCTTGCTGCTTCTTAAGGAAGAGCTTCTTTGTCTGGTTGAGGTGTGGATAAAGAAAAACTTTTGAGTCCTCATAAAGAATGGAGCCTCAGACTAATGGTTTTATTTTTTAACCATAATTCTTGTTACCAGGATATCAACAATACTATTACTTTTTTTGAAAACAATACCATTGTTGGTGGTGTAAAAAGAGGTGGTGAATTTTTAAGGCTGGTGTACCAGTGAAAGAAGATATAAATGACTCCTAATTTGCAGTACTCAGAGTTTTTTCTTTGAGTATGTCTGTGCCATTCACTGATTAACATCATCTTTTGATGCTATTGTTGATTTTAATATTATAATTGTTTCTGTTCTTTTTTTCAGCGAATGTGGGACCCTGCAAACTTGATGGATTTGACAATGTTATTCAAATGACAGGCAGCAAAGGGGAAGTTTTTTCGCCCAAGTTTCCTCCGGGGACCCCTCCCAGAGACATGATGTGCACATGGACAATCACAGTTCCTGAGAGACACTTTGTCAGGTTCAACATGATTTTATTCAGGTTTGATGGCGACTGTGGGAAATGGAACACCAGCCTTGAAATTCGCGATGGAGGGAGTTCAGCCAGCAATTTGTTAAAGTTATACTGTGAATATATCTTTTATGGACGAGAGCTCTTCTCTAGCGGTCGGCAACTTTGGGTTAGGTTCAAATCTCCCAGGGCTGATTGGTCGTTTTTGCCTCGGTTCAGAGCAGTTTTTGAAGCAGTGAAACAATGTAAGGCTTTATTTATTGAGTGCTGTTGAATTTTTCTCTATGTTGTGTTAGTTGCCAATACGAAAGAGACAGTATTTGCAAGGAAAATCATCTTTGCGGCGTCTTAACTATTATTGTATTGTATTGTAATGTTTTATTTCACTCTACGGCCCGCTAAATTCAATAATTTGTTTGATATGAAATATTCCTCCTATATTTGAACCCAGAGATATCAAATACCCTTGCTACCCTTATTTCTCGGTCTGCACCGTAAGTTACGGAAACTCGTTTTTTTCGCTCCGTGTTAGCCTGCGCGCCCCGCGTTGGGGCCGTACATCCGTGTTGAAAAAAACTCGGTCCGCGAACTCGGTTTGTAAGATGTACTTAAAAGCGAGATTATCCTATATTTAGGGGGCTTGTAAATAAGGGGTCGTGAATACTGACCTTTAACAGAACGAAGGTAAATATTACACACAGAGACGTTAGGAACTGATGTGCATTCATGCATACGGCCGCAAGCGCGGGAAAACATTTACAACCAAGTCACGTTGGTTTTGATTTTGCTTCTAATTGGTCGAGAGCCTGTGTCACTTTTCTGGAACAGTAATGCACTGCAGTGATGAAAGGAAATGCATTACAATGAAATACCAGATACTTCTACACTCGATTTTAATATTGCTCTTTAGTGTTACCTTTTTAGAAAGGAAATTTTTTTAATTTTTATTTTCGTATTTTCAGTACCAGCCCCCTATTCTTGCGTGACAGATAAGCGCGACTTTGATCTGTCGTCGGAGACTGGTGCCCTAGCCAGCTACAACTACCCTCTGCCGTATGATCTGCCGTATACAGTTGACTGTACCTGGACAATTAAGACTGGGAAACTGAGAAAAATCCAACTGTGGTTCGACTCGTTTAATCTAACAGACACCAATCCAGAGTGTTCGCATTCTGATGTCGTCGAGGTCGGAGATGGCGACTGGTCTCTGGGTGGGACACTGATTGGAAAATTCTGTGGATCACAGATGCCTCCAGTTATAAACTCAAATGACTCCACCATGTGGGTCCGGTTTATTACCACTGGAAAGACGAAACATCCCGGATTTAAAGCGAGCTACAAATCAGTTGGTCAGTTTGAGTACCATGTGTGCGTGTGGCATGGAAATTCTTTGGATTTGAGTTTTGCGTATTTTACGGACAGCGGAGACGTAGCCAGGGGGAGGTCCAAGGTTACCTGTGCACCCCTTAACCCCTCCCTCCCCCCCCCCCACTTTGTGAGATGATATATATTTATATATATATATAACTATTTCAAAACGCTCAACCTATATAATTCAGGTGGCGAAAAAGCGCAAATCCGCAGAATCTACACGGCACGAAAAATATCCCTTATGGTGAAACAAAACCTAGATGTAGACATAACGTTGGGGTGGATAATCTAAGTGTTATTTGCCTGAACCGCCCCCCTCCCCCCCCCCCCCCCCCCCCCACCCTTTTAAAAAGTAACATAGTCACGCCGTTGGTTGGTCTTCGACCCTTTTTGGGGATGAGAGAATCTGGCGGAGATTTTAAACTTTCATTCAACAAAAGGGTGGATTCTCGAGCGTATATTTATTTTGCTCTGTACGCGCAAATGAAGTGGTTGTAACTTTCCCCATATCTTTCTCTCGGGGCCTGAAAGTTTTCCCCTCCCCCACCCCCTCCCCCCTCCCCCCTCATCCCCTTTCTCCTTCCCCTTCTTTTTTCCCTCTTTGTTAGAACGAAGCCGTAATTTATTGTTGTTATTGTTACTCTCCCCAGTGTCCACTCAAGGCATTCTGGTGATACTGGCCGGTTGTCTCGGTGGGGTTCTTCTTTGTTTAGTGATTGGAATTGGATGCCACAGATATTGCAGGTCACGTCGATATCGAGCTACACGCGGTGACGAAATTTTAGTTATTCCGTTGCGCGAAGAAGATGTCGCCACTGAATTGTAAATGAGCCTGTTAATATGAACCATGAATTCTTAGACCAGTGTTGCTTCAGTAATACTAAAGCTGCACGTGATTTTGAGGTCAAATGAAGGGTGACTCTCTTGCAGCAATTATAAACTCCAAGTCGATTTTTGCTCTCCATGCATTGCAAGAACATTGGTGGAAAGAAGAGACTTCTCCTACTTTAGAAATCACCTACTGGTGCTCAGAGAAAAAAAGGAGAAAAAAAGATGAACTTACAACAGGGGGTTGCTATACCAAACCTAGGGTAAAGCTGGGTTAATTTTGGTGGACCATATTCTGAAAAATATTCAGAAAAGTGATATAACTTTATTTGTTTTGAATTGTACACATCACTGAATTTATAACACGATGATACCTTGGACATTGTTAACTACAGTTAAACTGTAATATTAAATGAGGTGCTGGCTGTAGTTACACATAAGATGTCCACAAAACGTTTGGTTATGAGTGAGATTGTTATTAAGGACAAGTCGTAAAGTATAATGGTCGAAAAATAGATTGCTCCCGGCCTTCCAATCCCCTTTACACGTGAAGTGCCTTGTTGAGTCACACAAACAGCACCCTGAAACGTTTGTTTTTATTATTCCCATGGCCATCTTCGACTTGTTCCACTTGAACGATAAGTATTGGATGTTAATTGGGGTTAATGAGGGTTTTTTGGTGCCGTTTTCTGAAGCCAGAAGTTGTACAGTTTCATGCTCTACAATTAGGACCAGCAATATCAACCGTGGGTATCTTTTTGCTTCGCAATAAAATCGGTTGAGCCCGATTTACGAAGTACGGCGAAGCACTAATCCTGAAACATCTGAAAGTTGAAAATGTCGCGAACACTCGCTGAATTTGTAGGGTTGTGATTCACGCGCGCGCAACTGCGACCATTGCGTATGCGCGCAAAGTATGCGCCATAGGAAAAGCAAGCACTATGATGAGAGCGCAAGTGGCTACTACAATCGCGAGCTTTGATCCAAACTTGATCCAAAAACCGAAAAACCTACCTAGAGCTCATTGTGGCTGAACCATAAAGTCCAGATTTGTGTAAAGTTAATTATCACTCCATGCAGTAATCTTTAGACCATAATTGGCTCGTTTTACATCCCTAGAGCTAAGTGAAGAGGCAGGAAAGGAAGAACGCGCGTGACCGTTAAGCGTGACACACCTCTCACGTCCTTCTCTCGTCCCAATCTCTTCTTAGACGTTGGTTTCCTCAGCTAAATGAGAGTGGAGTAACCAGCAAGCCAAGTAATTGGAAAAATTCTATTTATTATCCCGGGCTACACTCGTTGTTTAAGTGGATGTTGTTCTTCTGTGGTGAGTAGGCATTTTTAAAGTTAAGCAAAAAATGTCAACACGTTGTGTCTTGTCCAAGGCGGCAGATCTGTAACGGGATGTTCTATTATTCAGCTGTAACGCCACACGCCAGTATGAAAGCTGTTTACGTACTTCAGCGATTAAGGTTTCTTCACATGATGAGAGAAAGTTTGATGAAAAAAAGTGGCCATGCTGCATTTTATTGACACGTTATTTTTCCTTTAATGAATTTATTTATCACGCAAGTACTTTGCATCTGAACTCGTGTCTCTTGTTTTTGTCTGAATCGAAGGGCATGTACGTTTTCTTCTCTAAGGTCTAAGGGTCACGAGGCCATCAGTGTTTTTACTACTGTCGAATGAAACCTCTTTAAAGAAAGCCTTTGCTATAATTACAGTACACCGAAATGGTAAAATTTTGGAGAAAAATTACTCAACCATAATCAATATCGGAAACAAAGGCGATTCCATTTTGTATTGTAGACTTCTACTTCGGTTTTTATTTACACTAGATCGTAGAGATTTCTTTAAGGTTCTATTAACTACGTAGGCTTCCCAATGGTGCCTTCAGAGTCAGTCGTGTTTATTTGAAAATATTTAAAAATAAACGAAAACGCTTATTTTCAATCTTATCTTTGATAAATTGATGGTTTTGGCTGAACAAAAACTCTGATGCAACTTTCTGGTCTCGAATAATAAGTATTTCTATGTTTACACAGGCTGATGTATGAACCATATAATATCAGTACTGACTGGATAAACTGAAAGGTTTTTGGGTGGGGGAAAGGGGGCCTTCTTTGAGGAACTTAACATTGATAATCTGTAATCCATAGGTGTTTGAGATGGGGGGGGGGAGGGGTGGTGGTTATAGGTTTCAACTGTGGCAAGGCATCATATTTTATAGCATGATATGTAAGTAAATGACTAGATGTCAACCCTCGATGTTTGGTAAATATGTATGTCAAATCACTTGCACATGATCTATACCAGAAGAGTAACATTGCAGGTTAGTGTCAGTCAATCAGTCAGTTTTTTTTTATTATGAGCAATTTAAGAAACTACACCATTGAAGCTTTTCTATATCCTCAACTACTGAAGAAGGGAATGCTATCTTACTTGGGCTGTCTAGGGGTGTGAAGCACCTCAAGGGGTGTAGTTTGGACCCCATTCAATATGAAGTTGGGTGCAGATTTAGCCATTGGCTTTGAAATTGGTTGAAATGTTACGCACTGTCCAGAATTGGGTTCATGAGTTAGCTATGTCTAGAAATGTACATAGCTTTTTAAGTTATGTGGGTTGAAAAGAGGTCTTGGAAATTGCCTATTTTGTTGTGAAATGAGGGTATTGTCTTTGGCTGAATGACAGAGGTCAAAATTATTTATTATTTTACAGTTTCTTCATGATCATTTTCTGAACCCTTTATCTCCTAAGATCTGATTGTTAATTCTCCCTCTGGCTGCTCAACTTTTTCTCATAAATTAGTTACAAGAATTTGGAATCTGAGTAAGACAACAATTTTAGCTTGATAAATTTTAGTTTTCTCATTAACCATGTGCTGGAGAATGTAGAGATATTACAAAGAGAATTTGCATCTTAATCACTTCTGGGAGTTACAGGGTTAACTCTGGAACAAAAAGTTACTTTAACCCTATACAACCTAACATCAGGATGCATATTCTCTATACAGTTCTCTATACAGTTCTCTATACAGTTCTCTATACAGTTCTCTATACAGTTCTCTATACATTTCTTAAGGAGCTGGCAGGAGGTTTAGCAATCAACAACTTCTTTATTTTGTGATCATTTCCTTTATTCTCATTACCTTAAAGTGTGATTCAGGGGTGATATCATAGGGGAAAATTAGATACCAGTCTCCCTCGGGGTCAAAGGGTGAACACTCATAGTCATGTTTACAATGTGTTCCATCAGAAGATGTGTTTATAAATAGGTGAATGTTACTATCCAGCTGCACTATGTAGAATACAAATAATCCATGAATCAAATACAAATATCATGCAATATTTGGACAGTTTGTTATTATGTATTGTGTAAAAAACCTGTTTAACCAGCCAGCTGTGCATGCTATAGTATTCTACATATCTGCTCTACTTTTCCTGCCCTCTAAGAAATGCATATAAAATAAAGCAGTTGGGTAATAAATAACTTATTAAACATTTTGGTGCATATATAGTATGGCTCAGTATTTTTACTCGTTGTTTGAATTTTGACTAGCCCTATGGGCTCATCAAAATATGGCACAATTTTTAAAAATACTCAGCAATACTACACACCAAATTTTTAATAGGTTATATAAATTTAACCCCTTCTATTTTGGACTTTCAGGTTTGTGTGTCCTGTTAAAGGCATTGACTGCTGAAGGTACATAGAGTTATATTTTAATAAGTAGACAATATATTGGATATACCTTTAAATAAATTACAGTAAAATTTATTGAACAATTTTTCCCTGGCCTGATGAAAATAAGTTAATTGTGCTAACCAAGGTGAGGTCAGTATTGTAATAACGACAGACTGCAATTATGCACAGAATTATGTCTCAATTGTGAAGTGCACAGGCAGTAAATCTGAGCAGAAAAACAAGGTCCCTTTACACTCACAATAAACACTGAAAAAACAAAGTTAGTAAGATATTTATTACATCTTTGGGTTCAAATAGAGGGCAAAGATTGCAATTGAAACAAAATATCGAATTTAGTAGTCTGTGCATACTAACTGAGAGATCTGATGATTTATATGATAATCATATATTTGCTTTCAAACCCTTGCTTGACATCAGCAGATTTCTGTTTAAGCCTCTGTTTTATATGTTGTTTTTTTGTTTTTGTTTTGGTTTTACAAAACCAAGACTTTACAGAGTAGCAATTATTTGCTCAGAGTTAGGGTAACTGTGATGCAGTCATTCATTTCATTGAACCTTTTTACTAGTCTTCTTTTTAAGTATTAGACCTCTGATACTTTGTCTCTAATCCCTTCTGTCCATAATTGGGAATTCTATCTGCCTTCTCAAGTTTTTTTCTTTTTTTTTTCAATAGATTGGTATCAATCCAATTTATTTTGTGTATTTGTGTATTAAGTCTCTTCTTGAATGCATCGTCAATCACCCCTGTTTCTTCCAATTGCAACTTCCCCTCCCCTCCCCTCCCTCCCCGTTGTTCCCCTCCTTGTTACATTTGTCACTTCTGGTTGTTCAACTACCAGTTGAAATCTAGCAGTCGTGTTGAAATAGTGCCATCTTATAAATGGTATATTGTGAGGTACTGAAAAAGGAGATCCGGCTTCTTTGTATAATCAGCAAGAGGGGGGGAAGGGAAAGGGGTGGTAGAAGGTGGCTAGATGTCCATGGCAGGAGGAGTTTTGTCCTCTCCCAAAAGTTTGGATAAGTAATTCAAGTTGTGGCTCACTGATAGGCTCGGCTTACGTTGTTTTTTAGAGCCCAGACTTCACTCCACTAAATAATGGGAGGAGCGTTGGCTCGTTTATCGACCAGCGGTTGTCAGTCGAGCCCAACTTGATGATGAAGTATCCCAGTGTGACCTCTGACCCAACTTAGTCTAGACCACTATCTGTTTCTTTTATATTTATCTGTTTTTAATTAAATTTTTGTTAAATGCTTCTTTATACAACGGAAAAAATCCGGGTGCGTAACAATGTGATTAAATTCGGGCAGATTGCCCAGAGAAAGATCCCTTTTAAGTACCAGCAATCTTAACTTTCTCTGCTTTGAAGCTTTAACTAACATTCGGTATTTCAAACAAGAGCGACTGTTTAATTTTAAGCAAGTTTTTGTTCTCTGGTTTTTAGGATGTCTTGATTGAGGAGTTGTTCTATGTGATTATTTTGTTATAAGTTCTAAAAACTTTGATTACGAAGAAAATTGCAAGACAGAATTGAGAATTAAATTACTCAGTCGATAATAGGATTTACCAGTTCGTTAAAAAGGTAAACATTGCGGCTGAGGAGCCGAAAAAGGAATCTGGAGGTCACTGAATCGTTACAAAGCGGCTTCAGGTTATCTTTGGTAAATGTTTTGATTGGAGGGGCAACGTTTTGTTATCAAAGAGACGATGACAGCGGTTTGTTTTGTGTAACCGCACATAGATTACCTCAATTGGGAGAGCGACGGACTTCCGTGTGGGAGGTCGAAGGCTCGAGTCCCTCATCGGAAAAAAAAGGAAAAAACACTCAGCGCCTTAAAAATAACTCAGGAGTAAGAGCCGCTTTCGAAATGGTGTCCGTAGATACTTAGAAGTTTTTCTCTACCCGGAAAATGTCTATATACCAATAGTAGAAAGGCACGAGGAGGGCACGAGGAGGGTACGAGTATGTCGTTGTTAAGCCTGATCTTTGTGTAAGTCAGCAGGTCCACAACAACGAATCGCTGCCAAATTTTCGACCTGACACATAGACAAAGCAAAGCAAATAGAAAACAGACGTCTAGATTAAAAATAAGGAAGAAAAGCAGGGCTAGTAGTCGCCGTCATTTTCCGGTGGGCGCCTAGACCACGCCACTTTTCATGCTCCAAATAAATCAAAGAGACGACCAGACGATTATAACGGAAAAGCATTTGAAAACTGTAAATTGTTGGTGTAAATTACTCTAGCTACGTGCCTCAATCCGTACGTTCGACGTATTCCCATTGAAGTTTAACGTTTGGTCAGTAGACCTTGATTAATCTTGTTATCGATCACGCAATGGTTGACCGTGCGTAACAACTGCGAACAATTTCATGTAACTGCGCTTTGTTACGAAACTTTCTCTGTCGTGAGCGAATGTTGGGATTATAATCGTTATACTGGGTTGTCGTACCTGCTAATGGAGTTAAGGCGTCAACGATCTGATTTGACCGATACGGCCAAAAGAGCTCTTGCGACGAACCGAGGCCAGTTGGAGTGTTTGAAATCAACTTATGGATTACTAGAAAGCGAGTATAAGAATAAGTGCTGTAACCTGAATGCTGAGCAAGCACGATTTCTTCGATTCATGAAAACCAAACTTCCAGCGATCAAAGTTTCTACGGATGAAAGTGAGTTGTCCAAGCCTAAGTTCTTAACAACGACGGATTCTCCACACATAGGGAACCGTAGTACCGTGACATTGCCAGTTTTACTCGACAGAAGGAGGAGGTCGAAGTCGTTCTCGGATTTGTCGGAGGCGCTGAGCTTAAACGAACTGGAATCACCTCGTGATAAGACGACGGGAAGACAAAAGTCTTGCGAGAACTTGTATAATGAAAAGCTAGGCGAGAGTCGGATTAACGCTAACACAACTCTCTCGAGAAGTTGGACAGCTTTAGACTCATCGTCGAACTTACCGGCCAAAAGGAGAACTGAGAAACAATTAGGACAACCGTTTGGAAGTGCTGCAAACAAAACTTCCTTTAAAAACTTTGTGGAACCTTCAAGAAAGGTCTCCTCCCCGGCAAGATTGGTTCCATTGGACATCAACCGCGTTCATGAAACACGAAAGTCAACAAGTAAAAAGCCAATTGAAAAGCAATTAGGAGATGTTAAAGATTTAAGGTATCTTAGAAGTGGAAAATATACCACTGAAGATGATGTTTCTGAAGAGACTATTTAAAATGTGAAAACAGCTTGAGAAAAGCGGTAGAAAACCATCCTTATTAAATATAACAAGATTAGTTCACATATTCGTGAGAAACTTTCATGGTTAACATGTGCGGTAATTGGCTTAAAGGAGCTTGCTCACTGGCTCGGAAAATAATTACATGATCTTTTTGAACTTGTTGATTATCCAACAAAATTTTCTTGTTTCTCGCTATTATTGGGAATTCGTCTCGTTACAGAGGTTGGTGCGATATCTAATAGCTACTTTTTTAAAATCTCTATTTTTAATTTGTGACCACATTTATCCGTTTCACTTTCCAGTTTTCAAACGGAAGTTTCCCAAAATAATCATGATTGTCTACAGCATATAGACTGATTCCGTAAACCGATAGGTATTTTAATTTGTTGGGTCGCAATGGCAGGGAAAATAGCTGCAGACCGCAACGTGCTTTTACGAAATCATATAGGACTCTGGAACCGTAATTTTTTAGTCTTCTTGAATCTTTCGGTTGTCAAATACATCAAATTTACTTCACTCTGGCTTACTTTTGTCGTCTGACTCTAAAGCTCTTTCCTGTCTCTTGCTCTTTGACTCTCACTGACTACTAAGTAAACTCTAAAGTACATGCTTATATACATTCCCTATCGGTAGGCATGTTTGGGCATGCTGGCCAACTGACCTCGGTAAGAACACGAACCTAACTGAAAACTCTTAAAAGAATTTATAGCTGATTTGGCTTAAAATGCGTCAACAGAATAACAGTCATTGAGGAACATGGTATATCACCCGGTGTTTAAACTCCCATAGACGGCGGTGAATGAGGGTAAGAGGTTCTAACTTATCAAAACGAAAATTTTGGCAGACGGGGTTTCGGCAGACCCGTACCCCACCAACCCACGTTTCGATGTGAATGATATCGCAATCGTGATAGTGTAGTCTGATCGTCCAGGTGAGGTCAGTCTTGAGAAGGACTGTTGTTGGTAGTGGTGACTGACGTTTCGACAACCTGAGCGGAAGTCATCACCAGTCAAGTGAATAGTTGTTGTCAGGCTGTTGGATGTTTTCAGGGCTTGTTTACTTTTCGAGCAGTAATCTCTATGTTTAGGTTTTGCGATTGACCTTTCTCTTAAGGTTCTCGTTCAAATATGGATTGTTTAATTGAAAGGATGAATTACATGTTGTCATTTGGGAGAGTGTCCTAAAATTGTGAAGGTTAATTTTCTGTGGAATATGTTTCATCCTCCAAGTTCAGTAAGCCAACATATCCACTCATGCTTACCATACACAAAAAAGCGCTTCACTAGTCATTCTTGTTAGATTAGCTGACGAAGAATACAAGAATTTAAAAGAAAGCTACAGACCATTGGTGCTTTGCCTTGTGTTTTCCTCAAATGTTCTTTACATTTGACAAATCTTCTCACTAAGGCCGCGCTCGTCGAAATACATTATTGAAGGACTTTTTATTGAAGAACTACCCCCTGATGAATTGAAACAAGTCGATTTTGGTCACACTACTCGCTGTTAAGATTGCAAAGAGGTTTGCCTTTGCCAGCAAACTGTGCAGGGTACATTTGGGATGTTTGAATTGGTGCTTGCTGTGGATTGGAGTGCGATTCCCCAGCTCCCCCCATCCCCCCCATCCCCTCACCAAATGTTTCAAACGCCGCGCAGTCCCTGAAAACATGTTGAAATAACACTCTGATAGCCAAGAAATTTGGTGATCCTGATCTCCTTATGGTATAAAGATAAGCTTGTCATCACAAATTTCTGCAAAGTTTTGAGACGAAGTTTGCAGTATGACTAGTATGCCTACTTATGATGTCTAATATAACTAGCTAAGTGAGTGTTAAGACTTTTTGTAAACCCTGTATTAGAATACTCATAGATAACAGACCACGGTGTCATTCCCTTTTCGGAAACCTATCCACTGGTATTGAGTCAAAACAGTGGTGCTGCGTATCATTTCCCCTTTTGACAGGCTTATGAAGTAGAGTCAGAGGTTGATAATTTTCAGTTATTTCTCGGCAGAAGCGAATCTGAGAAAAAAATTAAAGTGCGCTGGCAATTTTTGATCAAAGTTACTGTAGTTAAACAACGTTTCCATCTATCCTTTTCTTGTAACCATCTGTTGTAGCCCATGCATCTATTAATCCCATTAATCCTTATAATCCTAGTCCATGTTCTCTTCCATCTTCCTAACCCTTCGTTTTTTTATTTTTTAGCTTGCAGGGAAAACCAGCAGTCGACAGTCACGTTAACGAATTCAAATGGCATAATTTCCCCTGGATATTTTCCGAAAAATGCGGTATGCAACTGGATTCTAACAGCTCCCATAGGAAGTGTGTTCAGAATATCACTCAACGTCTATGTTAACAGACAAAAGTTACCCTGCAGTGGTAATTATGTGAAGATCTACGATGGAAGCGATGTTGGCAGTGACGTTATGTTTGAACATGACTGTAGCGGGAAAAAGGATTTCTCAGGGTATTTTTTCTCTTCTGGTCGTCACGTGTTACTGGAGGTAAAGACAGGAGCAGAGGAAAAGTCTACGGGATTGATTTTGAAATATGAAACCTTTGCTAAGCAAGGTAAACTTTAACCTAGAGGAAGGGTACTCTAATGTAGATTATTAGAGTATATGCCTCTTTTTAGGGCCTTAGTTTGCTCTCGAGCCCAGTGCTTCATAATGCTTGAGCTTACTACTTCAAAAACCATACCTCTCTGAGCAGTTCTCGCGTAAGATGGCTTGCGATAGTTATAGAGGTATGGGAGACAACGATAGTTTTACAGCACCACATCTAGAAAGAGTTGTAAAATACAACTGAGGGTAGGCCAAGAAGGATCTCGTAATCCCACTGGCAAACACCCATCTAAGACCTTAAGTGTACCTGTCATCGCCAGAGAAATTGGTCCTCCTCAAAAATCTCTCAGCTGAATCATTGTTTATGATACTCTTTGCTACCCCCCCCCCTCCCAAGGGGTAAGGTGGCAGGGCAGGGCAGGGCAGGGCAGGGCAGGGCAGGGCAGGGCTGAAGCTGAGGCCACCACCCAAGATAGACTCTTACTAAGGGGGAAGTAACTATGAAGGTCGTTAAACCACTGGTAGAAGAAATTGAGGGAATCGAAGTGAGAATTCCTCGGAGAAATCGTAAGGTGAGGTGCGAGGAAACTATACAGCGTCTTTCTCATGAAAGGTGGTAGCTATTTGCTTTGAGTTTGTGCGGGATAAGTTGTGCGACATTTAGTTGGAAGTTTCTATTGTTAACCGTGACATTAAATTGTGTTCCCTTTTCTAGAGCCATGTTCTATAAACAGTACCTTGGATGCTCCACTGTCGCCAACTGAACGTAACTTCACAAGCCCTTACTACCCTCATGGCTATCCCTTAAATACAACTTGTGGATGGCACATCACAGCTCCTCAGGACCACGTGGTTATGCTTTTGATAACACAACAGCTGGATCTTCGTGACAGTGTGGAAATTTTCGATGTAGATGGCGCCCAACTCATTCCCATTGATATTCCAAAGAATGAGCTTTACTCGAAGTTTCAATCTGTCTACGTAGTCTTCAAGAGTGATCAGAGGCCACGAACGTTTCTAAACCAAGAGAAGGGGATACTTGTTCGTTACTCCGCAGTAAGGAAAGGTAAAGCTTTGGCGGAGTATGAAGGGACGAAGGTGGCGGTTTGGGTTGAACCACAAAACTCTAGTGGGTCGTAAAAGTCTTGGCACGTTCTTCTAATTATTGAATTTTCCCTTTGACTTTTGTTATTTCTCCCTTCCCCCCCCCCTCCCCCCCTTTCAATGTTGCTTGGTGCTAACAAAATAGTCACACATTTCAGGAAATATTGTATGGGGGGAGAGGGTAAGGGGGGACTTGAAAGTAACTTACTAGAGATGAATTGCAAGATTTCTGTTTATTATGTTGAGTGGAGGGTTGTTCCAACCTCCTTTGCCACTCATTGTAGATCTTGCAGGATCATCAATGACCTCCATTTTTGTGATAATCTGAATTATGACCGACCTTGCTGATTGTCTAACTGACCAACTAAATGACTTAATGGCTGGCTAGCTGTGTGATTAATCATTTGATGACTGTTTTTTTTTTGTTTTATTTGATTATTTTTTCCATAGTAACCACCTGTTCTTTTGGAAACTCCTATGACGAGAACATGAATATCTTCTTCGAGGATTCTTCAGGAACAATCGAAACTCCCGGGTATCCAAGTGGTTATAATAACTCCCTGATCAACGAGTGTTCCTGGAAGATAATCGTACCCACTGATAAAGTGGTACGAATAGAATTCACATCTTATCGGCTTGGACAGTACGATTATGCTGAAATCGCTGATAGAATAAATGGGTTACTCCCAATTTCTATTTTACTTTCTGGCACAGAACCATCGTTTAAATTCTATTCAACTGGACGCGAGCTTAGTATTAAGGTGACAGCTCGTTCAGATCAAAAGAGTGGTCCAGGATTCATTGCAGACTACACTGCAGTGCCTGCGGGTGAGTCGGTCAGTCTGTTATACAACGTGTCCGTTAGTCTTTCCGTCAGTCAATCTTAGTCCATATGTCTGTCTGTTTGTTTGTAAGAAAATCGTATTGGTGATCATGTTGTCAGTCTTTCAGTCAATCAGCTACCGAGTTAAATTTGTACTGTGGTATCCAATCACTCTGGCTCTTCATGCAGGTCATTGGGTCAGTCTGACAGTCAGCCAATCAGTCAGTCTGATAGCCTGTCAGTGAGTTAGTCAGCCAGCCAAACAGTGGGTCAGTCAATTAGTGAGTTAGTTAATCAGTTTGCTAATCTGCCAGTTAGTCAGTCAGTCTGTTGGCTATACATGCCGTCCGAATCTGTTTATCAGTCTGTTCGTCGGCTATTGAATTAAATTAGGCCAATCGGTAAGTCTGTTAATCAGCCATTTCAGTCAGCTCGTTAGTCGCTCAGTCGTTTTCCCAATTAGTCGTAATGAGTCAAAGTCTTAATGAATAAGTTAGAAAGTCAGTCAGTCAAGCAGGAGATGAGTCTTTCCTTGAGTTATTCCATCAATAAAGAGGCCCACCAATCAGAGAGACCTTGTAGTTTTTTTAACCCTTTCCCTCCCAAGATCTCATCGGTAATTCTCCTTACTCTCTGCCATACAATTCTCATAATGTTAGTTCTGAGAATTTGGTATTGAATCAACTATTAATAAACCCCTAGTTTATATTTCATGTTATTATCATCACTTTCCTGCTTGGTAGTGTATCGATATTTTAAGGAGAAATTATGTCTTGGTCACTAATAGGAGTTAAAAGATTATCTGACCTAGAAAGAAAACATGGTTACCTTTTTCAGTGACATCGGGAGCCTGCAATTTGGGAAAGAACTCAGTGGTAAATATGACTGGTGAAGGGCGAAGCTTCTCAACGCCGGGGTATCCTTTCATTGTGGAACAAGGAACTTGTACTTGGAACGTCATAGTGAACTCCGGCGAGTTCATAAAGCTTACATTTCGGAATATTAAGGGAATATGCGCTCAGAACTTTATAAAAGTCTTTGATGAGACAAATTCCACTCGGATTTCCCTAGGAAAGTTTTGCACAAAATACTCCGACGTAGTATACTCGCGAGGCAACAAATTAAAGGTGGAGTATACATCTCTCTCTTCCAAAAAGTTTTCTGGTGGTTTTTTCGCCACATATCAGTCCATTCAAGCAATCCCAGCTAATTACTCCGGTCAGATAACTAGATATGAATCAAGACGTATTGAAATGAAAGACTTCGCTGGCGAATTCGCCAGCTACAATTATCCGCTGCCTTATTCCAACGACGTCAAGTGCTTGTGGGAAATTGAACGGCAGGCTGGTCACGTGATCCGTTTGACGTTTCAATTCTTTGACTTACAACAATCTGAAGATTGTGAAAGCGATTACGTGAAGATCGAGCAAGGATCTTATTTTTGGAGGACTCTGATTGGAAAATTCTGTGGCTCCTCGCTCCCTGATGCCATTCTGGTGAATGACTCAAATATGTACGTGGACTTTGTGAGCGACAGCTCCGGAAAATACCCAGGATTCCATGCAAGTTACCAAATACTTCCTGATCGTAAGTATGGAAAAATTTAAGGTGCTGAGTCGCTGTTCTTTTATTTATTTTGAACTTGATGATGACGAAATGATAAGACAGATAGTTTCAACTGTCATTCCCTTTGTTAAATATATATATATTTCTTTTCTCTTCTCTTTTTCCTTTTTTCTAAGCCGCAATGGGACCATGCAAGAACCCCTTTCAAGACAACGTGATTCCTCTGACTGGAGAAAAAGGAATTATCTTTTCGCCTGTTTATCCGCGTAAATTTATCGACAGCATTACGTGCACCTGGATAATAACAGTTCCTGAGAGACATTTTGTGAAGCTGAAAATAAAGTCTTTCGATTTTCGCGATTGTTCGGAGTCCATCCTCACTATTCGCGACGGCCGAAGTTCAAGGAGTGATTTACTTAAATCTTTTTGCAGCATATCCTTTGAGAGCTCAGTGTTTTCCAGCTCTCGTCATCTTTGGGTTCAGTTCGTTGCTGTTCAAAATCGTATTGGAGCGAGCTTCTATGCTGAATTCGAGGCTGTGAATCAAGGTAGTGATTATTTACTCCCCAACATATCTACAATTTTATCATTTCATATGAATGGTACATTAACTGCGCGAGGTGAAGATATAGGATTAACTCTGATATTCATCAATATTTGTATAATAAATGTTATTTATTCTCTTCTTTTCAGTACCAGCCCCTTTCGCTTGCACTGCAAGTAACCAACGCGTCGCTTTTACGTCAGAAACAGGAAGTCTGGCCAGCTATAACTACCCTCTTCCTTACGATGACTCTGCCGAATGTGTTTGGATCATTCGCGTGGACAGTGATAACAACATTAAGCTATCCTTCGACTCCTTTAATCTGTCTCAGTCCGACGAATGTTCTGAAGATTATGTGGAGGTACGTGACGGCCAGTTTGACACCAGTGATTTGGTAGGAAAGTATTGTGGATCACAGAAACCTTCAGCAATTACTTCGGATGACTGGGAGCTTCGCGTGGCGTTCAGGTCCAGTGGAAAGACGAAATATCCCGGTTTCAAGGCAACTTTTGAAACAAAAAGTGAGTGCAAATGTTTGTAGGTGTCAATGCGATGTTTTGATGCGACATTGGGCGTTCCTCTCAGAAATCATCACTTAGCTGGGAGGGGATGCCCAATTAGACTTGGATAGGGTTTTGAAACCTTGGCGAGCAGCATCAGAAAGGCAATCAACAACAGTAGCTATAGAGGGTCAATTATTGTGCTACTTTTTGAAACATTGGTTAATTTACGTAACTGCTGATCAAAATAAATATTAAAACAACAAACTTAATTTCCACTTTTGAAAGGGGACACAATCTTCTCCATTCTGTAACACTCTAGTACCCGTTTCTTTTATTCTTGTCTCTATGGTGTTTGTCGACCCTGGCTAACTTGTACAAGGAACAAAGTAAACTTTGATTATTTTCTCCCCATGCAGAATCAACTGGAGCCATTTTAAAAATCGTGGGAATTTGCGTCGGTGCACTGGCAGCTGTATTTGGAATCACTGGAGCCTGCATAAAGTACGGCAGCTGCTGCAAGAGCGATGAAGATAGAGTTGTTCAAGGAACTTTTGACGACGAGGTAGAAGGTGTCCCTTTACAGGAAGAATCTTCTAAAGTATAGCAGCAACTGTTATCGTCAAAGAAGTTGTGACATTCCCATTGGGGTCGCAATATTCTCGAAAGGATTTTAATTCCCCTTATTTCCTTACTTCCTTGCGTTTAATTCTTCTCTCACCTGAGGGCCAATGTTCCTGTAAAGCTTCTCTGATTCTAGAGGTTGTTTCATTCATCCATAGGCCACAAGAACACTATGTGTCAATTGATTTGGTCGACATATTGTGACTGTCGAATGGCTGCCTGATATTAATGTCTTGCAAAGGCGTCAACAGCCTTGCAGACACTTGAAAATGCTGATGAAATCCTCGCTAAAACTTGGTTACAACAGAAATCTTCCCGCTCTCAATCACCGCAGTGAGAGAGAAAAAAAATAACTTACAAAGAACTCGAAAATACCTCTCATGTAACTGGGCTCCTAGTCTGCAAATTTTTAAGGTACATTCTTATTTTTTGCACCAGAAAACTCCAGCAAATATTAGTTTGAGATATTTATTTAGGAAAAAATCTACTTCCAAAAGGTGATATCAAGTGATTCACTTGAGATTGTGTGATATCAGGAGAGTAGACATGACTTCTGATTCGCTACTTGCAAATTTGAATCACTTAGGTAGGAATAACACACGATACTTAACAAGAATAAACTAACCCTATGATCTCAAATTAAATTTTTGATTGTTGATCTATGCGATTAAAACAACATCTTAAAAGTGCAACAACATCAAAGTGCTAAAAAGGCACAGCTAAGTATGTCACTGATGTTCCTACCATATTATGACGTCTACGGTGATCTATTAGAGAGATTTAGCGACGCGTCTGCGTGAAACGGCAAACGTCAGCTTTCCCTTTCACGTAAAATAGCGTGAACTATACTACTTTAGCTTCGCGTGAGCTCACGTCACTTCGGAATGGACTGGCACTAGTCAACACTAGCAATTTGCAACATTTGCAAAATGGCGGCTGAAAGACGGTAAGTACAATGTCTAATTGTTACAACTTTATTAATTGCAAACTTTAAAATGGCTTTTCCTCTTTTTGTAATGTTATTTGAAATATAACTTTGCTCGTTTATCTTAATCTCGTTTACAGGCGACAAGTTCGTAAACAACTTGAGCTTATGATTGGGGGGTGGGAGGGTTCTGTAGAAAACTGACTGCAAATTAACTGTCAATGAAAATTAAAATATCACATAGTCTTAGGGGGAAATCACATAAAGTTTACCGAGACACAACCAAAATCCTCCGCCGCCACCACACACACACAAGCGCTAAATAACGACCAGTTTTTAGTAATTTTATTAGTCTGCATTCTCTTACTGTAAGGAGACCCTTAGTTCTTTACTAAACAACCGCAGAAGCCAATTGAGAGAGAATATTGGGAAGAAGGTTGTGTTTATAGATATAACACCGGTGAAGACGTCATTGAAGCATTTTAACATCGATGTTAGTCCTTATTCATCAAATTCTAAAATAAACTTGCGTTAAAACTGAGAAGGCGTAGAGACCAATGCATCCTATTATTGAAGAGGCCAATTGAAATCCTGAAGCAAAAAGGCAGATTTTAGAATTACGTAGGTTGAGATTTACCCGTCGGGATTATTGATAGAGCTATAAAATTATAGGGGAACCCAAGGATATGACGGCCGTTGACGCGAGGAACATAAAGATCTTGAACTCAATAATGCCAAATGGAGCTCGGTCTCTCAGAAGCATAATTAGATTCACATAAGTCGCGGCTTTCAAGACCAAGACTTACTTGAAACAACAACTTATAAACGAGTCCAGGTGTAAAGGGCGTGAGCCATAAATCCGAGCGGAAAAAAACAAGGTTCTGTAACTTATAGTATGATATTAAATATATAATTATATCGCTGCGTTCAACTTAAGCGTTCAACTTTCAAAAAAACGGCTCGCTCAATTGGTCCATAATAGCGCAGGTACTAACTGGGAGCTTTAATAACTTTAATTATAATAAATAGAAGACAATAAACGTTAATCGTAAATACAATGTGAACTTCCATTCGTGTCATATGGCCGTTCAGTAAAAAACGGCCAAGATGACCTACGACTGCTAGCTTGGCGAGCGATCGTACGAAACGAACTTGTGATTCTAACAGCTCAAGCTTGCATTTAGAAACAAAGAATTAATTATTCTAATTTATCATGGCGCTTGCCTTAGTACACTCCTGATCCTCACCCTTTCTACAATCTGATTCATTCGAGAAATTTCAAATTTGAAAGATGGCGCTCGACCTCGCTCTTGTATGGTAGACCCGCTGGCCAAATTGTTTGGGCGCTGGCCGGCTCAGTGTGTTGTGTTTTTAGGCAAGACACTTCATTCTTACCGTGCCTCTCCCCACCCGGGCGTATTAACCCTTTATCTCCCATGAGTGACCAAGACAGAATTTCTCCTTACAATATAAACACAATATCAAGCAGACAAGTGATGAGAATATAGAAAAATATGAACTAGGGGATTTTTGGTTAATCCAATACCAAATTCTCTAAACTAACATCACAAGAACTATATGGCAGACAGTAAGGAGAATTACTAATGAGATCTTGGGAGTTAAAGAGTTAACGGGTAAAGGGAAGCCTAATGAAAAGCGTTGGGGGGGGGGGAGAGTAACCTTGCGTTAGACAAGCATCCCATCCAGGGGGGAGTGGTGATACTCCTAGTCCAGCGCTTCATGCCATGGAAACCTGGACAAGCCCAGGCTGGATGGGCCACTCGGCCCGAGTACAGACCTAACCTTCCTTAGTTTATTTCGCTCTTGTACTCACCGCCGGAGAGTTATACACAAATAAATACCTTCGTTGATCTCTAAATTCTTACCTCTATTAACAGCCTCATATTTTATGACAAATCCTTTCTCGCGTCCCTGAGAATTGGAAACAAATCGCACGTCAACTTCTTCACCGGCCGACGTGGTGTCCGGAAAATTTCCGCAGTATTTACCCCTTGAGCGGGTATCGTCTGCAGTGACGTCACTAACTTCAACAAAGTCTGCGCCGCAAGGTTTTGCCAACTCAAATTTATCAAATTTCAGATTCACTCTCTTTCCTTCAGGGGCCTGAAGTTTCCAAGTGCAGTCCATGTTGTTAGGATACAGTCCGGGTATCCACGGGGAAGAAATTGTACCTGGAACAGAAGCGTTGATTATTTGGTTTTTTCCTCCAGTACAGTGGTCGGTAATCTGGCCTTTAACTGCAAAACATCAAAAAAATAACTCAATTAAGGACCAGATATGATTTAGCCATGGGGAGAGGAGGGTGGAGGATTTTGGGGAGAATCACATGGTTTTCAGGGGGGAACGGAGGGGAGATCAGTCGTCGTCAACAGAGTCCAAGTGGAGGACTATAGAAAACTGACCGGGGAAATCATAAGAATATCCATAGAGTCTTGGGGGAGGGGAGGGGGGAATAAGGTAAATTTTATCGTGTTACATCCAAAATTCTCCAACTCCCTCCCCCTTGTGCGAAAAAAATTGACTGCGAAAAAGGCACACACCCTGTCATTCGGGCGAGAGCAGTTTGAAGGCGACTGTTGACTGTTGTCAAATTTCAACAGTTGATATATTCACTCTGATGAAGAATTTCGCTCAGGTTGTCGAAACGTGAGTCACAATCACCAATAACAGTCCCAATCAGGACTTCTCCGCGCTCGACCGATCAGACTGCATAATCAATCTTTACTCTAAGGTGAAAACATTTATGGTGAAACATTTCTGATAAAGAGATTTGAACTCACGTTAACTGAGCCGCGAGGAAGAAATGAATACAGGCAAAATAATTACCTTCAATAAAGTCGTTGGACTACAAGGAATTGTTTAAAAATAAAGAGACCTTCACGGATTGGAAAGTTTTCGTTGAGAAAAAAATCAAGGTAGTCATAGTAACACCACGACATAAAAGATACGTTAAGACAGAATCAAAAATTAATGGTATAGGATGCAGAAGCTTGTTTTCGTTGGCTCTTGAAAATTTTAATTTCGTATCAATAAAACATCAAAGCTCGTTTCTCTTCAAATATCTTCAGGAAACTGCTTTTTAAATCGTTGATATTTCCCCTAAATTCCTGTCTCGAGCGTTCACCTTTTGTCAGAGCGAATGACGAGAGGCTAACGCTTGAAATGTCAGCTCAAGAAACTCTTTGTGGTGGCTGATTTACACTATCAACTTAGTTGATGGAACCAAATTATCTTATAATACCTCATCGACGCAGCACCGCAGTCTTATGTTAAAAACTTACCCCCTTTATTCAAATTATGAAAGTTTCGTCGCCCCTCACTGACGAGTGGAATACTTACAAGGTAGTGATTCGAAAGTAGCATTGAAGCCATTTTCTGCTGAGGCAAATGATCCATCAGATTTGAATGACACCCACAATTTTCGACCGCGGAAGACTGGTAGTTCACGCTCACCACAAAACTGACCTAACAGCTGGCCATTTTGATCGCCATCTCGAATGACAACTTTATCGTCGGGGCACTGGGTTTGAAACACACGGAAGACCAATGTCATGAAGTGGCCGGCTGGGGCCTGGAGAGTCCACGAACATTCTCTGTTTGGCGGATACTTTCCTGGAAACGTCGGGGAAGTGAGGTACCCCCGTGTGAAAAGTGGGGGAATTGTTTTTCCTTGGCTGCATTTGGCGATCTCAACTAGGAGAGATATTCAAGCCTCTAGTTAACCCTAAGAGAGATTTATATCCAAATTCTCCTCACATTACCACCCCTGAATCAAACACGAAAGCCTGGGAATAAAGGCAATTATCAACAACTAAAGAAGCTGTTGTTGTTACCAAATTCTCCTTGTTAGCACCTCAGGAAATTTATGAAGAACAGTTTGGAGAATATGCATTCTGATGTTAGGGTGTAAAGGATTAAAGGCGTTTGAATTTTCTGTGAAGAGTAGAGAAGAACTAAAAACTTCAAAATATGAAAAAGGTTTTCAACTCAAAGCCAGGCTTGTACTTTAACCCTAACTGTTTGTTTCTTTGAGGAGAAAATTTTAAATAAAATCGAGAAGTCCAGAAAGTCCCTTAGGAGCCATGGAAACTTCGAGATAATATAAAATCCATGATTACTTATACAGTCAGCATTAATATTTACGAATTTCTGGTGATTTCATTGTGTGCACCAATTACTCAATTATTCTTTCAATTTCGTCATTCGTTTGTTTTGTTTTCTTGTTCTGACTTTTTTAATTGGCTCGTTTGGTTTTTTCTTTCTACTCAGATCAGTGAGAAAGTTACTTTTCGATTCTAAGAAAGCGATTATTTAACAACCCAGGTTTTCGAGTTATTACCATGCGCACTTATCACTCGGTAACTTGTGCAGCGTTAATGTGCGCATATGATGAATCAAATATGTTAATTTTACACCACACGAACATATTTTATGCAGAGACAAATCACCTGGCACTTAAATATAAAGCGCTGTTCGACTAGGTGTCACAAAAAAAAAAGTACCAATGGTAACGTTAAGTGAAAACAACCAAATTGCCTAAAGCGCTGGGAAACGCGGGCGACCAAGTCGTGATTGGTCTAAAATTTGTATCTGATTGGTCGAGAAAGTGGCGCGAGTTTTCTGGACAAATCACAGTGCGAAGTAACGCAAACCAAAACAATACCTGATTGCTTTCGACGTTCAATTGAAAATTATTCTATTTAGAATTACCTTCATCAATAACTCGGTAAAATCCACTGAATCCATCAAAGGGATCTTTTTCATTGGAAACGAAGAAAAAGTAGAGTGAATTTTCAGAAGAAATAATTGGAGCTGGCTTGTTTGATCCACAGAACTTGCCGATCAACGGACTCTCCCCGCTTGATCCGTCTCTGACAGCAATGTAATCACTCCCACATTGCGGAAATGCACCCTCTAATTGAAAGGAATCGAAGGACAACTCAATCCTATCGCCCTCTGGGGCCTTAAACAGGTAGGTGCAGTTGAGATTCACAATGTATCGGCTCGGATAAGAGGGGCTTTGGAAGATCATTGATGAGCCATTTGCGTTGAATGTGATATCGCTCTTAAAACGGCTGCAACTCTTTCGTTGTGCTAGAGATGAAAAACGGAAATGAATTATCAGATGCTCAAGGTGCTGTACATAATTGATAAGAAACGGCTTTGAAAAAGACAACTTTATGGTAGTTCATAAACCTGCACTTACCTGAAGAACTTGTTGTTTGCAAGATTACAATGAAAGCTGTGTGAAAAAATAATAAACACATTCCATTTCTAGAGCAAAACAAAATTCTTACTCGTTATTTTAGAGAGTAGCTCAGTAGGTTAGTATAGCCAATATGAGTTTAGATTCAAGTTGAAAGTATACAAAATGCTGCTGAAACCGTTTTATTTTTTATATCCAAAAGCGATGTTCGAAGTTATGACACTGACTGCGGTTTTAGCTCTCAGAGAGCATCCAACCTTTCGAAATTTGCCTGCAAAAGCGCCTGAATTTCGTTGACAGACGCCGCCATATTGAATCTTGCTAAACGGCTTGGCTACTTATCCGGGACGAAATAGTCTCGATCCTCTTTCTTCCGTCTAAAGAGAAATTTTTCGAACAATTGTCAGCCTTGCAAAAAGGCATGTCTGATCAAGATTATAAATTTTTGTTTGTTCTTTTTCTCTTTTACATCAAGTAGTTGATTTCAAAATGGCGGCCTCCAAAGTTGAATTTTTTCGAATTTTTTTAGGTTACTCTTGGCGATCTTAACACGCGGTAAATATTAAATTCTTATAAATAATGTGTAATGTAAGCGATGAAGAAAGGATGATAATTTGCATATTCAGTGAATTAGACGGTCAGGGTTCTGCTGGTACTTAGTGGAGAAGTCCGCCAACTTTCGCCACTTAACACCTCACCTCTTTCTCAACTACAAAACTAAAATAAATATTCATTTATCCAAATGTACTTTCCTTGCCCAAACAACAATGGAAAGGAAAGACAAGTGAAATTAGTCGAGTGAATATTCAAACCGGAATTTGGCTATCTATTAGTATGAATTTGTTAATGTCGCACATTTCAGGGTAAAATTTAATTGAAAACCTTTTTGTTTTACAGTATTTTATGACGTCAATTTAGCACTTCCACGAAATATATATTTTTACCAAGTGTTGTACAACTTCAAAGTTTTCGCGGAAGTGCGTACAATTACCCCCATGGCTTTTTAGAGAGAAAGATATAATGAGAACCTCGACGACAACACTCGAAGATATTAAACTGATTAAACCGCGACATGAACGAAACCGAAAAACCTCTTTGGGTCTTAATAAAACGTGGATATAACTGTAGTCTCTCGATTGCAGTTAAATTGCTTATAGAAATTACTACGAAATTACTCATTCAATAGGTAAAGAAATTGCTTATCGATAGTAAAGCGTTAATGAATTCAAAGTGGGAAATCGTAAATCGAATGTGTCGGTGAAAATGGATTGCCAATCTTCTGCTAGTCGAAATCTGGAACGAAGCTGAAAAAATTGCTCAGATCAATTTTGTCAACGTACTATTTTTAACTGGAGTGAATAACAACTAAGCTTGCCGGAATCTTCACAAATGTTGACTGATTCTTCTGTGTATTAGCCGAGGGAACTGGCCCATATTCTGAAAAGTTTCGGTAAAGATTTCTCTTCTTGCTCAACCAGTTTTAAAAGTTTTAGAACAGGCCTTGGGTATCAGGGTATTTATATTCTGTACTTTACGTCGATATATTAAGACTGTGACTTGTGTGATTGTTTACACTTTGGCCACGGTCAAACAAGTAGCAATCCTGTGTTGTACGCAGAGCACTACGGTGTCCAATGTAATAATAAAGCACTCACCACATAAAGAGGCCAGGAAATTTACAACTGTTTTGGTTTTCATCGTTGCGCAAACGACGATAGGATCGCGGTTTCAATCAGGAGCTTCAAAATATCAATCACGCATCTTTAGTATTAACGCGTTCCGCATCATCAATTTTTCAAGCACTCGGTGCGTGTTTTACATATTTTGAATAATCTTTTTGTTCGTGTTCCGTATATTTGACGCTTATTAAGATCACTAAAGCCACTTTAGTTCTATTGTTAGTTCATTACAAAATAACAACATAACCAGTAAACTTGCGTTGCTTTGTACCCCTATTGTTAAAAGAAAAGCGACTCGATTGTAGTAAATAACTTTCTTCTAAAAGCTCTCCCCAGGAGGGAGGGGAGGGGGGGACCTCTCATTTGCAGAGAATGCGATATAGTTTATAAATATAAAATATGCAAAAGGCGCCAAAGAATATTTAGTTCCAGATAAAGCTCGCTATAGACTATGTTATCTTGTGTAAAAAGTTCAATAATCTTTTTAAGGACCTCTTTAAGGAGGACCCAACTCTCTTTTCCCCGACCAAAACGCTAAGCCATCGCGCAATTTAATTTAGGTAGAACAAACATCTGATGCGGTTTTGACGACTTCGTCCAGCGCGTGACAGCTTCGTCTTTTGACGGATTTCCGTGCATTCATACTAATATATTTAATGTCTCCGCTACCCTCCCACGCGGCCAGCTCAGTGCGCCGGCTAAAAACATGCAATTATCCATTTATTTTTTTCAGTGAGATTCTTTAAAACTACATTGTCTGGATCGGGAGAGAAAAATTTGCTTTATTATAATGAATAATAATATGCAACTATCTGCGAGCCGCTTTGGATAGTGCGACTCCCGTATCATATATATTTACAGAAAATATTTACAACAAAATATGCAACCAATTTCAGGTTATTCAAACTACAAATGTACTCATTTGTCGTTTCAGGGTAAGCCAGTCCTTTTATGAGTGCGAGTTATTTTGAGAGGAAAATTTTCCCTCAGTTTCAAATACTGGTTTTTGGCAGTTCACACCTCCTGTTTGATTCAAGATAAGCGCGCGGTATTTTGGTGCAGACAGATTTAAAAATGTCTCAATCGTTATCTGCATCGAAGAACGATATTCCTTTGTACGAGATCGTTTGCATTAACCATAATCAAGAAAGTCTTTATGAGTGTTCTTTGCGCTCCAGCCAGAAGAAATTAAGCGTTGTTTGGATGGGAAAGATTTGTGCTCCTGAACCCACCAACTGAGCGTATTACTAATTGCTTGCAAGATATATAATCCTAAATTTTTTAACCTGCTTGTGACATTGGGAAGCCGACCGTAATTTGTTATTGGCGATTTTTAATTGGTCCGCTTTATCGTTTACTCCGCAACAGGCGTGAGATTTTCCCGCGAAAAAGTGCCATGTGACTGCGATTGTTTCCTCTCATTTCTGTCGCACGACGTCCATTGCGATGTGAGCAATTCCTGCTCTGATAATGACTCCTTACGTGTGTCTGAATTCTCCATTACAGGAGAGAACTGAAGGTCTATGTGTTCCCCGGATGAGGAAGCCGTGCCACCTGTGCAGTTCTGCTCGTTTTCTTGGTTTTCACAGCCAGGTGTCAAAGTATTTTCTTCGTCCGAATTTCTTTGTTTTCGTTTAAGGTAAAGAGTTAATATTAACAAAATCATCATCAAACCAAGCATAGTTGACACACCTGTGATGACCAGTATCAAAGGAGGAGAGTCTGGGTTAGAAAAACAAACAGAAATAAATCAGTAAATTCGAAATGTTTCCTCGTTGTAAAACTTTGACTTGACTTAGCGAGTCGTCTGGCCTCTTCGACTACAAATCATGCAAATAGTGACAAAAGGCTCTGAAATCAATATTATGGGGGTATTAGGGACTTAATCAAAGCACGAAGCAGCATTAACAATAAGATTCAAAGGTGAATCATACTCCAGAAACCATACAAATTTTATCTCTCCGTGTGACGTCAAAGGTAAGTGGCCAGGCTGCGAAGCAGGATCTCAAAATGGCGACTTTCATAGTCGAATTTTTAGCACATTTAAAAACGATTTCCAGGAGGTTTAGTTTATCATTGGAAAACGAAAACACCTTAAGTGACATAATTTTCAGGATATTTTTGTCATGTCTCACTATATATGCACAGTTCCATAGGCGCGTTGGGCACCTTTTGCCGGGCGCACGACTCCGTAATGAAATTTAACTTGTTGTGTTACTGGACTGGAATCTTCAGTTTTCGATCACTCGCAACGCCAGTGCATTACAAATTTGTCAAGACGAAGATGAAATTTTTATGGTTTCTTGTTTTTACTCCTTCAATGCACAGAACAATATCCCAGCGCGTACGACAGTCGAGAGCCCGACAGCAGTGTAATAATAGTCCATTTTACTGCGTGCTTGGTTGCCAAGCCTTTGAACAGGAGTGAGGTAAAGGGTGACCTTGTTATGATACAAACCTTGCTGCTTTTCAGATGTAAATTACTTTGTTATCATACTTATTAGATACTGATCTCTATCACGACATGGTCACCTTTAGTCTCACTCCAAATCAAAGGCTTGGCAATTAAGTACACAATTGTAAAATGGCTTATTCCTTTGATGGTTATTCAACGCAGCTTTCGTTTGTAATGCTGTAATGCTGAAGGGAGCACAAGCAAAGCCACCTTTGAAGTATCCATAATTGAAACAGCGCTTTCATTTCCCAAAGACATTTATGACCTCTTCAACTATAACACACTTTTAAAACTACAACTGTGGTCTGAAATAAGTTACCCTTTGCGTCAGGAATGGGAATTTATTCCCATCTCTTCTAGGACAACACCTGCAGTATAAACTAGACTTACCTTTAACAGCTATATATTTCGCTTTGAACTTCACAGATCTGTACGGGTTTGCCTTAAATCTCACCCACATTTCGTTACTAGTGGTAGAGATCTTCTCAGGTGTTGCGTGGCCACAGAACAAACCGAGCCGCTTACTGTCACGGTGGACTCCGTCACGCACCTCTAAATAAGGAACCTCCTGATTGGCTAAACACGGAGGGGAATCTCCCAGATCAAAGAACTCAAATTCGAGATTGATAGAGTGTCTCTTCTTGACGGAAATGTACCAAGTGCATTGGATGTCATCCATGAAGGATTCAGGATATCCTGGGCTCGAAAGCTCACCTCTCTGTTCACTGATCTCAATTCTATCATTCTCGTCCGTTGTGCAGTTCGGCGAGCAGCCTTCAGTACTCTTCCTCACTGAAAATATGAGAGAAATTTGTTGAGAAAAAGAGTCCTGGTAAGATTACGAACTTGGAAACAGAGACCATGAGCTCAGTTCACTACCTCTTGCTTGGATATTACATCATGAAAAAGAAATCGATGGTATTCTAATTTTTGTAAATGTTAGTTTGAGTGTATTTCTATAGTTAAAGTGGTTACATTTCTATCTGAACGATAAAAGAGGTCGTCATTCCCCAGCTCAATGTTTTGAAAAAACTTACACCACAAAATGAGGATTCCTCAGGAAAATTATGGCAAAAGCAAAGCAATTTTTCACCATTCCAAACTTTCATTCAGAATAACAAATTTCTCTTATCTTTTTTTCTTTTTTTCACCAGATCCAAGAGAAGTTAATCTTCAATGCTTAAAGTTAAAGAGTATTATGCAATCTGTTGTTTGAAGAACTTCAGATTCAGACAAGTAGTAAAATCTAAGGTTTGATTGGAAGAGGGGGGGGGAAATCTGAACTCCCCGGTCCCTCCTTTATTCCCCAGCGATGTCAGCGAGTAATTTGGTGATCAAAGGCCCCGTTTCTCAAAAGCGCTAGTAGTTACAGGTTTACCCCCCCCCCCCCCCCCCCCCCCCCCCCCCCAAAAAAAAAGGGACAAAAACAACAACAACAACAACAACGTTGTAGCATTCCTTACTTTAAGATCCTAAGATTTGGTTCAGATCCGTAGACCTACCGAAACTTTCGATGAAAGGGTCCTGAGGACCATTTTATTCTTCAGCCAGACCATTCTCGTTTTAAGAAATACCATGTCCTGTGTGATCGGGAAAATAGAGAGACAATTTCTGGGTTTGGATCCCTACCCCTCCACCCCTTGGACTTAAGCCAACGCGTAACCTGAAGCCGGCCTGGAGATTTTGATGGATCATTGATTAATAACAGTGCCACTTAGCACAGGTCCACGATTTAATTAATAGCATCATCAAGTTTGCTTCTCAATAATGAGATAACCATTCCATTTAATTCATTATTGAGTCAAAAATTTCATCAGGATTAGAATAAAACATTTAACGACTTAACTTTGAGATGAATATGATGATAAATAGCTCAATGATTCCTGTTGACACCACCTAACGTTTAGGCGCCAAAAAGGCCAAAATTTGACTGGAACAAAGAGCAATTTGGATTCTACTTACACGACGAATGTCATCAAAACAGTACGATTTCAACTGGTCAACCTGTTTTATTGTTTTAAAACGAGTTAGATTGAAAAACATATGAAAATAATTTGCAGCTTGGATCGGCCAATGCGACAGAATAATATTTCTGTCCGTTCACCGGCGCTAGATCAAGTTTTTTTGTAGACAAGGCAGAGTGATTCCTATTAAAGTTTATTTGGCTTATTTTAACAAAAGGTTAGAGATATTAACGTCAGTTTAAAACATTTCTTTGACTTTTTGACGTAAATCTAATAAACCATGAGTCAAGTCTGACAGAATTTAAAGTGAGTGGAGTCTCGACTGTCTTTAGATTATTACAGAGGAATGACTACATTTAACCTTTAAAAGTGCCTTACAAACCTCAAACATCCACGAAGAAAGGGTGAATATTATCGATATTTTTTGATACTGTTCATGGCATAGCGGAAACATTCCCCAAAGTAAAAAATATGTTTTAACCAGTGACTTTCAGTGTACTTCATTCTTGCCAATTTTATTTTGTTGAGAGGCTGTATTTGTTTATACGTTCGGCGAACGCACGCAAGTGAGCCACTTTGGGGGAAATGAGCTAATAATCTGCGTTGTTTCCTGTCTCGAATCCCTTTGAAACATTTGTAGACCACAAATTATCACATAAGCTATGAACGACTAGGA